TGATTGAGTTTTTCACGCATGTTTCTGGGGCTTTAAGATGACCGAGACCTGCGAACTTATCTTTAAGAACACCAGTTACTCCAAGACTTGCACAATCACAGGATAAATGTTCAGGAACTTTTGTTGCTTGATTCAGTGGAGTTTGTATTAATTATGACCTTGACCTGGAGCTAATATTAGACGTGACTGCTGTTTTAAGATCATGTCAGCTGTGACCTTGACCTGGATCCTGTGTTACTTACAGCTTTCAATTTGAGCTTGTGTTATTTGTTACCTTGACTTTGAACTAAAGTGTATGACACATGACCTATTTGCCTTGGGTATTTACTATATTGTACAAATGGTATGTGAAAGTGGATTTAGTTTATGAGTAATTTGACATGCTTCACCATAAAAAGCAACTTTACTTAAGACATGGTGTATGGCATACAAACTACGGCAGAAGGCGGGGGAGCCATGTATGAATTCTATACAGTGTTTGCACAGGATATATATGATAGGGGAAACACTTCTTATTCAGGTAAAGCAATTTTAGCTCATCGTCCAAAAAACAAGTAAGCTTTTGTCGTGTTGTGGCGTCCATCATCTGGCATTTTTTTTCCTTTTAATAACCAAAAAACTCAGGGAACTGATATTGTTCTTGTAGCATGCTGGGATGAAGAGCTACCCAATGAAGTCGATTGAATGACATTGATTCACAGGCCTCAAATGAATCAAAAACTTTAAATCTGATCATTTCAATAACCAATGCATCTAGTATTTGTGTAGCAGCATGTTATGTTTACAGAAAGTGAATTCTTCATAAAAGTGAATTTATGAAGTGACAAATTCTTCTTTGTAAACTGCCAAACAGGTTAGTGATTCAGGCATATAGGGCCTTTTTGATTCCTTCTAAACAGTTGAACAATTACAAAACTACCTGTCTTATTGTAGCAAGTATTATATGAGCTGTTGAGAATCTTGGTAAAAGGTCTGCTTGCTATGATAACAATAACACACAAACCTAGTCTTCATTAACAGATTTTGGTTAACATAGATGTAACCTGGAATACTCAGGACGTTTTCTTCCTTATAAATCACATCATTGCTCACTAACACCCATACTCCATGTGAAGGGCTTTCACCAGTAATTAAACTATTAAAAATACATATACGTATAACAGACCAGACATTTTACAAAATTTAAAAAAAAAAACTAATTTTTTTGCATCAAAATTATTTTGTAACCAGTTTCATTTTCATTAAGAGAACTTGAGTAAGATTTTGGTTCCGGTCATGCAAATTCTATAAACACTATTTGTGATTAAAAATTTTTACTATCAGTGTACAAATATTCCAGTTATGATTTTAATTATTGTACACAGACCATAGTTAAGACTGATTGATGAAATTAACTGTAATTACTATACATAGACCCTAATACAGATTGATAAATGAACTTACCTGTAATTACTGTACACTGACCCTAATTAGGACTGATAAATGAACTTATACCGATTGATAAAGGATCTAACCTGTAATTACTGTACATTGACCCTAGTTAGGACTGATAAATGATATTACCTGTAATTACTGTACACTGACCCTAGTTAGGACTGATAAATAATTTTATACAGATTGATAAATGAACTTACCTGTAATTACTGTACACTGACCCTAGTTAGGAACGATAAATAATTTTATACAGATTGATAAATGAACTTACCTGTAATTACTGTACACTGACCCTAGTTAGGACTGATAAATGAACTTACCTGTAATTACTGTACACTGACCCTAGTTAGGACTGATAAATGATTTTATACAGATTGATAAATAAAGGACTCTAGGACCTGATAAATAATTTTATATTGTAATTACTGTACACTGACCCTAGTTAGGACTGATAAATAATTTTATACAGATTGATAAATGAACTTACCTGTAATTACTGTACACTGACCCTAGTTAGGACTGATAAATAATTTTATACAGATTGATAAATGAACTTACCTGTAATTACTGTACACTGACCCTAGTTAGGACTGATAAATAATTTTATACAGATTGATAAATGAACTTACCTGTAATTACTGTACACTGACCCTAGTTAGGACTGATAAATAATTTTATACAGATTGATAAATGAACTTACCTGTAATTACTGTACACTGACCCTAGTTAGGACTGATAAATGATCTTACCTGTAATTACTGGAATATTGTGTATATTTATGTAATCTTTGATGCTCTTTACATATTGGACTGATAAGAAATATTTACCTTTAACATTATATGATATCTTCAGCACAGAAGTTTGGCTGGTTTTATTCCCCGTATAATCCAGTGAGAGTATAATCCCTGGTTTGTTGTTTTGAAAATCCTGCTGTTATTCCAGAGTCGTATATATACATAGATAAGTCACAGTTGATATCAGTGTAATGTCACTCACACCTGTTATGTTATCTGGTTACCATAGGGTTAACTGTTATGATCCTCAATGGTTCCAGGTACACACACTAAGTTAACACCAGGTCAGACTACTGGCTTAAATTCAAACCCATTACAACAAACTTTTACTGTATACTGTACTGTCCTCAACTTATTAAAAATGTGATCTTATGATGTTTACCTGGTTTCAGAACTTTGAAATGGCTGCCCCAGCACTGGGTTAACTACAGCAAATATGTTTACATTCACTTAAGGTTTGATAGTGGAATTGATCTTACTTTGGAGTGTATACACACACTCTGAATTTTCAGTCAGTGGTGCACAGAGTCAGTCAACCAAATGATCCAGTCCATATATATATCAATAAACATAGCTTTTTAAAAGTTTTTGGCCACAGTATTAAATTCTACTGAAAACTATTACATCATTCATCAAAATAGCGATACCCTGGTCAAGCATTATTTATATATGTCCTGGCACACACTAAAAGGCAGTGCAAAGTACTTCAGTAATTTGATGGGGTGAAATTTCAGTTGATGTATACCTGCATTATTATCATGATTAAACCTGTAATTCTGTGATATATTGTAATTACACCTGTAATTCTATGTATTGTAATTTCACCTGTAATTCTATAACATATTGTAATTACACCTGTAATTCTATAACATATTGTAATTACACCTGTAAGTTCAGGAGCTCAAACTACAATTTTTTTGTTTCCTACACACTTTATGCTAAAGGAAAGTTAACATTCAAACTAGTAAAGTGTTATCCTCAACCCTTACACTGTCCTTACTCTGCCCCATCTCAGCCCCTACACAACCTGATTCCAACTCTGATACTTCTCCCTCTCAACCCGTACACTACTCCTATACTACTCTTAGAGTACCTCCTCTCAACCCCTACATAACCAACTCCTAACTTATACCATACCCCCTCTCAGTCCCCTTCTCTACTTCCTCTTAACTCCTATCTACCAACTGGAGCTGATCAGCTGATCTATGCTGACCACACTCTCTCAGTATCTACCAACTGGAGCTGATCAGCTGATCTATGCTGACCACTCTCTCAGTATCTACCAAATGGAGCTGATCAGCTGATCTATGCTGACCACACTCTCTCAGTATCTACCAACTGGAGCTGATCAGCTGATCTATGCTGACCACACTCTCTCAGTCTCTACCAACTGGAGCTGATCAGCTGATCTATGCTGACCACACTCTCTCAGTATCTACCAACTGGAGCTGATCAGCTGATCTATGCTGACCACACTCTCTCAGTATCTACCAACTGGAGCTGATCAGCTGATCTATGCTGACCACTCTCTCTCAGTATCTACCAACTGGAGCTGATCAGCTGATCTATGCTGACCACTTTCTCAGTATCTACCAACTGGAGCTGATCAGCTGATCTATGCTGACCACACTCTCTCAGTCTCTACCAACTGGAGCTGATCAGCTGATCTATGCTGACCACACTCTCTCAGTCTCTACCAACTGGAGCTGATCAGCTGATCTATGCTGACCACACTCTCTCAGTATCTACCAACTGGAGCTGATCAGATGATCGGTAATGAACACTAGCTGATCAGCTGATCTGTACTAGTATTGATTGAATGCATGATAGTACCTGGTGTTTAATGTCCATCTGACAGTTGATCTGGTAACCCTACTGTTAATCATGAGCCGGTCTGTTGTAAGGATAAACAGAACAATAACATAATTTAAACTCATCAGGGATCACGTTATTATCGTACAGTTTTACACCTCAGCACAGACAATCACTACCGAACCATGAAGGACGTTTTTAAATGACATTGTATGGACAGGAACTAATTTCTATTTTTAGGATTTTTACCTGTTCTACCTGTATATACCCCGGTATTGTGTTTACCAAACCAGGTATTGACATGGTGGTGTGTATTAAGTTTGTGTGTACTCTCTCTTTATAATAGGTTGGAGTGCATATTGTAGGTGGTATGTGTGCTCAGACAAAATGTCGTAACATAGTAGCAGAGCGGAATGGATATTATACAGTACTTGTCTATTTCTGGTGATTACAATGGCTGTGGACTGACGCTAAATTCTGATATTGACTGGTGATCTCTACAAACATGGAATATACCGATAGGTAGAGCTACCGGCCATCTGTGATAGTGATATAGGTGTGGTAACTCTTACCTGTAATTAGTGTATATTATAGCAATATGTTTGAAGTGTGCACTGTTTACTCTTCCACAATTTGGAGATTAATTGGTCAACTTGAGGTTTGTTTCTAAAATAAACGTCAACAGAGTTGTGATGACATTTGAATTTCAGATTTCTATGACAAATTAAAATGATTTGCGAACTGTTTATTTAGTGGTATTTGTTAGATGAGTGATGAAGTGACTAATCGTAAAGAAAAAATTAGAATTTCCCAATGGAAAGCAATGCTACAAAAACTTAGTAGAGTTGTATGGTTAGAGATGAGGGAAACATCCCCAGAATGGACATCTGGGGTTACATGTTAACATCACTTGGACTAATTTGTAAATTTACCTATTAAGACAAATCTTATTTAATCAAGATGGCAAACAGGTCTGGTCCACACAGATCAGTGATAAACCATCGCTCCTTTCCTGGTTTTCATGCACGGGATGCCATGTCTATGGCTTTGGATGATCAGCCACAACGTCCAAAGTCTGCCAGCCATGACACTGCCACCAACCATGGGGACAGTGACCACCACAATGTTAGTGTACAGGATATCAATAAGTTTGAAAACAATTGGGAGGATCTGGATGCTGAGTTTGAAACAAAAGAGGATACTTGGGAAAGTAATGTAATGAAAATGGAAACATTAAGAACAGACCATTCGGAAATGGCGACAGAAAATGCCAACAATACCTTGTTATCAGACACCCAGAAAAATGACCAAGATTTATGGGATCCTACAGAAGATGCTTGGGAAATTGAAAAACCAAAAGAGGTTGATAGGGAACATGAAAAACCAGAAGAAGTTGATTGGGGATATCAAGGTATACGTACCACACTCCAACATCCCAAGTCAGAACGGAGCGAAACATATAAACTGTCAGAGGAAAAAGGTAATCAGTCTTTCATTGTAGTAACTGTCAGAGGGTAAAGGTCAGTCATCATAGTAACTGTCAGAGGGTAAAGGTCAGTCATCATAGTAACTGTCAGAGGGTAAAGGTCAGTCATCATTGTAACTATCAGAGGGTAAAGGTCTCCATCATAGTAACTGTCAGAGGGTAAAGGTCAGTCATCATAGTAACTGTCAGAGGGTAAAGGTCAGTCATCATAGTAACTGTCAGAGGGTAAAGGTCAGTCATCATAGTAACTGTCAGAGGGTAAAGGGTAAAGTAACTGTCAGTCATCATAGTAACTGTAACTGTCAGTCATCATAGTAACTGTCAGAGGGTAAAGGTCAGTCATCATAGTAACTGTCAGAGGGTAAAGTTCAGTCATCATAGTAACTGTCAGAGGGTAAAGGTCTCCATCATAGTAACTGTCAGAGGTTAAAGGTCAGTCATCATTGTAACTATCAGAGGGTAAAGGTCAGTCATCATTGTAACTATCAGAGGGTAAAGGTCTCCATCATAGTAACTGTCAGAGGGTAAAGGTCAGTCATCATAGTAACTGTCAGAGGGTAAAGTTCAGTCATCATGGTAACTGTCAGAGGGTAAAGGTCAGTCATCATAGTAACTGTCAGAGGGTAAAGTTCAGTCATCATAGTAACTGTCAGAGGGTAAAGGTCAGTCATCATAGTAACTGTCAGAGGGTAAAGTTCAGTCATCATGGTAACTATCAGAGGGTAAAGGTCTCCATCATAGTAACTGTCAGAGGGTAAAGTTCAGTCATCATGGTAACTGTCAGAGGGTAAAGGTCTCCATCATAGTAACTGTCAGAGGGTAAAGGTCAGTCATCATAGTAACTGTCAGAGGGTAAAGTTCAGTCATCATTGTAACTGTCAGAGGGTAAAGGTCAGTCATCATAGTAACTGTCAGAGGGTAAAGTTCAGTCATCATAGTAACTGTCAGAGGGTAAAGGTCTCCATCATAGTAACTGTCAGAGGGTAAAGGTCAGTCATCATAGTAACTGTCAGAGGGTAAAGTTCAGTCATCATAGTAACTGTCAGAGGGTAAAGGTCTCCATCATAGTAACTGTCAGAGGGTAAAGTTCAGTCATCATAGTAATTGTCAGAGGGTAAAGGTCTCCATCATAGTAACTGTCAGAGGGTAAAGGTCAGTCATCATTGTAACTATCAGAGGGTAAAGGTCTCCATCATAGTAACTGTCAGAGGGTAAAGGTCAGTCATCATAGTAACTGTCAGAGGGTAAAGGTCTCCATCATAGTAACTGTCAGAGGGTAAAGGTCAGTCATCATAGTAACTGTCAGAGGGTAAAGGTCAGTCATCATAGTAACTGTCAGAGGTTAAAGGTCAGTCATCATAGTAACTGTTAGAGGGTACAGAGTATGGACATCAGATATAGTGTTGATGTTGAGTACTCATACACCCATATTACAAATACTAGGGAAGAAGTTGGACATATGAATACAGGTTGTGGAAATAAACGTAGAAATGGATTCTACCTATATCATTTTACTGAAGCAATCTAATGCATATCACAACCACATCTGCTGTAGTTATTTTCAATGGAAGATAAACACCGTTTGCACATTTTGTGGAGAACCATGTGTATATATGCAGCAAATGGCATTTAGACTTGGGGCTAATCTGTGGAGCCTCTCTTTAAACTGATATGCTGCTTCACATTAGTAATATTAAATTTGAGATGAAAATGATAGTCAGTCGAAATTGTCAGTGGCTTTGTGAAAACATAATTATATGTGACTTTGAGATCATTATGCCTCCACAAACAGATCCTGGTTTTATATAAAGAGTAATGCTATTGTAGACAAAAGACAAGCCTGTATACAGACTTCAGACAGACCTAACACAAGCCTGTACAGACTTTAGACAGACCCAAGACAAGCATGTGCATACTTAAGACAAGACTATACAGACTTCAGACAGACCTAACACAAGCCTGTACAGACTTTAGACAGACCTAAGACAAGCCTGTACAGACATCAGACAGACCTAAGACAAGCCTACACAGACTTCAGACAGACCTAAGACAAGCCTGTACAGACTTCAGACAGACCTAAGACAAGCCTGTACAGACATCAGACAGACCTAAGACAAGCCTACATAGACTTCAGACAGACCTAAGACAAGCCTGTACAGACTTCAGACAGACCTAAGACAAGCCTGTACAGACTTCAGACAGACCTAAGACAAGCCTGTACAGACTTCAGACAGACCTAGGACAAGCCTGTACAGACATTAGACAAACCTAGGACAAGCCTGTACAGACTTCAGACAGACCTAAGACAAGCCTACACAGACTTCAGACCTATCTATAACTTGTATGTTACTCTAGCTGTTGGCTTTAGTACTACTGGTGCCAAACCCTGTCTCGCCAGGAAGTAAATTCACAAAGTCCAGTGAACATGATGAAGGTTCGGAAGTCTATTGAACTAGTGTCTGCCTCATTAGGATGTTTGACACTTCAAGGAACTGTAACAGATGGCCCATAACAACTGAGCCTTGGGCCAGCAATGCTATACATATGTACCTATAATTCCATTACCTCATACTTACAAGTTAAATTAGCCCCTCTGTGATATAGATAGTGACAACCCTGCCTAACACATCTAACAATGTAAACATTGCAAGCTTTACCAACAATGGCATCAATATAGTTATTACAGATAAAAAGCTTTATAAATTTCCTCAAAACATACTGACTGACATCTTGATCAAATAATGTAGTTTAATGTCATGATATATTAGGGTGGGATGTCAAATTTATAAAAATAATTAATTATTGATTTTTTAAAATTATGTGTTAAGCTAACAAGGAATGTAGCTTGTTGAGAGGATGGTGTAGAATTGTCCAGGAATATGTGTTACTCCAGTATGTGTGTGGAGTATTGGGAGCATCCCTCCAGCATCAGGACCACTGGTATTCTATGTTATCTGGCAATAGGAGATCAGACTTGTCTTGGTGAGGAGTGCCATCACATGTAAACACACTGCCGAGCATGTAAACAATCAGCTGTGTCTAGGTAGTGTGACTGTTATTAAGGTTTCAGTATGCCAGAAACTAAAAAGGATATTGGTTTGGAAGACTGTAAGTATACTTCTAGGTCAAAAACAGGATTTAAAGTTTATATTGTAGGAGCTATTGGTTTTCTGTCTCTAAACACACAGTTCTGTTTACATATCTAGATATGCCCCTCAGCAAAAGATATATTTATTAGTTTAAGCATTTCTACATGTGATTTATCTCATGTCTTGTACAAATAATTTGTATAGATTTGAGTACTTAGGGACATAACTGATGCCTTGTACAAATTATTTCTACAGATCTGAGTACAACTATGTGTATCTGATGTCATGTTCAAATCATATTTATAGATCTGGATATTTATTAAAACTGTACACTGTTATTGTGCGCATGATTACAATGACTCTGGCTGTCCATTGCTGATAAATCCAGCACATAAATATGGTTTGATTTCTAAAGTTCAACATCTGTGACATTTAAAAGGCATTGTTTTTACCACCTGCTGTTAATTGTACTCCTGAATCTGTTTGTTTGGCAGCACACATGGCGACTGTTGAATATGGGAGATCATTAGAGAAAAGTACATGTAATTAGGAAAACTGTCAAATATGTAGTGTAGGTTTGATTTAGGGCTGGTTACAGTAGCAGGATTAACTCAAACATTCCATGGTGTTCTCCAAGGTCAAAAACATGATGTAAAGCTGGCACATATTGTGTAAACCTTACAGCTATTTGTATGAAATCCTTATGTCTGATTACATCGAGAAAGCACAATACGTACAAAGTAATCTGAAAGTTTTATCATTTCAATCCAGTGTAATATATCATCTGATCATTTTAGTCTGGAGAAATCTGATGATTTGATGATTTCAGTCTGGAGAAATCTGATGATTTGATGATTTCAGTGTGAGAAATCTGATGATTTGATGATTTCAGTCTGGAGAAATCTGATGATTTGATGATTTCAGTCTGGAGAAATCTGATGATTTGATGATTTCAGTCTGGAGAAATCTGATGATTTGATGATTTCAGTGTGGAGAAATCTGATGATTTGATGATTTCAGTCTGGAGAAATCTGATGATTTGATGATTTCAGTCTGGAGAAATCTGATGTTTTGATGATTTCAGTCTGGAGAAATCTGATGATTTGATGATTTCAGTCTGGAGAAATCTGATGTTTTGATGATTTCAGTCTGGAGAAATCTGATGTTTTGATGATTTCAGTCTGGAGAAATCTGATGTTTTGATGATTTCAGTCTGGAGAAATCTGATGATTTGGTGATTTCAGTCTGGAGAAATCTGATGATTTGATGATTTCAGTGTGGAGAAATCTGATGATTTGATGATTTCAGTCTGGAGAAATCTGATGATTTGATGATTTCAGTCTGGAGAAATCTGATGATTTGGTGATTTCAGTGTGAGAAATCTGATGATTTGATGATTTCAGTCTGGAGAAATTTGATGATTTGATGATTTCTTTCTCACTGTGCCTTTGTGATCAAGGTGAGAAATCTGAGTGATTGATGATTTCCCTTGGAGAAATCTGATGATTTGATGATTTCAAGGTAGATAATCTGATGATTTGATGATTTGTGTACACCTTGATTTGATTTTCAGTGTGAAATCTGATTGTGATCAAGGTAGAAATCTGATGATTTGATGATTTCACCTGGAGAAATCTGATGATTTGTGATTTTGTACATCAAGGTAGATAACTCTGAGTGATTGCCTTCACCTTCCCTTTCTCACTGTGCCTTTGCATCAAGGTAGATAACTCTGAGTGATTGCCTACACCTTCCCTTTCTCACTGTGCCTTTGCATCAAGGTAGATAACTCTTAGTGATGATTTCAGTCTGGAGAAATCTGATGTTTTGATTTCAGTCTGGAAAAATCTGATGATTTGATGATTTCAAGGTGATTTGATGAAGTGTGAGAAATCTGATGTGATTGCCTTCACCTTTTGATGATTTCAGTGCCTTTGCATCAAGGTAGAAATGTGATTGCCTTCACCTTCCCTTTCTCACTGTGCCTTTGCATCAAGGTAGATAACTCTGAGTGATTGCCTTCACCTTCCCTTTCTCACTGTGCCTTTGCATCAAGGTAGATAACTCCTGATGAGTCCTTCCTCCTTCTCTCTTTGCCTGTTTTGATGATTTCAGGTAGAAATCTGATGTTTTGTGATTTCCTCCTTCTCTCTTTGATGTTTATTAAGGTAGATAAGTCCTGGTGATGATTTCCTCCTTCTCTCTTTGCCTGTTTATTAAGGTAGATAATCTGGTGAGTGAGTTTCCTCCTTCTCTCTTTGCCTTTTATCTAAGGTAGAAATCCTGATGATTTTATCCTTCTCTCTTTGCCTGTTTATTGGTTGGTACATACTGTGGTTCCTGTCCCTCCTAGTGATTGCCTTCACCTTTCCTTTCTCACTGTGCCTTTGTATCAAGGTAGATAACTCTGAGTGATTGCCTTCACCTCCTTCTCTCTGTGCCTGTTTATCAAGGTAGATAACTCCTGAGTGATTCCTTCCTCCTTCTCTCTGTGCCTGTTTATCAAGGTAGATAACTCCTAGTGATTGCCTACACCTTCCCTTTCTCTCTGTGCCTGTTTATCAAGGTAGATAACTCCTGAGTGATTGTCTTCACCTTCCCTTCTCTCTTTGCCTGTTTATTAAGGTAGATAACTCCTGGTGAGTCCTTCCTCCTTCTCTCTTTGCCTGTTTATTAAGGTAGATAACTCCTGATGAGTCCTTCCTCCTTCTCTCTTTGCCTGTTTATTAAGGTAGATAACTCCTGGTGAGTCCTTCCTCCTTCTCTCTTTGCCTGTTTATTAAGGTAGATAACTCCTGGTGAGTGAGTCCTTCCTCCTTCTCTCTTTGCCTGTTTATTAAGGTTGATTACTCCTGGTGAGTCCTTCCTCCTTCTCTCTTTGCCTGTTTATTAAGGTTGATTACTCCTGGTGAGTGAGTCCTTCCTCCTTCTCTCTTTGCCTGTTTATTAAGGTTGATTACTCCTGGTGAGTCCTTCCTCCTTCTCTCTTTGCCTGTTTATTAAGGTAGATAACTCCTGGTGAGTCCTTCCTCCTTCTCTCTTTGCCTGTTTATTAAGGTAGATAACTCCTGGTGAGTGAGTCCTTCCTCCTTCTCTCTTTGCCTGTTTATTAAGGTTGATTACTCCTGGTGATTACCTTCATTGTCCCTTTCAGTCACGCCCATTCTTCATTTTAATTGTTCACGGTTTGATATTTTTGTCATCATCTTGTAAAGGTTAATACATCTTCCAAATATTTCTTCCATTACATTTTGAATCACAGAATTATTGTAATTATGTTTTATAAACATGACCAATCTATGATCATTTATTTGTCCATTGATTGTATCTGACTTCCTTTCCTGAACAGGTGGTACAGGAGTATGAACGTGCTGTTATATTCAGGCTGGGACGACTGGTTAAGGGAGGGGCAAAGGGTCCAGGTTTGTATAAAATTTCTTCATATTTGTCGGTGTCCTTATCAACAACGCTAAGGGTCCTCAGTTATTTGATCACTTTGTTATATTAAGCTGTTTTAATTGAAAACTGTTTGGAGAGCTTGGAAACAATCAATAGCTTAATTGTACCCTTCACTAAGTGAAATGAGCTGTATAATAATCACTTTGTGTGGGTCTCTGTGTATGCTTCCATCAGTAACACTATGATTAACTTGTAGCCTTAGATATTCTTGTGAACCCCCTAAACACATCACATCATAGCGTCATGGAAACCTTACTAAATTTTGAGTTCACACTTTACCACTTTTGAAATGTAAATCTTCGAAACAAGAATTCTCAACAGATCTAGTTAAAATTCATATGAAATAGTTTCACACCTTGAATTTTTACATCTAATTAGGTTAGATGGAACTTAAAGGTTAAAGGTTAAAGGTCAGGGGGTATGTGACTTATTGCTATTATCTCCTGTGTTTTCTGTAAACAATCAACAATTCTACTCTCTCACAAACTCCTGTAACAATTTCGATGAATTATTGGAGGAACGTTTGATGATGAAAGAGGAGCTTAAATTGTGAAATATTTGGTCCCTACACTCATGAGCCAGAGCAGCAGGATCAAAAGGGGTCAAATTTACTGATATTTCAAATATTTCCTGTTATCTAAGTACACACATAGATGGGAGGGTCTTAAGCTTTCCCAACATTGTGACTCTAGGGTCTCAAATTTCACCCTAGGTGACTGAATTTTTAAGATTGTGATATATGATATAACGGGTTATTAACCTGTATTAGTTGATTACAGGTCTTTTCTTCATCATACCATGTATTGACTCCTACACCAAAGTGGACATAAGGACTGTGTCATTTGATGTGCCCCCTCAGGAGGTAAGGCCCCAAAAGGACTGTGTTGTATTATGATCCTCAAAAGGTAAGGCACTGTAGGGACTGTGTCATTTGATTTGCCTTCTTAGGAGGTAAACCCTAAAAGGAGTGAGTCGTTTAATGACCCTCAGGAGGTAAGGACCCTCAAGGACTGTCATCTTTTAATATCCCCCAGCAGAAGGTAAGGACCCTAAAGGACTGTCATTTTTCAATGTCCCCTAGCAGGAGGCAAGGACCCTCAAGAACTGTCATTTTTCAATGTCCCTCAGCAGGAGGGAAGGCCTCTCAAGGACTGTCATTTTTCAATGTTCCCCAGCAGGAGGTAAGGCCCCTAAAGGACTGTCATTTTTCAATGTTCCCCAGCAGGAGGTAAGGCCCCTAAAGGACTGTCATTTTTCAATGTCCCCCAGCAGGAGGTAAGGACCCTCAAGGACTGTCATTTTTCAATGTCCCCCAACAGGAGGTAAGGCCCCTAAAGGACTGTCATTTTTCAATGTTCCCCAGCAGGAGGTAAGGACCCTCAAGGACTGTCATCTTTTAATATCCCCCAGCAGAAGGTAAGGACCCTAAAGGACTGTCATTTTTCAATGTCCCCTAGCAGGAGGCAAGGACCCTCAAGAACTGTCATTTTTCTGTCCCCCAGCAGGAGGGAAGGCTTCTCAAGGACTGTCATTTTTCAATGTTCCCCAGCAGGAGGTAAGGCCCCTAAAGGACTGTCATTTTTATGTTCCAGCAGGAGGTAAGGCCCCTAAAGGACTGTCATTTTTCAATGTCCCCCAGCAGGAGGTAAGGACCCTCAAGGACTGTCATTTTTCAATGTCCCCCAACAGGAGGTAAGGCCCCTAAAGGACTGTCATTTTTCAATGTCCCCCAGCAGGAGGTAAGAACCCTCAAGGACTCTCAGGAAATAAGGCACTAAAAGAACTGCATCCTTTGATTTCCCTCATCAAGTAGTAAGGCACCATAAAGACTGTCCCCTCAGGATGTCAGACTTCACAATGACTCTGTTATTTGATATTCCCCAACAGTAGATACAGTCAATAAACACTATCATTTGATATTCCTCAGGAGATAAGCTCTCCCCCCTCTCCCACCATCAACCCCCCTCCCCACCATCACCACCCCAGCCACACACACCACCACCCCTACACCACCATCACCACACCCCCACACACACCACCACCCCTACACCACCACCACCACCCTTGTGAAGGCTTTGGCCCCATGGGAACTGCTGTTTTATGTACAATACAGATATCAACCAGCAGCACATAAAACAACAGATTAGAGGAAGAATGAAATTAGATTGTAAATGGTAAAAGCTGGTGTGACAGAATCGACACCATCAGTTGTTGTGGGGATGGGCCTTCATTGTAATTCATTTCCATCCTGGATCAGTGTTACAATCTGCTTTGTCATTTTTATAGTAATATCATAATTAGATATTGCTTGATTCTGGGCGAATCAGTTCATCAGACCTAGCCATTTGGATCAATATCTGCCATCCTTGAGGGGAAACATTTACTCTCTCTGTAAGTTTGGCACTGTTATCATTGCAGTCATTTCAGATCTGTTCTAGAAAGATGTTATCAGTTATGTTGATAAGATGCTGGGGTCTGATACCATAGTACAAAATACCACAGACAAAATATAAACAATTAGTGAGCTTGTAAACATATTATTGCCTGCAATTTTACAAAGGTATCGGATGTGACTGTTTAAGATGCCAGTAATACAAGTGTGCTGAAGATAAACAATGCGACAGGTGACTGGTCTTTTGATAGTTGATTGTAAAAATCATTTTGTCCCTATTTGATGTTCTTAAGGAAAATGAACAAAAAAACAATTGGATAGGGTAGGCACACACACATTATCAGAAATCACACACACCACATGCACGAGACTTGTACAGTCACACACACAAACAAACATACAGTCACACACACATACTTGTACAGTCACACACACATATTTCCATGACAAACCACTGTTTTGACAATGAAACATTGGAGGGTATCCACATTAACTAGAATAGCAAAATCTTAACTTATACAGTCATACACACATATACTGAGAGACTTGTACAGTCACACACACATATACTGAGAGACTTGTACAGTCATACACACATATACTGAGAGACTTGTACAGTCATACACACATATACTGAGAGACTTGTACAGTCACACACACATAAACTGAAAGACTTGTACAGTCACACACACGTATACCGAGAGACTTGTACAGTCACACACACATATACTGAGAGACTTGTACAGTCACACACACATATACTGAGAGACTTGTACAGTCACGTACACATATACTGAGAGACTTGAACAGTCACACACACATATACTGAGAGACTTGTACAGTCACACACACATATACTGAGAGACTTGTACAGTCACACACACATATACTGAGAGACTTGTACAGTCACACACACATATACTGAGAGACTTGTACAGTCACACACACATATACTGAGAGACTTGTACAGTCATACACACATATACTGAGACTTGTACAACCATACAGGCAAATATTGAGAGAAAATTAGAGTGCACAGTTCTGTAGAAGATCAGTAGCCTTGCTCCCACTCCCATTTCCTCCTCAATATTTTTCATGTAAGACTTGTCTACTGTATGGGTTTTTTTAGTGTGCCCTGTCTGGTAGGGTATAATTTGTAGGATTCTGGACCACTTACAGGTTTATGTTACAGAGAGTTTTCTTGCTTGTTGTTGGCAGACACGACATCACGTACTGTGAATCAATACTGCCTCTCTCATTTCACATTCTTTAGTGGTGTAATGTGTGATACTACTGTCAAAATACTGCCAGGTAATTGGTCCATCTCTGGACATAGGAGTCTTAGGGACATCAGGCAATCCAGCACAAACTTACATTCAACCTTACACCAGAGAATGAAGATTTAGGGAAATCAGATATTGAGATAGGAACAGGTCAGTTGAGGCAGTAGAAGAACTAATATCAGTTTGATAGTTTGACTCTGATGGCAATGCAAAAAATAAGAGAGAGCTAGTACTCTGATAAGTTTTTAAGGAGACCCAGTTTTTGAGGATTTAATTCTTCAATCATCTGCCCTGAGATATGTATTATGTAGATTATCGGTTAATTTTTATCTGGAGGATTCAATGATGGTGTCCAGAGATATATGTGTGTGTCCATTCAGTAAAGGAGAAAGTTAGAAAATGTTTACTCTTTCCAAAAGCTCAAGGGTCTTGATATAAATCTAATTGCATTAATATTTTTACCTCACTTCATCTGCCTCGAGTTTGGGCTACAATTTTGTTGTTGGATTGTCATGGTCATAATTGTTGTATTTGTGACTGAGGCTGTAGATATTTGTCAGTATAATCTCTGTGACGGTGGCTGTAGATATTTATCAGTATAATGTCTGTGACTGTGACTGTAGATATTTGTCATTATAATGTCTGTGACTGTGACTGTAGATATTTGTCATTATAATCACTGTGACTGTGGCTGTAGATATTTGTCAGTATAATCTCTGTGACTGTGGCTGTAGATATTTGTCATTATAATCTCTGTGACTGTGGCTGTAGATATTTGTCAGTATAATCTCTGTGACTGTGACTGTAGATATTTGTCATTATAATCTCTGTGACTGTGACTGTAGATATTTGTCATTATAATCTCTGTGACTGTGGCTGTAGATATTTGTCAGTATAATCTCTGTGACTGTGGCTGTAGATATTTGTCAGTATAATCTCTGTGACTGTGACTGTAGATATTTGTCAGTATAATCTCTGTGACTGTGGCTGTAGATATTTGTCATTATAACCTCTGTGACGGTGGCTGTAGAGATAATCTCTGTGACTGTGGCTGTAGATATTTGTCAGTATAATCTCTGTGACGGTGGCTGTAGATATTTGTCAGTATAATCTCTGTGACTGTGGCTGTAGATATTTGTCAGTATAATCTCTGTGACGGTGGCTGTAGATATTTGTCAGTATAATCTCTGTGACTGTGGCTGTAGATATTTGTCAGTATAATCTCTGTGACTGTGACTGTAGATATTTGTCATTATAATGTCTGTGACTGTGACTGTAGATATTTGTCATTATAATCTCTGTGACTGTGACTGTAGATATTTGTCAGTATAATCTCTGTGACTGTGGCTGTAGATATTTGTCATTATAATGTCTGTGACTGTGACTGTAGATATTTGTCAGTATAACCTCTGTGACGGTGGCTGTAGATATTTGTCATTATAATCTCTGTGACGGTGGCTGTAGATATTTGTCAGTATAATCTCTGTGACGGTGGCTGTAGATATTTGTCAGTATAATCTCTGTGACTGTGACTGTAGATATTTTTCATTATAATCACTGTGACTGTGGCTGTAGATATTTGTCAGTATAATCTCTGTGACTGTGGCTGTAGATATTTGTCAGTATAATCTCTGTGACGGTGGCTGTAGATATTTGTCAGTATAATCTCTGTGACTGTGACTGTAGATATTTGTCAGTATAATCTCTGTGACGGTGGCTGTAGATATTTGTCAGTATAATCTCTGTGACTGTGGCTGTAGATATTTGTCAGTATAATCTCTGTGACTGTGGCTGTAGATATTTGTCATTATAATCTCTGTGACTGTGGCTGTAGATATTTTTCAGTATAATCTCTGTGACTGTGGCTGTAGATATTTGTCATTATAATCTCTGTGACTGTGGCTGTAGATATTTTTCAGTATAATCTCTGTGACTGTGACTGTAGATATTTGTCAGTATAATCTCTGTGACTGTGGCTGTAGATATTTGTCAGTATAATCTCTGTGACTGTGGCTGTAGATATTTGTCATTATAATCTCTGTGACGGTGGCTGTAGATATTTGTCATTATAATGTCTGTGACTGTGGCTGTAGATATTTGTCATTATAACCTCTGTGACGGTGGCTGTAGATATTTGTCAGTATAATCTCTGTGACTGTGACTGTAGATATTTGTCATTATAATGTCTGTGACTGTGACTGTAGATATTTGTCATTATAATCTCTGTGACTGTAGATATTTGTGTATAATCTCTGTGAGATATTTGTCAGTATAATCTCTGTGACTGTGGCTGTAGATATTTGTCATTATAATCACTGTGACTGTGGCTGTAGATATTTGTCATTATAATCTCTGTGACGGTGGCTGTAGATATTTGTCAGTATAATCTCTGTGACTGTGGCTGTAGATATTTGTCATTATAATGTCTGTGACGGTGGCTGTAGATATTTGTCAGTATAACCTCTGTGACGGTGGCTGTAGATATTTGTCAGTATAATCTCTGTGACGGTGGCTGTAGATATTTGTCAGTATAATCTCTGTGACGGTGGCTGTAGATATTTGTCATTATAATCTCTGTGACGGTGGCTGTAGATATTTGTCAGTATAATCTCTGTGACGGTGGCTGTAGATATTTGTCAGTATAATCTCTGTGACGGTGGCTGTAGATATTTGTCAGTATAATCTTTGTGACGGTGGCTGTAGATATTTGTCAGTATAATCTTTGTGACGGTGGCTGTAGATATTTGTAGGTATAAAACTTGTGTTTAAGATAAAAATCCACAGCTGACCATTTCGATGTTTGTCTAGTCTAGTAAATGATATAATTATCTGTAGGATTCTATGACAATATCTGCACATGTTTATAACATATTTTGGTTTGTTGTACTGTAGGTCCTGACCAAAGACTCGGTAACCGTTGCTGTTGATGCTGTTGTATATTACCGCGTCCAGAATGCTACCATGTCTATAACTAACGTGGAAGATGCCAACCGCTCCACACGTCTCCTTGCTGCCACAACTCTCCGAAATGTCCTGGGAACTAAGAACCTCAGTGAGATCCTGTCTGAACGCGAATCCATAAGTCATGTGATGCAGGTGAGTTTGACCCTCAACAATAGATACCATTTCTGGGTTACATTATCATTGATGGTAAAAACACAACCCAGGAATCTAAGAACCGGTTTTCTATTTTCCAGAAAGAGGGACCTATTTCTTAGAGCTGGTATACTTGAACCAGGTATCCTACTTTTTCTACAGAGGTAGACCTTAATTTGTGTAAATGACATCCTATGGAAATACATGTAGACTTTAACTGTGGAATGAGAGACACAACCTTGCCCAGAAATGACAACACAATAGTATGCTGTTTACAGGATATACATATTTATTTACAGTTTATATAATGTACAGCTTACATAACACATGCACCCTCACACTCCCACAAAACACGTCTAGTCCATAATCCTTTTCATAAACAACTCCTTTGGGATTGACATGTAGACATTGGCATGACTAACATAATTTTCTGTTGAAACAAATGCATGATAGACCTGGAAATGATGAACATATCTCAAAATCCTGTAGTGATCCAGATCTCTTATTAACAGTCGCAATGGTAATTTCATATACATGTATATGTTATGTTTTGTGGTAAAAGTGGTAGTCCAATCTGTGTTAGTGGTAACAGTGTGTGGTAGTGGTATCCTATCTGTGTTAGTGGTAACAGTGTGTGGTAGTGGTATCCTGTCTGTGTTAGTGGTAACACTGTGTGTTAGTGGTAACAGTTTGTGTTAGTGGTAACAGTGTGTGGTAGTGGTATCCTGTCTGTATTAGTGGTAACACTGTGTGGTAGTGGTATCCTGTCTTTATTTGTGGTAACAGTGTGTGGTTGTAGTATCCTGTCTGTGTTAGTGGTAACAGTGTGTGGTTGTAGTATCCTGTCTGTGTTAGTGGTAACAGTGTGTGTTAGTGGTAACAGTTTGTGTTAGGTATCCTGTCTGTGTTAGTGGTAACATTGTGTGGTAGTGGTATCCTGTCTGTGTTAGTGGTAACAGTTTGTGGTAGTAGTATCCTGTCTGTGTTAGTGGTAACACTGTGTGTTAGTGGTAACAGTTTGTGTTAGTGGTAACATTGTGTGGTAGTGGTATCCTGTCTGTATTAGTGGTAACAGTTTGTGGTAGTGGTATCCTGTCTGTGTTAGTGGTAACAGTTTGTGTTAGGTATCCTGTCTGTATTAGTGGTAACATTGTGTGGTAGTGGTATCCTGTCTGTGTTAGTAGTAACAGTGTGTGGTAGTGGTATCCTGTCTGTATTAGTGGTAATAGTGTGAGGTAGTGGTATCAGTATGTGGTAGTGGTATCCTGTCTGTGTAAGTGGTAACAGTGTGTGGTAGTGGTATCCTGTCTGTGTTAGTGGTAACAGTGTGTGGTAGTGGTATCCTGTCTGTGTTAGTGGTAACATTGTGTGGTAGTGGTATCCTGTCTGTATTAGTGGTAACAGTGTGTGGTAGTGGTATCCTGTCTGTATTAGTGATAACAGTGTGTGGTTGTAGTATCCTGTCTGTGTTAGTGGTAACATTGTGTGGTAGTGGTATCCTGTCTGTATTAGTGGTAACAGTGTGTGGTAGTGGTATCCTGTCTGTATTAGTGGTAACAGTGTGTGGTAGTGGTATCCTGTCTGTATTAGTGGTAATAGTTTGTGGTAGTAGTATCCTGTCTGTGTTAGTGGTAACATTGTGTGGTAGTGGTATCCTGTCTTTATTTGTGGTAACAGTGTGTGGTAGTGGTATCCTGTCTTTATTTGTGGTAACAGTGTGTGGTAGTCCTATCCTGTTTGTGTTTTTGGTATCTACATATGGTGGTCGTAATTTCCATGCAGTTTAAAAAATAATTGTTTTTCTTTTCTTTTTTATACAGGAAAATTACAGAAAGCAAACATATGTAACTTAAAAAAAAAACAATCCACTTTTATAACATATTCAGCACCTTTAGCCATTTACATGGTGTTGTGGGTATTCTTTTACTCTGTACGAAGCATTCTGCAAGTTTGTTTTGCTCTGTAGAAGGGATTCTGTAAGACTTGTATGTAGGGCTGACTTCCACACCGTTGGAGGGATTCTGTAAAACCTGTATGTAGGGCATACTTTTACAGTGTAAGGGAAATTATGTTACAGGGCAACTTATTTGAATGCACCAACCCTTGGGGTATCCATGTAGAGCGAGTAGAGATGTAAGTATGGGATCCCCGGACCGACCTGCCAGGAGTGACTGCATGTTTATCATAATCGCAGTGCAATCTATCATTTATCTTTCTGTTTAGAATTTACATAAATTATATTAATACTATTACCTACCACAACCTTTGCAAACATTGGCCATATTTAAAGATCAAAATATGATAAATTTGGTAATTCAAAAAAATACCCATGAAAAACACATCATAATAGATCATTTTGATTATAGTTATTATGAGTGGAGACAGCTAGATGGTGCTAAATAGGAGCACCATATCTCCGTACTGGAAGCTCAGACTTGGAGATTGCAGTGTTGATATGCAGTAGTCGTATTGATCAAAGTGTAGTTTGGAATGTATTTGATTGTGTATGCATGTGCATTGTCATATATTCAACATTTTCCTGTTCACAAAAAATTCTCTCCAGGGAAATTCAGATCAGATATTGCACAGAGAATGACTTTTTCAATTAATTGAAAGAAAAGTCAGGGTATTCAAAACATATGCCACAGAGTGGACAACAACATTTATCAGTGTATGAACAACAGTTCTCAGTATATAAACAACAGTTCTCACTGATGTGAACAACAATTCTCAGGTGTAAACAAGTTTCCAGTGTATAAACAACAGTTCTCAGGTGTAAACAACAGTTCTCACTGATGTGAACAACAAATTCCCAGGTGTAAACAACAGATATCAGAATATGAAAAACAGTTGTCAGTTATGGTATTCATGTATATTGTCAATATAAGTTAGGAACACATTGTATATAAATAGCATTTCTCATGTAGTTTTCATGGTATGTACAGCAATGTTTGGGATATGAACAGCAGTCATAATGGTATGAAAAGACACTGGCTGGCATGAACAGCTGTTCTGAACCTACATTGTATGAACAACAAATGTTTAATATGGTTGTTGAGGAAGGAGGTGTCACAGTTTTAATTCAGTTCTGAGTGTTTGAACATAGTATAATTAACAGGAGTCATATATACAACTGATCAGCATTATGCTAGGTCATCAGTGGCTGGCACATGGGCAGTAGTTGTCAGGTGTGAGATGAAGTTGTCAGGACATGGGCAGTAGTTGTCAGGTGTGAGATGAAGTTGTCAGGACATGGGCAGTAGTTGTCAGGTGTGAGATGAAGTTGTCAGGACATGGGCAGTAGTTGTCAGGTGTGAGATGAAGTTGTCAGGACATGGGCAGTAGTTGTCAGGTGTGAGATGAAGTTGTCAGGACATGGGCAGTAGTTGTCAGGTGTGAGATGAAGTTGTCAGGAGATGGGCAGTAGTGGTCAGGTGTGAGATGAAGTTGTCAGGACATGGGCAGTAGTTGTCAGGTGTGAGATGAAGTTGTCAGGACATGGGCAGTAGTTGTCAGGTGTGAGATGAAGTTGTCAGGACATGGGCAGTAGTTGTCAGGTGTGAGATGAAGTTGTCAGGACATGGGCAGTAGTTGTCAGGTGTGAGATGAAGTTGTCAGGACATGGGCAGTAGTTGTCAGGTGTGAGATGAAGTTGTCAGGACATGGGCAGTAGTTGGCAGGTGTGAGATGAAGTTGTCAGGACATGGGCAGTAGTTGTCAGGTGTGAGATGAAGTTGTCAGGACATGGGCAGTAGTTGTCAGGTGTGAGATGAAGTTGTCAGGACATGGGCAGTAGTTGTCAGGTGTGAGATGAAGTTGTCAGGACATGGGCAGTAGTTGTCAGGTGTGAGATGAAGTTGTCAGGACATGGGCAGTAGTTGGCAGGTGTGAGATGAAGTTGTCAGGACATGGGCAGTAGTTGTCAGGTGTGAGATGAAGTTGTCAGGACATGGGCAGTAGTTGTCAGGTGTGAGATGAAGTTGTCAGGACATGGGCAGTAGTTGGCAGGTGTGAGATGAAGTTGTCAGGAGATGGGCAGTAGTGGTCAGGTGTGAGATGAAGTTGTCAGGAGATGGGCAGTAGTGGTCAGGTGTGAGATGAAGTTGTAAGCAGATAGGAATTTGTATACATATCAGAATGGTTCCCGGTGTTTCAACAGAAAATTACAGAATGTCTGAAGTTTGATTTGAAGAACATTTGTGTGCCAGTGTTTTGTGGTGTACAAATTTTAATCATTGTATACTTTGAATGCGTATTAATATTTCTTTTGTTTTCAATGTCTTGTCTTCAATAACTACATATCTTGTTTTAGTTAAATTTCATTAACTACAACTCTTATCTTAGTTAAATCATATCTTCTCTTCCATAACTACATCTCTTATCTTAGTTAAATCATATCTTTGCTTCATTAATCCATCTCTTATCTTAGTTAAATCATATCTTCGCTTCATTTACTACAACTCTTATCTTAGTTAAGTCATATCTTCTCTTCCATAACTACATCTCTTATCTTAGTTAAGTCATATCTTCTCTTCCATAACTACATCTCTTATCTTAGTTAAATCATATCTTCTCTTCCATAACTACATCTCTTATCTTAGTTAAATCATATCTTCGCTTCATTAATCCATCTCTTATCTTAGTTAAATCATATCTTCGCTTCATTAATCCATCTCTTATCTTAGTTAAATCATATCTTCTCTTCCATAACTACATCTCTTATCTTAGTTAAGTCATATCTTCTCTTCCATAACTACATCTCTTATCTTAGTTAAATCATATCTTCTCTTCCATAACTACATCTCTTATCTTAGTTAAATCATATCTTCTCTTCATTAATCCATCATCTCTTATCTTAGTTAAATCATATCTTCTCTTCATTAACTACATCTCTTATCTTAGTTAAATCATATCTTCTCTTCATTAATCCATCTCTTATCTTAGTTAAATCATATCATCTCTTATCTTAGTTAAATCTTCATTAATCCATCTCTTATCTTAGTTAAATCATATCTTCTCTTCATTACTACATCTCTTATCTTAGTTAAATCATATCTTCTCTTCATTAATCCATCTCTTATCTTAGTTAAATCATATCTTCTCTTCCATAACTACATCTCTTATCTGAGTTAAATCATATCTTCTCTTCCATAACTACATCTCTTATCTTAGTTAAATCATATTTTCTCTTCATTAATCCATCTCTTATCTTAGTTAAATCATATCTTCTCTTCATTAATCCATCTCTTATCTTAGTTAAATCATATCTTCGCTTCATTAATCCATCTCTTATCTTAGTTAAATCATATCTTCGCTTCATTAATCCATCTCTTATCTTAGTTAAGTCATATCTTCGCTTCATTTACTACATCTCTTATCTTAGTTAAATCATATCTTTGCTTCATTAATCCATCTCTTATCTTAGTTAAATCATATCTTCTCTTCCATTAACTACATCTCTTATCTTAGTTAAATCATATCTTCTCTTCATTAATCCATCTCTTATCTTAGTTAAATCATATCTTCTCTTCATTAATCCATCTCTTATCTTAGTTAAATCATATCTTCTCTTCCATTAACTACATCTCTTATCTTAGTTAAATCATATCTTCTCTTCATTAATCCATCTCTTATCTTAGTTAAATCATATCTTCGCTTCATTAATCCATCTCTTATCTTAGTTAAGTCATATCTTCGCTTCATTTACTACATCTCTTATCTTAGTTAAGTCATATCTTCTCTTCCATAACTACATCTCTTATCTGAGTTAAATCATATCTTCTCTTCCATAACTACAACTCTTATCTTAGTTAAATCATATCTTCTCTTCATTAACTACATCTCTTATCTTAGTTAAATCATATCTTCTCTTCATTAATCCATCTCTTATCTTAGTTAAATCATATCTTCTCTTCCATAACTACATCTCTTATCTTAGTTAAGTCATATCTTCGCTTCATTAATCCATCTCTTATCTTAGTTAAATCATATCTTCTCTTCCATAACTACATCTCTTATCTTAGTTAAATCATATCTTCTCTTCATTAATCCATCTCTTATCTTAGTTAAGTCATATCTTCGCTTCATTAATCCATCTCTTATCTTAGTTAAGTCATATCTTCGCTTCATTAATCCATCTCTTATCTTAGTTAAGTCATATCTTCGCTTCATTAATCCATCTCTTATCTTAGTTAAGTCATATCTTCGCTTCATTAATCCATCTCTTATCTTAGTTAAGTCATATACATCTCTTATCTTAGTTAAGTCATATCTTCTCTTCATTAATCCATCTCTTATCTTAGTTAAATCATATCTTCTCTTCATTAACTACATCTCTTATCTTAGTTAAATCATATCTTCTCTTCATTAATCCATCTCTTATCTTAGTTAAATCATATCTTCTCTTCCATAACTACATCTCTTATCTTAGTTAAATCATATCTTCTCTTCCATAACTACATCTCTTATCTTAGTTAAATCATATCTTCTCTTCATTAATACATCTCTTATCTTAGTCATATCTTCTCTTCCATAACTACATCTCTTATCTTAGTTAAATCATATCTTCTCTTCCATAACTACATCTCTTATCTTAGTTAAATTATATCTTCTCTTCTGATACTATCCCAGTTCTATACATCTCTGTTCCTCTGTGTTGAAGTGTTGTATACACTAACACCCCTGAAAGCTTGAGTTTTGTTTGGTTTGTTTTGTACTTTGATATTTTTCCTTCAGAGTTCACTGGATGATGCTACCGACCCCTGGGGTGTCAAGGTAGAGCGAGTTGAAGTGTAAGTACTCCAGTAAGGTGAAAGGCATACAGACAAGTAGATAAGGCTAATCTAACACAGGCGCTCTCTTACAGACATATTATAATGTATACAAGAAGGTAAACTCACTCATTCTCACCTGAGAGTTTGCACAGGTACAAGTATATAATATCACTCTTTCTCACCTTCGTGTTGCACAGGTACAAGTACGTAATATCACTCATTCTCACCTGAGATTTGCACAGGTACAAATATGTAATATCACACTTTCTCACCTGCGTGTTGCACAGGTACAGGTATGTAATATCACTCATTCTCATCTATAGATTCACTGGTAAGTACCTCCACTAGTTCTCACCTAAGAGTATCATTAGGTCCCCCTCCCACCCACTCATTCTCACCTAAGAGTACCATTAAGTCCCCCTCCCACTCACTCATTCTCAGCTTAGAGTATCATTAAGTCCCCCTCCTACCCACTCATTCTCAGCTTAGTGTGTCATGAAATACCCCTACTTCTTTTTACCTGAAAGTGTCACAGATACATGCAAATAACCCTACTCATTTTCCAATGTGAAAATTTGAAATATTTCTTTTTACTGAGTGACTATGTGAAAATATTTATCGTTGGCTCCATGCAGTGCAGTCTTAATTTGCTTGGGATTTGGCAAAATTCTTCCTGAGCTTCAGAAACCTGAAATTAAGTTCAGAATTCTCTGCTTACATCACACATAGTCATCCCTGCAGCATGCTATCTATGTCTGTTACTGGAGTTCGATTCTGGAGCACCACGCATGAGTCTAAGTGTGATTAACATAAACTTTGTTGAATATTTACAAGTTGTTTGACTTATTAATTTGGTTTTTTTAAATTTAATTTTGATAGTGAATAGATTTACTTTGTCAGGTTCTGTCTGTTTTTCACTCAATAGTAAGATGCTTTATTCTGATTTCCTTAAAAATTTATATATGCTGTGTTTTAGTTTCATTTCACTAGACAATTTCACATTGCCTTGTTTAGGTCTTTGTAAAAAGTTTGTATTTTTCTGTCTGTGTTAGAGTCGTTAAAGTACAACTGAGCTGATTGGAGGTCACAATAATTTCCATTTTTAGTGCTGCATCTATAAACGACCATTTTTTTCTTCACCTTAATCTTTTAACAAGTGTTTTTTCCAAAACTCTTATTGACATTAAGCTTGCTAGAAATTAAGGTTATAGATTTAAATGTTATAGATATGTAGGAGATGTTTTCATAGACACAAAAATATTATGTACGATCAATATTGCTTTCCATTCCTTCCAATAATAGTGACAATTTATCAACGTTTTTCCTCTGTTAAAAGTTTTCTGATGAAATAATGACATATTGTTCTTCAGTAAAGACGTCCGACTGCCTGTCCAGTTACAGAGAGCAATGGCTGCGGAGGCTGAGGCTGCCAGGGAGGCCAGGGCAAAGGTCAGTAGGGGTCATAGGGTCAAATCCTATGCCTAGTACATTTGTACATTGTGTACGCTCCATAGCACAAAGCTTAGTATCTCATGAACTGCCCATCCTATTTAGTTGACATTTACACAATGTGGTAGTCATCAAGCAACAATTACATCTAAAACATCATGATTCATTAATGCTTCAGTATGATTTTACATGTACTTAGTACACAGTATGAAGGCATTCTACACCTTCGTAGATACTTATATAACATGTTTTAGTATGGTTTACACCTGTGTATAATCTGTTTAAGATGCAGCCCATTGGGTTCATTAATTAAGACAATACCCATTAGTCTCTAGAGAGCTCCCTGTCAGTGGTGTGTAACAGGTCTGTTAGAGGGCCCCCTGTCAGGGTTGTGTAACAGGTCTGTTAGAGGGCCCCCTGTCACTGTTGTGTAACAGGTCTGTTAGAGGCCCCGCTGTCATCGTTGTGTAACAGGTCTGTTAGAGGGCTCCCTGTCAGTATTGTGTAACAGGTCTGTTAGAGGGCTCCCTGTCAGTGTTGTGTAACAGGTCTGTTAGAGGGCTCCCTGTCAGTGTTGTGTAACAGGTCTGTTAGAGGGCCTCCTGTCAGGGTTGTGTAACAGGTCTGTTAGAGGGCCCCCTGTCAGGGTTGTGTAACAGGAGAAGCCCCCCAGTCAGGGTTGTGTAACAGGTCTGTTAGAAGGCCCCCTGTCAGGGTTGTGTAACAGGTCTGTTAGAGGGCTCCCTGTCAGTGTTGTGTAACAGGTCGGTTAGAGGGCCTCCTGTCAGGGTTGTGTAACAGGTCTGTTAGGGGGCCCCCTGTCAGGGTTGTGTAACAGGTCTGTTAGATGGCCCCCCTGTCAGGGTTGTGTAACAGGTCTGTTAGAGGGCCCCCTGTCACTGTTGTGTAACAGGTCTGTTAGAGGCCCCGCTGTCATCGTTGTGTAACAGGTCTGTTAGAGGGCTCCCTGTCAGTATTGTGTAACAGGTCTGTTAGAGGGTTCCCTGTAAGTGTTCTCTAACAGGTCGGTTAGAGGGCCTCCTGTCAGGGTTGTGTAACAGGTCTGTTAGAGGGCCCCCTGTCAGTGTTGTGTAACAGGTCTGTTAGAGGGCCCCCTGTCAGTGTTGTGTAACAGGTCTGTTAGAGGCCCCCCTGTCAGTGTTGTGTAACAGGTCTGTTAGATGGCCCCCTGTCAGGGTTGTGTAACAGGTCTGTTAGAAGCCCCCCTGTAAGTGTTGTGTAACAGGTCTGTTAGATGGCCCCCTGTCAGGGTTGTGTAACAGGTCTGTTAGAGGGCCTCCTGTCAGGGTTGTGTAACAGGTCTGTTAGAGGGCTCCCTGTCAGTGTTGTGTAACAGGTCTGTTAGAGGGCCTCCTGTCAGGGTTGTGTAACAGGTCTGTTAGAGGGCCCCCTGTCAGGGTTGTGTAACAGGTCTGTTAGAAGCCCCCCTGTCAGTGTTGTGTAACAGGTCTGTTAGATGGCCCCCTGTCAGGGTTGTGTAACAGGTCTGTTAGAGGGCTCCCTGTAAGTATTGTATAACAGGTCTGTTAGAGGGCTCCCTGTCAGTGTTGTGTAACAGGTCGGTTAGAGGGCCTCCTGTCAGGGTTGTGTAACAGGTCTGTTAGGGGGCCCCCTGTCAGGGTTGTGTAACAGGTCTGTTAGATGGCCCCCCTGTCAGGGTTGTGTAACAGGTCTGTTAGAGGGCCCCCTGTCACTGTTGTGTAACAGGTCTGTTAGAGGCCCCGCTGTCATCGTTGTGTAACAGGTCTGTTAGAGGGCTCCCTGTCAGTATTGTGTAACAGGTCTGTTAGAGGGTTCCCTGTCAGTGTTCTCTAACAGGTCGGTTAGAGGGCCTCCTGTCAGGGTTGTGTAACAGGTCTGTTAGAGGGCCCCCTGTCAGTGTTGTGTAACAGGTCTGTTAGAGGGCCCCCTGTCAGTGTTGTGTAACAGGTCTGTTAGAGGCCCCCCTGTCAGTGTTGTGTAACAGGTCTGTTAGATGGCCCCCTGTCAGGGTGGTGTAACAGGTCTGTTAGAAGCCCCCCTGTCAGTGTTGTGTAACAGGTCTGTTAGATGGCCCCCTGTCAGGGTTGTGTAACAGGTCTGTTAGAGGGCTCCCTGTCAGTATTGTATAACAGGTCTGTTAGAGGGCTCCCTGTCAGTGTTGTGTAACAGGTCGGTTAGAGAGCCTCCTGTCAGGGTTGTGTAACAGGTCTGTTAGAGGGCCCCGTGTCAGGGTTGTGTAACAGGTCTGTTAGATGGCCCCCTGTCAGGGTTGTGTAACAGGTCTGTCAGAGGGCCCCCTGTCAGTATTGTGTAACAGATCTGTTAGAGGGCTCCCTGTCAGGGTTGTGTAACAGGTCTGTTAGAGGGCTCCCTGTCAGGGTTGTGTAACAGGTCTGTTAGAGGGCTCCCTGTCAGTATTGTGTAACAGTTCTGTTAGAGGGCTCCCTGTCAGTGTTCTCTAACAGGTCGGTTAGAGGGCCTCCTGTCAGTGTTGTGTAACAGGTCTGTTAGATGGCCCCCTGTCAGTGTTGTGTAACAGGTCTGTTAGAGGGCCCCCTGTCAGTGTTGTGTAACAGGTCTATTAGAGGGCCCCCTGTCAGTGTTGTGTAACAGGTCTGTTAGAGGGCCCCCTGTCAGTGTTGTGTAACAGGTCTGTTAGATGGCCCCCTGTCAGGGTTGTGTAACAGGTCTGTTAGAGGGCTCCCTGTCAGTATTGTATAACAGGTCTGTTAGAGGGTTCCCTGTCAGTGTTGTGTAACAGGTCGGTTAGAGGGCCTCCTGTCAGGGTTGTGTAACAGGTCTGTTAGAGGGCCCCGTGTCAGGGTTGTGTAACAGGTCTGTTAGATGGCCCCCTGTCAGGGTTGTGTAACAGGTCTGTCAGAGGGCCCCCTGTCAGTATTGTGTAACAGATCTGTTAGAGGGCCCCCTGTCAGGGTTGTGTAACAGGTCTGTTAGAGGGCTCCCTGTCAGGGTTGTGTAACAGGTCTGTTAGAGGACTCCCTGTCAGTATTGTGTAACAGGTCTGTTAGAGGGCTCCTTGTCAGTGTTGTGTAACAGGTTGGTTAGAGGGCCTCCTGTCAGTGTTGTGTAACAGGTCTGTTAGAGGGCCCCCAGTCAGGGTTGTGTAACAGGTCTGTTAGAAGGCCCCCTGTCAGGGTTGTGTAACAGGTCTGTTAGAGGGCTCCCTGTCTGGGTTGTGTAACAGATCTGTTGGAGAGCCCCCTGTCACTGTTGTGTAACAGGTCTGTTAGAGGGCCCCCTGTCACTGTTGTGTAACAGGTCTGTTAGAGGGGCCCCTGTCAGTGTTGTGTAACAGGTCTGTTAGAGGGGCCCCTGTCAGTGTTGTGTAACAGGTCTGTTAGAGGCCCCGCTGTCATCGTTGTGTAACAGGTCTGTTAGAGGCCCCCTTTTAATGTTGTGTATCAGGCCTCTAAGAGGGCCCCCTTTTTGTGTTGTGTATCAGGCCTTTAAGAGGGCCCTCAGTCAGTACCGTTAACATGGTGAATTGATCTTTTCTAGGTGATTGCTGCCGAAGGAGAACAGAAAGCATCACGAGCTCTGAAGGAAGCTGCCGATGTCATCTCCGAGTCGCCTGCTGCTATCCAACTCCGATACCTTCAGACTCTCAACACTATTTCTGCAGAGAAAAACTCCACCATCATTTTCCCACTGCCAATAGACCTGGTGCAGTCCATCTTAGGTCGACAAGGATCAAGTCTTTGATAGAGTGTCACCTGACAACAAGATTTGCACTGGCTGTTGCTATTTAATGTGAGATAGTGACACACCATTGGAATGCAAGTGGTAGAAAATAAAAGTTGGAATTGGAGATAAACAGTGAGGATAGGATGACAGAGTACAGAATATTAACTGTATACTCAAGTACTTACATGTAACCATGATACCATCCACTAATATAACAATGATAATTTGTAACCATGGTAACATATTTTGTAACTTGTGTAACCAGAAATTTGCTGTGAGATATAACAGTAAAGTAGATTTGAATTTCCAAATAATCTCTCACTATTACTAAACTCATCATGTTTCAATTAAATGTCAGCCGAAAATCATCAAAAATATCCGTGATGGTGTAAACTTTATAAAATCTTGACATGAATAAATGTCAGCCAAAAGTTCTTATTTAGTCTCCATGGTGACGTAACCATTTTCAGATGCTTAGAGCTCTTGTGAATATATTGTTTATTTAGGTTTTCAAAAAATGTGAATTTTGATTAAAATTGAAATCTCTCATCGCACATTGTACACAAGTACAGAGAAAACTAACATTACTGTACAGATCAATCGGTCTCTCCCTCTCATCATTGCAAGATCTTTGATGGGTTATCTTTTCACTTTATCTGAAGAAAATCAGATGTCGAGACATATTGAAGAGAAAGCATATTGTAACGATTGTATTTAAGTTACCTGTATCCTACAATGTACCTGATAATCAAACAAGAATTGTAATGTGTTTTAAGTTTTATTATTAAAAGATCAAAAATTATTTTACTGATGGTGTATCTAATCAGAATGAAGCTTTGTCTGATATTGTCATGAGTAAAACATTTACATTGAGTACTAATTAAAGGCCACTTTGAACGGTCACCCTCTGTCTGGTCAGTTTGAACGGTCACCCTCTGTCTGGTCAGTTTGATCAGTCACCCTCTGTCTTGCCAGTTTGAACGGTCACCTTCTGTCTGTCTGGTCAGTTTGAAATGTTACACTTAATCAGATCAGTTTCAACAGTCAGTCAGATCACTTTAATATGAATTTTGTATATTTCACAAATCATGTACATGTTGCTGTAGATTTTTCTACAATCTTATGTTGAAGTCATGTGGTCATTGAATGTTAACTACTGTACCTAACGTGTACTGGAAAATTTCATCTAATCAAGTAATGATAGTAGACTTGACTTCCTAGTGGAAAGTGTCTCAGCATGGCTACTGGTCTTGGGAAGGTCTTGGAGATTAATGGCTACTGGTCTTAGGAAGGCCTTGAAGATTAATGGCTACTGGTCTTAGGAAGGCCTTGGAGATTAATGGCTACTGGTCTTTGGAAGGTCTGGAAGATTAATGGCTACTGGTCTTAGGAAGGTCTTGGAGATTAATGGCTACTGGTCTTAGGAAGGCCTTGGAGATTAATGGCTACTGGTCTTAGGAAGGCCTTGGAGATTAATGGCTACTGGTCTTAGGAAGGCCTTGGAGATTAATGGCTACTGGTCTTAGGAAGGCCTTGGAGATTAATGGCTACTGGTCTTAGGAAGGCCTTGGAGATTAATGGCTACTGGTCTTAGGAAGGCCTTGGAGATTAATGGCTACTGGTCTTAGCAAGGTCTGGGAGATTAATGGCTACTGGTCTTAGGAAGGCCTTGGAGATTAATGGCTACTGGTCTTAGGAAGGTCTTGAAGATTAATGGCTACTGGTCTTAGGAAGGTCTTGGAGATTAATGGCTACTGGTCTTAGGAAGGCCTTGGAGATTAATGGCTACTGGTCTTAGGAAGGCCTTGGAGATTAATGGCTACTGGTCTTAGGAAGGCCTTGAAGATTAATGGCTACTGGTCTTAGCAAGGTCTGGGAGATTAATGGCTACTGGTCTTAGGAAGGCCTTGGAGATTAATGGCTACTGGTCTTAGGAAGGCCTTGGAGATTAATGGCTACTGGTCTTAGCAAGGTCTGGGAGATTAATGGCTACTGGTCTTAGGAAGGCCTTGGAGATTAATGGCTACTGGTCTTAGCAAGGTCTGGGAGATTAATGGCTACTGGTCTTAGGAAGGTCTTGGAGATTAATGGCTACTGGTCTTAGTAAGGCCTTGAAGATTAATGGCTACTGGTCTTTGGAAGGTCTTGAAGATTAATGGCTACTGGTCTTAGGAAGGTCTTGAAGATTAATGGCTGCTGGTCTTTGGAAGGTCTTGAAAATTAATGGCTACTGGTCTTAGGAAGGTCTTGAAGATTAATGGCTACTGGTCGTAGGAAGGTCTTGAAGATTAATGGCTACTGGTCTTAGGAAGGTCTTGAAGATTAATGGCTACTGGTCTTAGGAAGGTCTTGGAGATTAATGGCTACTGGTCTTTGGAAGGTCTTGAAGATTAATGGCTACTGGTCTTTGGAAGGTCTTGAAGATTAATGGCTACTGGTCTTAGGATGGTCAGGACTACTGACCTAACAAATATCAGGGAACCTGACCTTGGTAGCGTAAAGGAGTTTGGCTACTGGCCATGGAATGTTTAGAGAGCTGGGCCTTGGTAGGTCAGGGAGCTGGACTACTGACCTTGGTAGGTTAGGGAGCTGGACTACTGACCTTGGTTGGGTCAGGGACGAGGTGTCATTGGACATTGATAGTGTGTATAACACAAAACTTCTAATTTATTCTTTACCTTCATAGACTAAAAGTCCTTAAATTACTTGAGCATTTGTTGAAAAGTTACCAATAGCATTACAGATTGCCATCAAGTTTCTTCCATTAACAACACCTATTTATGACAAATAATATAATTAATGGTGACACTCAAATCAACATGTCTCTTCCAGATTCCTTTACTTAAAGCAGACAGTATGAAGTTAAAGAACTATAATCATTTATATGATTAAGTATAGAACTCCTTGTTGAGACATCACTAGCTGTTGATAGTTGATATTTTTGCTGTAGTGTAAATCACCATGTCTCTATTTGGACAGTGAACAATTGGACAGTGAAAAGCTGAAGATTAATTAAATCCCAATAAATGAAGGACACTTGTGGAATATGTAATGGTATTTAGGTATGTTGTTTATTGTAGGGAATTTTATTGACTTTACAATTATATCATTGGTGACAGATTTTCTCATTGACAACAAATATAAGTCTATTTGGTAGGTGAAGGGACATAACTCTGTTTTCCGTTTATCACACTGGTTTGGGTCATGTCTTTGATTTTGTAGTAGAATTGTAACTCTGGTTTAGACAACTGTATCTGTCATTTATATCATTATAACTGTCATCCATTCAGCCATTTGGAAACATGTACAGTGCCTTGGACTAGAACTCTGTGGGTTCCCGTCTATCATTCTACATCATGATGTGTGCAGTTTACTTTTTAATTGTTACTGTAAAGGGTAAATAGCAATTACAGACCTGATCTGAAAAATATTGTGTTCAATTATTTAAATGTTTAATCATATATCTACTATAATATATGAACGACATGGCACTAGAAGCTCACTGTATGCCAAATAGCATTGATTCATTTCTAATTACAGAAACCATTTAATTTGTAGGAATTATCTATTTGTAGAAAATGGCCTGGAATGGTTTTATTGTATATTTGATGTACTTTAGATAGATGAACTGAGTACACCTTCGTTGTTAGGTCATGTGAAATCTTCTTCAGTAACATTTCTGTGTTGTGATTGTATTGTTATACTGATAATCAGGATATATCTTACCTACTCGACTATATATACTATATCTTGTAATAAAAATAAGTGTCAGATTATTTCAGATTTATTTTATCGTTAACCCTGCACAGTCATCAGCTTTGGGGCTGTTCAAATCACTCTCCATTCATTCACTAAATGGATCATACTCAGTTTTTATACGCCCGTCGAAAGACAGACGTATTATGGTATGACGCTGTCCGTCCGTCTGTCCAGCGTCCGTCATTAACTTTTATTTTTCCGGAGGTCTCCTCCTACATTTTCAGCCGATCTTTATGAAACTTGGTAGGCTTAATCACCATGATATGAAATTTTGTTTTCCTGGATAGGGTTTTGATTAGACGATTTGAACAAGAGTTATGGCCCTTTGTTTATTTCACTATAGTAATCTTGTCCGGAGATCTCCTCCAACATTTTTCAGCCGATATTTATGAAACTTGGTAGGCTTAATCACCATGATATGAAATTGTGTTTTCCTGAATAGGGTTTTGATTAGATGATTTGAACAAGAGTTATGGCCCTTTGTTTATTTCACTATAGAAATCTTGTCCAGAGATCCCCTCCAACATTTTTCAGGCGAACTTTATGAAACTTGGTAGGCTTAATCACTATGATATGAAATTGTGTTTTACATGAAGTTACTTAATGTAAGTATATTATAAGTTCCATTCGACCTATATCATTGCATTGTTCATTAGGAACTGTAGTGATAAACATAACACAAACACAAATGAACAATCTGATAATAAATAATCTTTATTTATTTTACAACAATTGCAAAGCAAGTTTTTCCAACTTAAATTAATCACTCTTATTGGCTCAGATGGAAGCGCACTAGGGGTCTTAGTGTGGAGGAAACTGGAGTGCCGTGGAAAGCCCACGTGTTCGGGTAGGTGACCCCATACCTTTTCACATCAATTCCGGAATCGAACCCCTGACGGCGAGGTGAAAGGCGAGTGCGTTACCACTGCGCCACCAGACCAATAGCCTGCCATCATAGATTTTGACAATCACACTTTGTTCATCCGTTCCTGAGAAGTACTGAATGGATTTTTCTCACATATGTAGATTGCGGAGATGTGCTCTTATGATTATGTATTGATCAGAAAGACAAAAATGACTTGCAGGCGGGGATCATGTTTTTGTCTTTAGACACGTTGCATGGGTCATTCTCAGATTCACATTTTCTTGGAATGAAGCCCTACGAAGTTTTCAAAAAGGAATGACCTTGACCCATAATCAAGGTCAAAGGGCTTGAATCTGTTGAAATGCTCAAATAACATCTTGCAATTACCTTAAGGTTCAGAATCTTGTTATTTGGTCGGTAGGTTCTTTTAAGTCCAAGAAAGTGTTCAAAAATAAAAAGACCTTAACTCTTATTCAAGGTCATAGATCAAATTTTTTGAAAAGTTTTTAACGACTTGTGATTGGTCAAAGGGCCTTGAAGCATGACGTTTGTCTGGTAGGTTCTTTTGATGAAGCCTACATCATTTAGGAAGAGAAATGACATTGATCTCTATTTGATGTCACAGTGGTCAAATCTGTGAAAAAAATCTAAAACCAAAAAGCTTAGAATCAGGGCCAGGAATGAAGTTTAACAAATTTTGCGTTCAAATGGACGCAATTTCTTAAAATCTTCAAATAACTTTCTACAATTTCTATTTCATTGTTAAGAATTTTCCAGTAACAAGCCTACTTCACCAACTTACGATACCAACATGTCGTCTTTGGTTCCATTATTTATGGCTTGTTCAAAATGTCATGATGTCCGTTAAAGTAAGCCGACAAGCTTACAACACAACTTCGACAGACACAGATTGATGAAGACTGGAAAGTTTAACGTCACCACCGTGATCACACTGGGAAAGTTAGAGGTTTTTAGATTCTTGTTGATATGCTTGGTGGTTTCATCGTAGCAAGATTCTGAAGACGCTTACTCTTTCGGAACACTTGTCTAATAATTCTAAAGATCCCCGTGCTAATATAACCTTTTTCAGATATTTTCTTGTTGTTAATTTTAGATAGGAAACATATTTGACTGCTTGATAGGCTCATATAGAAAGAAAAGTGATTCCGTCACACACATGGCCAGTGACCCGTATGTACACTGAACTTTACATGGCCTAATGGAGGTGATATGTACCTGTAATTCCCATAGCTTCAACACTTCCACTGATAAACTTAAAAAACAATTGTAACTATTATAGCTATTTGTACACTTGGGGTCAAGCGTTCGATTCCCGGCACGGACGTGGAAAAGGAACAGGGTCATCTGTCTGACCACGTGAGGTTTCCTCTCACATGATACCTCGCGTGCTTCCATTTTGATCAACAAGAGTGATTAATATAAGTTTACAGCTTATTTTGCAATAGTTGTAAAATAAATAAATTTGATATTCGGATACATAACCAATATCAAGCGCTAGTGACTCCTATATAATTGCCTTATCGTGGAATTTCCTCAAGTTTTTATTTGTTGTGTCAGTTTAGCATGACCTGTGTATGCAAAACTTAACTCACAGTGACAGCTCTTTACCGTGGGACTCGTGTATTTAAAATCGCATATCATATTTTTTTAATTTCTTGAAATCATATCCAGGACTGGATTAGATCAGATTATCAACATGTTGATAAATAGTTCTTGTCCGCAATCTGCGAATTTACGCCCGTCGACTCGTACCACTGACCAGACGGCGAAGCTTGCCCCGAGAAAACCTCTGCCACTCCTGAATCAATGTAGCCTGTAGTTCTCCAGGTGTGTGCCACGTTTATATATCAAATGTCAGGTGATCGCAGGCCTGCCAATTACAGTTTTGTTTGTATCTGGTTCCATTATTAACGCGAACACTGACGTTTCACTGTCCTCTGAGCCTGCTGGCGGAAGTGGATGTGGCTCGCCTTGTCTGTCTACACAGAAGCCGATCTTCTTTATCTATCTTTCGAGGTATGCTGGACCTGGGACGCTCGTCTACTCAGTGTGGTTCAGACGCTGCATTAACCGAGAAAAAACAGAATAGCTGACATTAAAACGTGAAGCTACCGCCCTGCAAGTCATACAGCTTTGAAGCGTGCCTGAAGCTTGCCATCTTTCAGCATTTGTCAATTTTTGACAAATCATTTTTAAATGTAGTATGAACATGTTTCTGATTTACCAGCGATACAGCGATGGTTGAGTTATTTTATCTCCCCCATCTAGTCTCTGACATTTAATTCGATTCAGTTCCCTGTAGTCGCCGCCTTTGCTCCTTGGTTCTTTTGAGTTGAAAGGTGCTTTGTCACCTGTTACACAATCTATCAAATTCGACAGTATATTTTATCTACTAAAAATAGGGAAAACTTTTTTTCAAACCATACACACTCCAAAGTTTCTTATTGTGCCGATCTCGAAAGGATGAAAAAAAAACATTATTGCTGAAGTTTGACTTTTCTTTTCTGTTTAAGTGTAGGTGAGTCATTACAATATAGGTTAGATTCAGTTTTTGTTGTTGTTGTTGTTGTTGTTGTTGTTGTTGTTGTTGTTGTTGTTGTTGTTGTTGTTCTGTTGTTGTTGTTGTTGTTATAATGGTTTACTGGTGTTGGGTGACTGGCTTTTGTGTAAAGACGTGACCCTGACAGTAAAAGTGAAATCTATTCACGTGTAAGTAATATACATGTATACAGCCGAATGTGAATGCAAATTAAATAAAAACAAGATGGTAAATGTGATGAGAAAGTCATCTGTCTTCAGGCTGTTGACGCCCACGTTCGTCTGGCATAGCCTTACTCTGAAATATTGATCTCGTTAACACAACAAACTCAAAAATGAAAATAAATACAAATTCTCAAAGTTTAAGTGGCTTAGGTGTTTACATCCTTAAGGTGCTATCTAGTAGATTAAGTGTAGTGTGTCGACCTCACCACTCTTGACGACCATGTTCATGCTCCGGTAAATCACATGTGAACGTGCTTGCACGTTTTGTCTCTCGATTCAGACAAGAAGTCAAAAGAATATGTATTCCATGTTGGAGCTGCAATTCTTGTTAACAAAATTTTGTCTATAAAAAACCTGCCTTATTTTGACGAGCTCTTCAATTTTGTACCGAATTAGGATATAGGGTAGACGTTAAGAAAAGTTTTGGCCAAACGAATAATCATCGGTTTGTAACATTAACCGCAATCCATCTAATACGTGGCTACGGTACTTGGACAACATAGCGGTTGAACTAGACAATAAGATTGCCCATATTCATAAACAATCCTGTCACGCAATTAGTCAACGAAGATTTTCCCGTAGCTATTGTAGGTTCCTCTTCTCATCATCAGTAGGACAACGCCGCTATGGTCGTAACAACGGTGTCGCTTAAAGACTAGCCCCACTCGAATCCCACCGCTTCCACCAAAATGGAATTTACGGTCGCCTGAGATACGCCGAACGGTCACCGTTCTCCTGCCGATCACCAAGACGATGTATCTATGAAAGCAGACAAACTTTGGCAATGCATGTCAGTGATTGGTCATGGGATTCAGATTATTGAGAAAACACACACGACCGACCTACTTTATGGACAAAATTTCTACTTAAGGTATGTTGGATTTGTATGTATATACTGCCGCTGATGTCCATGTCCTCGGCACAGCGGTCAAAGGTAAGCTGACTGCGGGGTAAGATGTTGATCGGGCAAGGTTGATCATTGAAGCATTGATAAATCGTCAAATCAATTAAATAATCTATAAGGGACGATTATACAAATAAACCAGTAATGACTACAAATCCTTGTTTATACGAGATGGCCAAACTCCCTCTGGGCGCAAGGTACCAAAGTGTCCGAATCACTGAACCGAGTATTACACGATACTCCATGATAAATACTACCACACTTTGGTATAAAGTTTGGGTCAGTATCTCTTCTACAACATAGGTGTAGATACGTGTTTGTGCCCGGACGCAATTCCAAACATCCTGGAAATCGGTATCCACTCTCCAGTTCTGGACGAATATCCTATCCCCAGTCCAAGAAGCAAGTACGCAATACAACATCCAACCAAGGTAAATATACCTCATCATCGCATCCATGTTGTACCACAGAGAACTAATTTGTTACCAACGTCGTTCTGCTGCCGTAGCAGAAGTTTGCTAAACCCAGGTTCCAATGAGTGATTGGAAAAGACATTCTGTTCGTCCCAGTTATTAGAAAGCAGCTTGTACCAGCCTACATGTTGTAAGGTTGAATCTCTGGCCCAGGGTCTTTCACACGGATTCATGTGTGTGTCTTTTTTTATAGTCATTGATTAGAGGTAACTGCAACATTTTCGTCTGATAAAGAAATTGTTAACCAAGATTGTAGATATCATGATATCCAGTGTTAATTTATGACAAAAAGAGTTCAATTTTGAAACTCAAATATATTGCAATAGCCAATGTCAGTTTCCGTAAAATTAAACGCTCTTTCACATATATGTAAATGAGATGATATGTTACAGTGCAGATGTTTAGGTTTTCAGTTACCATGTGGTTGGTTGGAACCCTTTATTACTTTGTCCTGACTGGTATGCTGTCTGTGACTTCGGTTCTGGCCGTGTGCCCGCACGACAACAACACGTTATCGAGATGGAGCGACCCTAGTACATGGCCTACCAACACAGTGAGTAAAACACTCCTCTTGTCCGTCTTTCCTGAAAATTATGTATTGCCAAAATTGCTGATGGTTTTTGGGGTTCTTCTCATGCCAGTATTCCGTCCTGTATTCGTGATTAAACTCTTTTTTCAGTATATTCCTTTGAGTTTTGTGGTTGTTTTTACTTTTTAGTATTCTGTCCTGTCATTTTCATTCTATATGTGTTATTCATAAAATTCCTTAATACCCGTCTGTTTACTGTTGCAGTATTCGTCAGTGTTTCATGTAGTTTCTAGTACAGCTGATTGTTAGTATTGTTGTTTCCTGTAGCTTCTGTGAGATTCGTGTTTATTGTCTGTCGATAGTGTTGCTTACGAGCAAAAATGATATCACTAAAATCTTAGAAATTACAGACATGTTCAGAACTCTACAATTTGTTGCAGCTTCCAATGGCCGGCGATACAGTGACAATTTCCGGGCACGTGCTTCTGGACGTGTCTCCTCCGGCCATGTTTGGCATTGTGATTGAGGCTGGCGCTAGCCTCGTCTGGAGTCCGAAAGGAGATTTTCACGTATTTACGAACTACATTCATGTAAAAGGAGCATTCCTGATTGGCTCAGAGACTTGTCCATTTCATGCAAACGCTCGCATCACCTTGACGGGTACATGACATTTCTACATGTGTATACCTCGTGTCTTCAGTCATTAGTTTAGCGTCTTGGTTTCTTCAGTGAGAGTTGTTAAATACACGATCAAATGAAATGCGTCAATGAAATAACACAAATGTAGATACATATCTGACAGGGAAAATTACATCTTAATCCAGTTAGAGTTTGGTAATCCTATCATCTGAAAGACATATCTTGTGTTTTCAGGCAAACGAAAAGAATATTCCTTGCCGAATTTCGGTCAGAAATTTATTGGCGTTGATGCAGGAGGTACATTAGAGATTCATGGCAGGAAGAAGCTTGCATGGACAAAGCTGACAAAGACATTACCACGTCTGGAGGCAGGCAACGGACTTCTGTACACACACTTGGATTTCGTGAGTCTGACGGCCCATTGTTTATATAACAATTGCCCTCTCTCTGATTTGTGACTTTATAGCGAACTTCATATAACTAAATCTCGCCATTTCGGATTTTTAGTCTGCCTTCCAATTAACCTATCAAAATCCTCCTTCGATTCCATGCGTGTTGCATCCTTCTAGGTTTACTGTTGTACGTATTTTCTTTCTATCCAATATGATATCCATATGCATTATAATATTGGTGTTGTCTGGATATATAACAACAATTTGGATTCTGTCACTACAGTGACCAATGTAGCTCTCACTAGTACTTTTTTGTAATTTTCTTGAATATTTTCAACTCTACAGCCTAACAGAAGAGACAGGAAAGGATTAGGAATGTATGCTTTCAATACAGACGGTAGCCGATACAAGACGGCTGTGGTGGCTACAACTGGATCGAACCAGGCAGATGTACAGATGGGTATTCAATACCTCCAAAAGTGGTTACCAAGTATGTTACGAAGTTCCAATTTATCATGTTTACAGTCTTCCTTGTTGTTTGACTTTCCACCCAGTTAGTACCTAATAACGATGTCCTTACCTTGTAAGACTCTCTGTTCAGTTAAACGTACTAATAATAACCTCACTTTGTCACGAGATGTTCCCTTCTGTAGATACAAGGCAGCCATATTCTGCCTCCCTTTGATTTGAGACCTCACCATTACATACCGAAGTTTTTTTTAAAGTTTTCCCTGACAAAATTTTAATCGTCTAATGTTGCTTCCTGAAACATGTTTGTTCTCCCGTCAGTGCACGATCATGTTACTTAAGCTAATGGAAAAGGACCGTTTTGGGTGCCGGAGGGGTACATGGGAAGCTCTATACTGTTACCATATGTGAAACATTTCACACGTCAAAGAAAATATCTACCACCAGTGGAAAGGCTTGAAACATAGGTTGTCTGCACTACCCGAAATTAATGTTAATGAAAAGTACTTTAACTTTAACAATTTTCGTTTTTCTATTCTCGTTCGACTTATTTTTTCTTAAAGTACTAACATTTATCCAACATTTCTATGTGTGTTGTTTTTTCTTGGACATTTCATCAGCAGAATTTCTTTGGTACATATATGCTTCGCTCTTTCCAGGCACTGCCTGATTCATATGAAAAAATACCTCCAAGTAGTATAAAATCTGGTCTTCATATCGTCTTTAGGTATTCCCGATGGGAAGGTGGTCATGTTAGCAGTTCAACAGACTTTGGTCTCGGACCCACAGGTAGACGACCTGTCCTCAGTATATGACACCATTGAGACAGTGGCTGGCATTGCTAGTGGTCAAGGTCAAATAAGGAATGTTAAGATGCATGACGCCTTCGCCATGGCCTTCATCAAAGGTAAAATATTCCTTACAAGAATTTGATATCTAACGATAATGTAAGTTTTAAGGCTTTATACACTCTTCGGTGTTTGCTGCATAACTTCAACTTGTATTGATGTTATTCGTTTGTTTATCTGTTTATTATTTTATCATTTCATTATTTGTGAATTTCATTGTGACACCAGGTGACCCCAGCTCTACAACAGAGACACTGACTCCCGTAGAGTATCACTACCAGAAAGCAGAGGCTAGTGTCAAAGTTAACGGCCTCGTCATGTTGGCGGAGAGCTGTACCATCACCGGAACTCGTATTTCTCACGCTATCGACTTCCGGGTAATCCAGGAATCAGCACAGTTCCATGTTTTAGATGTGGTTGATGACGTCACATCTTGGAAGGAAGGTTTGTTTTCATCATTGATTTGGGAAAAAATGAATAATGACGTCAGTACTTGTTACAAAGTTTGCTTTCATTTTTTGAACGTGACATTTCTTTTTACCGAACAATATTTACATGGCGAATGTCACCGATGTTTTTGTATAATTTCAGGTGACAAAGTTTTGCTGACATCAACAGATTTTAGTTTAGAAAAGGCTGAGGAAGCAACAGTTGTTAGCTGTGATCAATGCACGGGGACACAGGTCAAAGTAAAATGTAAGAATTTCATCAAGTTTTAACGGTTTTCCAAAATCATCAGTATATTGTAGAAAACATTGATGAAATTTTGGGCGGCGTCCGTTTTATCGTTGCAACCTAACACTGTAATATATTTACCAATCACATTTTGTTACAGTATTTCCAAGATACATGCATTATGGGGATATTGATTTCAATGTTGACATGAGAGGAGAGGTGGCGCTGCTGTCACGTAACATTCTCATAGAGGGCGCTATGGATAGCTTCTGTCCTGCTGAAAATGAGAACTGTGATACCTACAAATACGACACTTTTGGTGGGCACATCAAGGTATGATATAACATATCATATATTCCATATCTTATGCCCAACCTGAACTCCTCTAGTGCACACACACTATACTGCAGTACTTTATTATTTGCTCTTTTAGCTTCCCTTGGTTACACAACATGCAAAAGTGCTAAAACGCAGACATCACTTAGATACCGAAACCTAAAATGCTGCAAACGATACAGACGTGAATAGGATTTTATCATAGTCAAGTTAGAAGTTGAACTGTCTCATACAGCTGTTTGTCTTTCTTGGACTCGACAGTGATCTAAAGGGCCTAAATTGTTGAAACCTAGGAGTCGACTGGGGAAGTTCCAAGTTGGTCGATATGAAAAAGTATTGGGGAGAAAAAAAGAAAATTAAAATTTAAGCAATTTCATAATTTCAATATTGACAGGACTCACAATAACTACTTGAACCGACTTGTAGCAGATATAGTCCGACTTGAATTCCTTTTGACATACTCAAGTATTTAGGCTTTTCCAAATCCTCGACCAGGAACAGAAAAGGTGTCCCTACTGCAATGTTCTAACTTTGTCAAATTCATATCCAGGTAATCAGAGGTTTCAAGGATGTACATATTGAAGGAGTAGAACTTTATCACATGGGCAAGCAGACAGATTTGGGTAAGTCTCGGACAAGCAGGTAGATCTGGCTAATTCTCGGACGATCAGACAGATCTATATTTGTCTCGGACAAGTAGACAAGTTTTGTTTAGTCTCGGACAAACAGGTAGATATATGTAAGTATCGGTCAAACAAATAGATCTTGCTAAGTCTCAGACAATCAGACAGGTCTGGTTAGTATCGGATAATCAGACAGATCTATGTATGTCTCGGACAAGAAGACATATTTGGGTTAGTCATTTTCTTCTAGGTTAGTCTTTGAAATTTTTATATATTTTCTCAAATAAGCATAAAGATATGTTAACAAATCGAGTCATCAAGACGATACGCGCACTAATTTCAATACGCAGGTAGAACTTGTCTCTGACTAACCTATGTACGGTGCTGATATGTAGACAGGTGATAATTTGGATCTCCCTCGTTTTCAGGTCACTATCCCCTCCATTTTCATATGTGTTATGATGTTGACGGTGACGAGTACCCTAATCCACCGTATTTGCGTGAAAACTCAATACACTCATCCTTCGCCAGGTGTATCACAGTACACGGAACACACGGACTCACGGTACTCTATTTCACATTATGTTGCTTCAAAGGATCTGGAGTGTTTTAGCAGGTCTGGCTCCAGATCTAAACAGTCATTACAGCACAAACACGTCAAACGGTTGCCCAGGCTTTCGATAACTTCATAAATCCTAATAAGCAGTCAGGGTCATGGATTATTCTTTAACCTTGATACATCATCTGCTTAAATAATGACACTGGCGATGACAAGTGGTACTTTACGAAAGAAAATTATACCAATTTTCCAAATCTCGTTACATTACTAAACGCTTATCCAAACCATCGATCGTGGTTTTACGTGGGTCATCTAGGGAGGACGTGGTGGCCAAAGGTGGGAACTGATTAAACACAATAAATACGATGTTTCTTTATAAACACAGAGTTATACGGTTTGATAAATTCTTGCATCTATCTTAATTTGTAGGTGATGGACAACGTTGGTTATGAATCGCTAGGTCACTGTTACTTCCTTGAGGATGGAGGTGAAAGACGGACTGTATTGGACGGGAATCTTGGGGTCAGTACCAGGAAGGCCACCCTCATCTCCTCAGATAGGTATGTTACGTGTCTGTTTATAAGTATGGTGTATATAAATATACTCTTCAACATGGCCAAGGGTAGCGTAGAGTCTGTTGTTACTGAAATGGAAGGGTTACACAGACGAGCAGTAAGCAATAATGTCTTTCAAATTTGCATGATCAATGAATTTATATATCAGGAAAGTCAAAGCTAGCACAAAGTGTCTTGATACTGATAAGACCAGGTATGCTTTGCAAGCTTCGTCTACGTCATCCGCGATGTAGGTGCGTCGAAGAAAGAACTAGTGTAGTGACAGGGAACATCAAACGGTCACTTAGTTGTTGTGTTGTATGTTGTATAACCCTTATGTTCCTGAGAGAGTATACTCTCTCAGTCCGGTGTATATCTATCATGTCAACTAAGCTGGATGATAATATGAAATATGCCACATCTGATGAACGTTACATGCCAAATGGTTTCGGTGTGATATTTACTAAAGATATTTGTATTCTTTGTTTGTTTTGGGTTTCAAAATGTTTCTTTGATGAAATATCATATCACATCGCAATCAAGCCGTTTCTGGCTGTATAATGTTTGTCAGTTATTTATGTAAATGCTTGATATAGACACGAGTCTTAAACATAATTACAAACTATCATAATGCACAATAGACAATGAAATATTCTATCGTTATTCTTACAAACATCTTGTCGTACCTTTATTTTCAGTCGTCCGACGACATTTTGGATAACCAATCCAAACACAATCCTGCGAAACAATGTCGCGGCTGGGAGCGAGGTAACGTCATATCAAATATGTCCACAAGTTTCGAAACACTTTCTCAAGACAGCCCAATTTACACGTTTACTATTGCTTTCATAATATTTAGTGTTATCATGATATTGGCCTGTTTAACGCAATACTCGTTAATATGAGGCATGATGAAACAACAAGCTGTCGCTTATGAATTTACAAAAGTATTTTTCTAAGCTTAATTAGTTTCTAAGATAAATGTTAGGTCTGGTATAAACCAATGTGTTATTTATAAAGGATATTGGTCTATGCAGGATATTGGATATTGGTTTATTTATCCCGACACTCCGACGGGTCCTTCAGCTGACAAAGGCTTCATGCAATACCAGGAGGCACGATATACCGCCATCACCGAATGCAGTAATAACGCCGCCCACTCCAATAAGTTAAGTACAGAGAGGTTTCGTGTTTCTGAGTTAATTTCATTATTTGGCTTATAACTTCAATACCATACCAAGTTATTTTATAATTTGTAATTTTGACCATCACCGTAAATCACACTTATAATAGTTATGTTTCCTTTATCGAAGGCATATTGGTCTGTCCGTCTATCTGTCTGTTTGCCTGTGTTAGGGAAGAATTTGATATTGGTCAAGATCCGTCAACATTTATAATAGTTTTAAAACGTTAAAATAAAGATTTCCGCCAGATAATTTTAATTTCTACAGTTAGATCTGGACTTAATTTTGAGTATTGTTTTATATCAATAATATCTCAGACGATTTCAATATTGGTCAACATGACTATAAAATCCGGAACATAGATAATTTCCTTATTTCCAGTAGTTTTCTTGTTTATATTGGAACCAAATTTAGTATATTGCTTTACATTATTGAGATCTCAAATGGGTTTAATTCTGGTCAAAATCCGTGATTATTTTCCACAGCTAGGGACTTCAATTATAAAAATTATCGTAATTTGGAATCAGGGCAAAACATGTCCACATTTCGTATTGCGGACTTAAGTGTACAAGTATGTTTTAGTTTCGTTTCGCTTAGTAGAGTTTATCCCTTACTCTCCAATCAGTGTCTTATACCCTTTCCTATTTATCACATTCTTTCCTAACGACCTTTAATTTGATTGTACTACATATGTTCACTCCCATCTTCCATGTATCCGTAGTCCTCGTGTTTACTCAGCTTTCATGAATGGCTTACCTTTGGGAGCATAGGGTTTCTCAAACATGTCTTGTTTAAATATTTTAAAGGTCGAATATTTGATAAAGAAATTTGCATAAAGCAAGGTAGTAATTTTAATAGTAAATCCAGATATATCCAGATACACCGCCTCGTGTAGATTAAAAATAATTGATGAATAAGTTGTATCATGGATAAACATGATGATACATTGTAGAGTTAGGTGATAGATGTATAATTGATTGTCTTCTAGTTTCCACCTTGTTTCATTTCAGCACGATATTTTCAATTTTCAACCTATTTTACAGGCAGGTCTCTTCATTGATTTCCAAATTGAGCCATCAACAGGCGATATCTGGATCACCAGTAATCGTTATTCGCCGAAAGTCGATCCCTTGGACCCAAAATCTGCCGACAAACCCGCGATCATAGACCGTTTAACATGTATGTACGAGATAAAATCAATGTGCCAATCTGTTAATGAGAAGAAACAAAGTTAGGTTTAAATTCTTTATTACTCAAACATATAAACACAGATGTATATAATTGAAAGACATGGTCTTGGCGTGCTTAAAATGTCGATCTATTTTTTTTTAATACAAAATTAATCGATATTTAGAATAAAGGTACTTACCAAATTTCGCGCAATATCCTTTTTCTTCAGTCGTTTCTTAGTCATCCGAAATTTAGGTCCTTATCCTAGAAGGACGAAACAGCTGTATGATACAGTTAAACCATTGTTTGACTCTACAGTATCTAGATCAAAATTTGGTTTGTAAGATGATATTAACTTACGTATCTTTTGTATGATAATCTAGAAATGTTGGCCATTCTAAGAACTACTCACAGTTTTATTGTAAACGTACATTTACGAAGAAATGTTATTTTTACAGCGTTTAAAAACCGAAACAATGTTTGGGCTCGTGGCGGTTACTTGGTATTCCGTAGAACTTCGTAAGTGTTACCTAAAACTTATGACGTTATGTTACCAAGAAACGTATTGGCATTTCCGATGTTTTTGTTTTTGTTTATTGGGGGTTTTCTTTGTTTTGTTTTTATTTTAATTTTGTATTTTTTGTTTTGTTCTTTTGAGTTTTTGTTTTCTTCAAGTGTTCAATTTATCATCTGCTTTCATAGTTTTATTTCGTTTCGATTTCAACGAAATTATCGAAATTATTGGTTCAGTCATCTCTGGATGTGTTTAAACCGTATCTCATCTGAAACAAAACTTCTGCTCCTATTCTTACAGTTGCACTTGATGTGACACGTGTCGTCTGGTATCGTTTGTATCTGACACATGTCACCTGGTTGTTTTGATATTGCATTTGACACATTTTTACTGGTTTAGATTGGCGGATGCCACAAGAGGAATCACCTTTGCCAGGTAAATTGTTATTCTTTATCTTATACATTAATATTTTCTTCTTGGTTGGTGTGTGTTAGCATGAATACTGAAATAAATCTTTATATACAAAAAGAGATATAGAACACAAAGGTTAGTGAGACGCTTTTAGTTACAAGTCATTGAGAAAACTTTAACACCAAGATTTTTGAGAAGATTGGTACACCGATATAGGGGTACGCCACAGCAACACTTCATAGAGAAAAGTGTGATACTTGGAGAGATCTGTCAACAAATACAGGGGTACGCCACAGCAACAGGATTTTGGAGAAACTTGAGATACTAAGATCTGTAAAACAAGGGCTTATAAGACGTTTTTCCAACACAGGGGTACGCAACAGCAACAGTTCATGGAGAAAAGTGTTATACTTGGACAGACGAAGAATGTTGGAGATCCAATGAAAGCAAGGGGTTTGGATAAATCCTTCGTCATGTTCAATAGATCATTACCCTATCAGTGGAATTTGTAAGTATCCTAAAAAAACATCAGTCTTATAAGATTGCTCGTTATGAATTATCAAAGGCTAAATAACAGAATGTGGTCATTTAATACATAGATTAGTCAATTTCTAGCGGACTTTCGCTATGCTTTTACCCCCAGTAGATCTCAGTACAATACAGTCGTCAGTAGATCTCAGTACAATACAGTCGTCAGTAGATCTCAGTACAATACAGTCGTCAGTAGATCTCTGTATAATACAGTCGTCAGTAGATCTCTGTATGATACAGTCGTCAGTAGATCTCTGTATAATACAGTCGTCAGTAGATCTCTGTATAATACAGTCGTCAGTAGATCTCTGTATCATACAGTCGTCAGTAGATCTCTGTATAATACAGTCGTCAGTAGATCTCTGTATAATACAGTCGTCAGTAGATCTCTGTACAATACAGTCGTCAGTAGATCTCTGTATAATATAGTCGTCAGTAGATCTCTGTATAATACAGTCGTCAGTAGATCTCTGTATAATACAGTCGTCAGTAGATCTCTGTATCATACAGTCGTCAGTAGATCTCAGTACAATACAGTCGTCAGTAGATCTCAGTACAATACAGTCGTCAGTAGATCTCTGTATAATATAGTCGTCAGTAGATCTCTGTATAATACAGTCGTCAGTAGATCTCTGTATAATACAGTCGTCAGTAGATCTCTGTATAATACAGTCGTCAGTAGATCTCTGTATAATACAGTCGTCAGTAGATCTCTGTATAATACAGTCGTCAGTAGATCTCTGTATAATACAGTCGTCAGTAGATCTCTGTATAGTACGGTCGTCAGTAGATCTCTGTATAATACAGTCGTCAGTAGATCTCTGTATGATACAGTCGTCAGTAGATCTCTGTATAATACAGTCGTCAGTAGAGATCTCTGTATAATACTGTCGTCAGTAGATCTCTGTATAATACAGTCGTCAGTAGATCTCTGTATAATACAGTCGTCAGTAGATCTCTGTATAATATAGTCGTCAGTAGATCTCTGTATAATACAGTCGTCAGTAGATCTCTGTATATACAGTCGTATAGATCTCTGTATAATACAGTAGTAGATCTCTGTATAATACAGTCGTCAGTAGATCTCTGTATAATACAGTCGTCAGTAGATCTCTGTATAATACAGTCGTCAGTAGATCTCTGTATAATACAGTCGTCAGTAGATCTCTGTATAATACAGTCGTCAGTAGATCTCTGTATAATACAGTCGTCAGTAGATCTCTGTATAATACAGTCGTCAGTAGATCTCTGTATAATACAGTCGTCAGTAGATCTCTGTATAATACAGTCGTCAGTAGATCTCTGTATAATACAGTCGTCAGTAGATCTCTGTATGATACAGTCGTCAGTAGATCTCTGTATAATACAGTCGTCAGTAGATCTCTGTATAATACAGTCGTCAGTAGATCTCTGTATAATACAGTCGTCAGTAGATCTCTGTATAATACAGTCGTCAGTAGATCTCTGTATGATACAGTCGTCAGTAGATCTCTGTATAATACAGTCGTCAGTAGATCTCTGTATAATACAGTCGTCAGTAGATCTCTGTATAATACGGTCGTCAGTATATCTCTATAATACAGTCGTCAGTAGATATCTGTATAATACGGTCGTCAGTAGATCTCTGTATAATACACTCGTCAGTAGATCTCTGTATAATACAGTCGTCAGTAAATCTCTGTATGATACAGTCGTCAGTAGATCTCTGTATAATACAGTCGTCAGTAGATCTCTGTATAATACAGTCGTCAGTAGATCTCTGTATAGTACTGTCGTCAGTAGATCTCTGTATAATACAGTCGTCATCTCTGTATAATAGTAGATCTCTGTATAATACAGTCGTCAGTAGATCTCTGTATAATACAGTCGTCAGTAGATCTCTGTATAATACAGTCGTCAGTAGAGATCTCTGTATAATACAGTCGTCAGTAGATCTCTGTATAATACAGTCGTCAGTAGATCTCTGTATAATACAGTCGTCAGTAGATCTCTGTATAATACAGTCGTCAGTAGATCTCTGTATAATACAGTCGTCAGTAGGTCTCTGTATAATACAGTCGTCAGTAGGTCTCTGTATAATACATTCGTCAGTAGATCTCTGTAGAATGCAGTCGTCAGGAGATCTCTGTATAATACAGTCGTCAGTAGATCTCTGTATAATACAGTCGTCAGTAGATCTCTGTATAATACGGTCGTCAGTAGATCTCTGTATAATACAGTCGTCAGTAGATCTCTGTATAATACAGTCGTCAGTAGATCTCTGTATAATACAGTCGTCAGTAGATCTCTGTATAATATAGTCGTCAGTAGAGATCTCTGTATGATACAGTCGTCAGTAGGTCTCTGTATAATACAGTCGTCAGTAGATCTCTGTATAATACAGTCGTCAGTAGATCTCTGTATAATACAGTCGTCAGTAGATCCCTGTATAATACAGTCGTCAGTAGATCTCTGTATAATACAGGCGTCAGGTAAATCTCTGTATAATACAGTCGTCAGTAGATCTCTGTATAATACAGTCGTCAGTAGAGATCTCTGTATAATACAGTCGTCAGTAGATCTCTGTATAATACAGTCGTCAGTAGATCTCTGTATAATACAGTCGTCAGTATATCTCTGTATAATACAGTCGTCAGTAGATCTCTGTATAATACAGTCGTCAGTAGATCTCTGTATAATACAGTCGTCAGTAGATCTCTGTATAGTACGGTCGTCAGTAGATATCTGTATAATACAGTCGTCAGTAGATCTCTGTATGATACAGTCGTCAGTAGGTCTCTGTATAATACAGTCGTCAGTAGGTCTCTGTATAATAGTCGTCAGTCTGTATAATACAGTCGTCAGTAGATCTCTGTATAATACAGTCGTCAGTAGATCTCTGTATAATACAGTCGTCAGTAGATCTCTGTATAATACAGTCGTCAGTAGATCTCTGTATGATACAGTCGTCAGTAGATCTCTATAATACAGTCGTCAGTAGATCTCTGTAGAATGCAGTCGTCAGGAGATCTCTGTATAATACAGTCGTCAGTAGATCTCTGTATAATACAGTCGTCAGCAGATCTCTGTATAATACAGTCGATCTCTGTATAATACATTCGTCAGTAGATCTCTGTATAATACAGTCGTCAGTAGATCTCTGTATAATACAGTCGTCAGTAGATCTCTGTCAGTAGATCTCTGTATAATACAGTCGTCAGTAGATCTCTGTATAATACAGTCGTCAGTAGATCTCTGTATAATATAGTCGTCAGTAGATCTCTGTATAATATAGTCGTCAGTAGATCTCTGTATGATACAGTCGTCAGTAGATCTCTGTATGATACAGTCGTCAGTAGATCTCTGTATAATACAGTCGTCAGTAGATATCTGTATAATACAGTCGTCAGTAGATCTCTGTATAATATAGTCGTCAGTAGATCTCTGTATAATACAGTCGTCAGTAGATCTCTGTATAATACAGTCGTCAGTAGATCTCTGTATAATATAGTCGTCAGTAGATCTCTGTATAATACAGTCGTCAGTATATCTCTGTATAATACAGTCGTCAGTATATCTCTGTATAATACAGTCGTCAGTAGATCCCTGTATAATACAGTCGTCAGTATATCTCTGTATAATACAGTCGTCAGTAGATCTCTGTATAATACAGTCGTCAGTATATCTCTGTATAATACAGTCGTCAGTAGATCTCTGTATAATACAGTCGTCAGTATATCTCTGTATAATACAGTCGTCAGTATATCTCTGTATAATACAGTCGTCAGTAGATCTCTGTATCATACAGTCGTCAGTAGATCTTTGTATAATACAGTCGTCAGTAGATCTTTGTATAATACAGTCGTCAGTATATCTCTGTATAATACAGTCGTCAGTAGATCTCTGTATAATACAGTCGTCAGTAGATCTCTGTATAATACAGTCGTCAGTAGATCTCTGTATAATACAGTCGTCAGTAGATCCCTGTATAATACAGTCGTCAGTAGAGATCTCTGTATAATATAGTCGTCAGTAGATCTCTGTATCATACAGTCATTAGCAGATTTCTATATGATACCGCTGTTAGTATATTTCTATCTACGAAATTCTGTACATAACACAAATTCCAGTCGATTTATGTATAATACAATCCTTACAACTCTCACCTCTGATCAATATAACCTCTAGTAGATTTCTGTATATTATATAATGTCTAATATATTTCTATACGATACAACCTGTTTGATAAAACAGTTGTTAGCCGAAGTAAAATCCAGAAAGTTAACACTGTTCTGTCTGTTTTTCTCAGCAATGAGCCGATGCAGGGTTTTGTTTTCTATGATGGTCCCGTGTTTGTATCAAGTACATTCTTCCATGGGTTTACCTCCAACCAGTACAGGAAAGCAGGGGCACTTGGCTTCCATAGAAATAATAAGTTTTTCAGTTCCTCTACAAGTGCAACCAAGGACATTCACTTTGGATTCCTGGATGGTGTAAGTTTACTGCATGTATCTCAGTTGACCGTAAATCGAACATGTCTCTCAGGCTTGTGACAACGGTCATTGTTGATCATGGTCTTGTATCGATACTTGTAGCAAAACATGTCGAGCTAAGTCAGCAGATATCTGTAACGGTAACCATATTTCAGTAAATATCAACAAGGTTATAAGTATTTCTGTATCAATACGTCCCTAAAGGCAATCGCACGCCATTACGACCAGGATCTCATGTGAGTGAGCCTTAAAAGCAACACTCATGAAGCATTGTTTTCTGTTACATGCTTGCGGTAACAACGTTTGCAAAAATAACGAAAAATGCTTAAAGATTTACCGGCAGCCTCTTCATGAGACACCTTGTATCTTCGTGTAAGACACCAGCTGTAAGTACCACGTTGCCGGCAAGGTTGGAAGACAAGCATACCCGCATCGATGGGTACAATGTAACCTTGGCTTTCCACAACTCTGGCTATTTGATGCGAAGCGAAACCAAGCTCTTCAAGCAATCCAATTTGTTCACAGGACACCATGGAACCGAGGTGTAAAGACCAAGGCTTTCAAGTGAATTTGTTTATATTTCCACAGGAAACCACGGAACCAAGGTGTAAAGACCAAGGTTTTGAGGAACCAAGGTGTACGGACCAAGGTTTTGAAGTGAATTTGTTTTATATTTCCACAGGTAACCACGGAACCAAGGTGTACGGACCAAGGTTTTGAGGAACCAAGGTGTACGGACCAAGGTTTTGAGGAACCAAGGTGTACGGACCAAGGTTTTGAAGTGAATTTGTTTATATTTCCACAGGAAACCCCGGAACCAAGGTGTACGGACCAAGGTTTTGAGGAACCAAGGTGTACGGACCAAGGTTTTGAAGTGAATTTGTTTTATATTTCCACAGGAAACCACAGGTAACAGGGTATACGACGGTAACAGTAGCGTGGCAGGCTTTAGCGATCTGGATGGTGACTTAGCAGCTGTATTCCGTGATGCCGATGGTTCTGTTACAACAGTTCCTGGCAGTTCTGTAGTCAGACCTGATCCGTTTGTGACAACATCTGATTGCACTGTTAGACAGAACTGGAATCTGGCAATATGTCCCTTCAAGTACTCGAAGGTATCTTAACATTATTTCTGTATCAAACATTCGTTTTACAGACAAAAAGAAGTCTTTAGCACGACATGTGTAGGCAGACTCAGTAAACGACTGGGATTTTTTCATCGTTAAGTGTGGCTCAGTAGTTCAATTCCTTATTCAACATGATGTTTGGTTCTGTAGTTCTAAACCTTATTCAACATGATGTGTGGTTCTGTAGTTCTATACCTTATTCAACATGATGTGTGGTTCTGTAGTTCTATACCTTATTCAACATGATGTGTGGTTCTGTAGTTCTATACCTTATTCAACATGATGTGTGGTTCTGTAGTTCTATACTATATTCAACATGATGTGTGGTTCTGTAGTTCTATACCTTATTCAACATGATGTGTGGTTCTGTAGTTCTATACTATATTCAACATGATGTGTGGTTCTGTAGTTCTATACCTTATTCAACATGATGTGTGGTTCAGTAGTTCTATACCTTATTCAACATGATGTGTGGTTCAGTAGTTCTATACCTTATTCAACATGATGTGTGGTTCAGTAGTTCTGTACCTTATTCAACATGATGTGTGGTTCTGTAGTTCTATACCTTATTCAACATGATGTGTGGATCAGTAGTTCTATACCTTATTCAACATGATGTGTGGTTCTGTAGTTCTATACTATATTCAACAGGATGTGTAGTTTTGTAGTTCTATACCTTATTCACCATGATGTGTAGTTCTGTAGTTTTAAACCTTATTCAACATGATGTGTGGTTCAGTAGTTCTATACCTTATTCAACATGATGTGTGGATCAGTAGTTCTATACCTTATTCAACATGATGTGTGGTTCAGTAGTTCTATACTATATTCAACATGATTCGAGGTTCTGTAGTTCTAGGCCTCATATAACAAGTTTCAGATGGTCCAAGTCTGACAAATGGCTACGTGGAGGTTTTAAAATCTGAGAGTATGGTTAGCCCTATTTATGATAGGAAATATGTCACTTTGACTTGCTGTACCCTTTTATTTGGAGAAAGTCCAACATGGTAGAATAATTCTAAATTTTACTTCATGACAGATGCAGATAATCCCACGATCAACTGGTGACCTCGGCAGCGTTCCGTTTGTGTCTAGGGATGATATTCCTGATAGTCCTCGAAAGATCGATGGTTCCAAAGTGAAGCATTTTACACTGATAACTGGAGGACAATTCAGCTACTCGCTCCACTGGACAGACGTTGTGCCCGCCGAATTTCTCATCAGGGCCTACGGGATCGAGAAGTGAGTACCCTTTACCGGCATCCAGCTGAGAGATGAAATATCACCCCCATGAATTGTTATGTATCTGTGTGATTTATGTTTATCTTGGCGTTTTAAGGGACTATCCTGTCCGCGTGGGGCTGTGTCTTCCCCTGGATGCAACCTTCTCACTCAAGTCTTACTATCCTACACGAGCACCATCGATGGACGACTGGACAGAAGTGAACAGTATTGATGATATAGATCAAGACACAGAGGGCGCCAAGTACTACCACAACCAAACCACTGGGTAATGTTCTCAATTCATTTATGTGAATATGACAAAGTATTTCCTGTTTTGTAAGGTCATAGAAGTTACATATCTTTGCACTCACATGTTAACATCCATACATTTACCCTTGATTTCGTGCATATTCCGATGTATACAATAGGTTTTACATAGAGAATACATGTTGAGGGTGAAGAAAGACAAAGTGGTTCACCACCACTATCTTTTTTTCTTGAGACGTAATGCAGATTATATTTTAAAACATTATCCATGTATTTTTACCTATCCTGCAACATTTATTGAAAATTTATTCAAACTGTTGAAATTGCAACATTCTGTTGTTCAATCTTTTGTTTTCTGGCGTTAACGTTCCGCTGAATCTATGCCAGTAATAACGACAATTTTATGAATTTTCATAATTCATAAACTTATTTACTATAACAAATGAAATCGCTAGTGTAAACATGACAGCATCAGTTGCAGAATAGATGTCCTGTATGATCTAGTGCTTTATGCGTCTTTAAAGTGGACTGCGTCAACTACATGCTGACTTATGGTTCTGTCTTATTGTGTCAGGATGCTATATCTGATGTTGAGGTCATTCGAGCCAGTTGTGGACGGTGACACAGACACATGTGTAGGAGGCAAGTGTGTGCACTTCTATGTGTACGTAACAGGAGGAAATCGGAATGACGGTGACTGCAGTGCACGGGACACCCCCACTCCACCTAAGGTGAGTTGCATAATTTGTAAAAAAATATTGCACAAATTGGATTTTAGTAGTTTTTGTTAAGGTAAAGGTACAGTATTCAACACACTAGTCCCATAGGCATGCTTGGTATGCTGAAGTTCTGAAAGCAGGTACAGTTTTCTATGGTTGACTACTCAGTTGAAGGTATCTATGTTCAGTAATATTGAAGTCATATCATTATGTTTTAGGTAACTGCTCCACCAGCAGCAAAGGTAGATGAAAGTCTCTCATTTGACACAGCATATGCCGCCCCTGAACAGGTATAAAAATCTACTATGGTACATATTGCGGAAGTAATATTCGGAATTATTCATAGCATGTGCGAAAATTGTTTTAAAATGCCAGGTGGCTTCTGTGATATCTATTGTAAATATGAAATCTTGTCAAATACAAAACATGAAACTAGAAGTGTCAGGAGTGTTGTTTATAAAGACAGACACTTTTAAGGCTTGTGATGTCAGCAAATAGCACCACTCTATCCTTTTAGCTCAGCACTTTCTCTTCCTTTGTAATCCCTCCACTTCACTTCACTATTAAACCTTATATATAGCATCAGATTTTGATAAGCAAGCATTTTTATATACAAAACAAATCATGATCTCATTATTTTTTAAGGCTTTTGTCCGTCTATTTTTTAAAATTTGTATCTAAATATACATGCTATTTTTAACATGTGATCACCTGATATTTTGTTTTAAAGGGCTGGGGAGCGGGTGCCCAGATTCCATTTACCAGTCGTATGCCTATGGATGGAGGATACAGCGACTGGGCTCAGTGGTCTGCATGTAAGGTGCCAGCCTGCGCTGGTACGTTTTAAGTTGCAATTGACTACCTCAAGTTAGATGATGTGACTAAGCATCTGATAGCTCTTTAATAACTAACATCAACAATCTATTTATTTTTTTCAGTATAATTTGTTAAGTTGTCAGATGTGAAGAGATTTTATAAAATCTAACTTTTGTTAAAAAAATAATCATAAATATGTGACATTAGTGACACACAGGTACATTCACAGCAATTTCAGACACTACAGTACAACACAAAGTAAAAGTGCGAAACAGTTGTACCATGCATTACTCTATTGTTCAGGGTCGCCTTTTCTTTTTAAAACGTTTCAATGTTTTAAAGTCAGCATTCACCAAACATGAAGAAATGTATTATGTTTAACAAAGGTAAACCACAAGTAAAAATTCAAAAAGGAAAAAAAGACAGCCTACATGAAACAATGCATAATTTGACTTGCCACTTTTCCATGAACTTCTTCTTATTGCTAAAAATGTTGGTGTTCAGAGAACACCCAGCCATAACATGACCACGATATTTCATTCAATGTCATGATACCGTTAACAGGTAATGCGATGGTGAGGTTCAGGACGCGGACTTGTGACAACCCCATACCAAGAAATGGAGGTGCCCCCTGTGTGGGGCCCAGCAGTGAGGAGATGGACTGTACCACTAAGGTAAAGGCAGTTCTGTTGACTACCTGCATAATTATTTGTAAACAGTAAGCACATTCGTAGTTCAGAAATAGATAGTATGTCAGTATACTTAATATCAGTGACATATCCACTCACAGGCTTGCTAGTTATTCAATTTCACAAGTTTGTCATCAATTTTGCTCCCTTTGTATAATCCAATATAACAAGAAATTTATGTATATAAGTATCTAATGCATAAGGCTATTTCTAATTTACAACTGTAATCCAAGTTGAAATGCAGGGAAGTTGTTATTCAGAAATGGAAAATTCACAATAAGAAAATTGAAATAATCATGTTTATCATACAGCTTGTTCTGGCAGCAGTGGTTTATGTTTCAGGCATTACAGCACGTCAAATTAAGAGTGCAAAAAAACGTGCTATGTATGGTCTGGTCTAAAGATTATCTTTTAATAAGATCATTTTGTTTTACAGATGAATGGATGAAACAAAAGAAAAATATGTAGGGATTATTCATTCTGGTCAGTTCTATGTTCAACAACATTCCTCAGGACGATCATTCCCATCAAAGGCATAACGATTTAATTTATTTTTTAGTGACCATTTGCTGTCATGGACATTCCCTGGCCTGTCATTTCCTTGTGAGCTAACAATCATCAGCAATTTATAGCAAAAGTACAAAATAAAACATTTAAACATGGACATCCTCTTTTTTGGCTTTTTATTGTCTGGTTTTATTATACTAAAAAATATACTGCACTATAGTTACAACAAAAACTTCGGACTCACATTCAACAAAAAGACTAGAGAGGCAATGACACATCTTCGAAGTAGTAAAATTATTTCTGATATATAAAGTCAAAAAGCAGTAACCTCAAATCTTGTTACATAAAAGTAACACATCATGAAAAATAACCATTTCAAATGACATGGTGCATTGGCAAATATTTAGTCATATATACAATTATCACAGTTATGGATATTCGTATCTTCAGCACAAGTATCACAATTTCTGTCAAGAAGAAAACCATTCACCTTAAGCACTGGTTATCACGTATCTTGAAAATCTCCCCTTTTGACATAGAACGCCGAATTACATATCATCTCTTTGGTATCATCAGTAACCTTTCTATGTTGATAGGGACACTGAAATACATGAAGGAAAACATACAAATGAAAACACTTAGACTATGAAAATGCCATAAAAGAATAATCAAATACAGTTACATTCGTAAAGAAAGCTCTGATGGGAACACTCATTAATCGGTATCAAATTGCGTGTTGTGAAAAAATACAAGTACATATACTGACATTTCAAAGATAGAACAAACCACCTGTTTCATAACCCACCGTTAATATCTCTCTGCCATGTGATATATTTTATCATGGTCATATCTGATGTGACTTACATGTCGGCATGCACTGCCACAACATTTGCCTCTCTTTAGGTGGGCGTACCGGGTCATCACCCATTTGTCAGCATAAGGGTCTTGGTAAAGCTCTTCTTGCTCCTGGAAAAAATCGCTTACAAGAACAATTTGAATATTAAATGATTTGCAAGAAATACATTGAAGAGGAATGGTAGCTTTCAACACAAATCTAGAATCAAATATGTCCAAATAACTAAGTATATTGCATCATACACTTGTTTCATTTCCTATGAAACTTCAGACCAAATTGGGACAGAATCCATGCATTCCTGCAGAAAAAAAAGGATTTCATAGAATTTGCTCTTTCTGTCCTATTAGGCCCCACCCCTCCCATCCTAGGTGGCCCACACCACCTGTATATACAAAATTGATTCCCTTCACTCAAGGATGTTTCCAACCAAATAGGGACAGAATCAATTCAGTCCTGCGGAAGGAGAAGTATTTTAAAGAACTTGCTCTATTTTCACTTTTTGGCTCCACCGTTTTACAAAATTGATTTTATTTCGACCAATAATGCTTCAGACAAAAGTAATTTGGACATAATCCACACATTCCTACAGAAAATGAAGGATGAATTTTAAAGAATTTGTTCTATTTTCAGTATTGGGCCATACCCTGGTCTCTCAGGTGACAAAGACCCACCATTTATGCAAAACTGAAACCTCTTCTTCAAAGGATTTTAAGGTCAAATTAGGACAGAAGCTTATAAAGCATTCATACAAAGGCAAAAAGGGTTTTTAAGAAATGGTTCAATTTCCCAAATTTGACATTGTGCCTCCTGCCTGAGGGGGCCACAAACAACCATTTATACAAAATTGATTTCTTTTCACTAAAAAAGGCTTCAGACCAAACTGGTACAGATATCTTGACATTCCTACAGAGGAAAAGGGATTTTGAAGAATTTGCTCCATTTCCCAAATTGGGTCACACACCTCCCAAAAGGGCAGAGGCCTGCCATTTATATATCCTTTTTTGGGCCCTGCCCAAGGGGACCAAGACCCATCGTTTACACAAATTGATCCCTATTCACCCAAAGATGCTTATGACTGAAGTTTGGCTAAATGCAATCATTCCTACAGGAGGAGTAGGATTTTGAAGAACTTGCCCAATTTCATCTTTTGGGCCCCATCTCTCAGATCTCGGGAAACCTATACCCACCCTTATTACAAAATCTGTTCCCCTTCCCAAATGGATGTTTCTAACAAAATTTGGACAGATTCTACTCAGTTATTCAGTGGGCCCTTGGGTCCATATGTGAGCTAATGTTATGACATGAATGAAGAAACTGAGGACACACTTAAACAATAACCTGAACACAGGAACTTAAGATACACTTGAACAAGATATTTTGTCCAATTACAGTCCCCCCATCCCCACCCTACCAAAGTAAACCCATACAGCATATATGAAGTTAAAGTGACTAGAAGTGTAGGAGCTAGGTCAAAGGTCAAAGTAACATGATGAACACATATCCCAAATATAAAGTTCCAATGATTAATTGTGTTGAAGATAGGGGCTGGACAAGATAGTGGAAAAACAGAAATATGACAGGGCGGATATATCCAATGTCAAACTATAGTCCCCTTTGGTTCCTAGCGGGGGACTTATAACATGGAAACAGGAACTGAGGATATAGTTAGATAAAACACAAGTAAAGGAAACGAGTTTACATGTTAACAAAAACAGGAATAAGGATACACTTGAATAAAGCACAGAAACTGAGGTGAAACGTTACTAATGGTGAAAGACAATTTAATGAATTATAAAATCTTACCATTACAGCTCTCTTGTGGCAGTCATGAATTTTCTGTTCCTTGGGAGATAATCTTCTGTAATCTACCTTTTTCTCCCAGTCCATGTTGTCATATTCTTCTGATGAAGCTGATGCAGTGCTGAAGTATCGGATATGATATTTGGTCAACTCTTCATGTCTGTGTCCATGAACAACTTCTACCGTGTTGATAGGAATACTGTGGTTTCGGTGATACCAAATGATGTCACCTCTATGCACCCTGTGCCAATTAACTGGTACAAAAGTGTTGATTAGGTTCTTGATGGTAACATGCCTTTCATGACCTAAATATGTTTGATTAAAAGAAAATATGTTGGTAACACCGGAAATATTTCTGAAACTGGCACAGACTGTATGCAAGGATTTGGTCATGGTGATGATGAGTTCCAGCAAATATCTTCAGACTTAAAGCTAACTCTCACTAGGATGGACTTCGAGTTCAGCATGTGGCCAACTCATTCTCATACGAGTACTGGAAGATAAAGATCAATATTTAGTTTGCTTAAATCTAGGTTTCAGACCAAATACTTTACTAACCTTCTCATAATAGTAGATAACAACTATAAAGTTTCATCCATCAACTATGAGTGGTTACAAAGTGATGATGACGCTTGATCAACACTAAGTTTGAAAACTTGACCTTTGAAGTGCAAGGATCTAGTATCTGACACATCTTCTTATAAGTTATAGTGTTTCAGACATACACAAACAGAGCAATAAGTATAGGTTATGCACCACTGTGTAATAAGGCCTAAATAAGCAGCTTACTTTGCCAAAATCTAATACGACCCTCCATCAGCATGTTTTTATTTTATCTATCTCAAAACTGACCATGTACAATGTGTAACTTTGCAGTGTACATTGGCTAAGGGAACTTACAAATAAACTTTATCAAGATCCATCTAGCATTTGTGAAGAAGGATCTATACATTGATTATTAACTGACGAAATCATAATTATCATTAGTATTACATCAACTTTCGTGTATTGTTTGTTGATAAACACATACGGATGTTGCCTGATTTGTCCAATGCTGTCACCTTCACTCGACTATTGCAACTCGTCTCCGGGTCGGAGCAAAAACACTCTTTCGGAACATCTCTCCCCGTTTGTCTAAGATATCAAACAGTCACGAGTAAGAACGAGTGACAAAATGGCCGACGCAACGTTACTTCCTGTCACACAGAAATAAAGCAAAGAAGGAATCAAGTATTTATGGCGGAACATGACGTTAATTGGACGAGGCGGGGATTCAAGAATATGTGTTAGAACCTATATATGGAAATATGGGTTCTAGAATCAGGTATCTATTGTTGATTTCACTCCAAATTACTCACAAGAGGATGATTTTCCGACTTGTCAACACCCCTTTTCTAAATGTCATATCTGGAGGCGCTATCCGCACTCTTGCAGAACATGCCATTTTTACATCGGTGACAAATGTCAGACTGTCGGTGATCAGAAGTAATAGCCAGCTGGTGTGTGGGTACATATCGCACCTGGCGATTTTAAACTCTGATATCGTACGAATGTGTCGGCTGGTAGTAAAAGCCAATGATATGATAAGATCAGATCAAATGTTCCTCTTACAGACAATTCTGTTCTATCATGAAAAGAGACAAAGCCTAAAAATGCGGTAGCTTTGTTATTATCGAGCAGACTGAAATACGACATATACAGTATAATGTACCCATAGACATAGATACCTTTAATGTACCTAAGCATACATACAGTTTAATGTACTTAAACATAAATACGGTGTATGCTTAAATGGGTCTTATCATAATTAGAAGTAATTAAAAAGGAAGAGTTGTACCGCATTGATTAAAATCGTAAGTTGATTTTAGGATGGACCTGTTGATTTGATCTGTTATATCGATCTTATTACTGTGTTGTAGGACTGTTTGCTACTAATATACAAACTTGCTCTTCTTTCTCCAGAATATTTGCATAGTCAAACTATTTAATTCCAAGCTAAAACTAAGACATAAAACCTCTTATAACATAAGAAGTCATCAGTTGACAGTTTCATCATTTGTCATTTTCACTAGCTTGGTTTTTGTTACTAAGCATTGAAGAGATGTTATCAAGTGTCTTGCATAAGTCTTCTCATTAAATTTTCCTTAGTTGTTTTTTCAGCCTGTAACTTTTTGTGACTATTCACAAGAACAAAATGTCTGCCACATGGTTGTGAAACTGTCAATTTTATGTGTTATTCAGAAATTGTTCATTATTGATGTTACTGTCAAAAAATAACTTAGAAATGATTGATAATGACTGCCATTAACACACCACAATGTTTTTTTTGTAGATTATTACAATGTATTACATTTCATTTTTATAGTAAGTAGCCATTTGGATTTTTTGAAGATATGCCCTAACCTAAGGTAACATTTTCTTCTTTTCCAAATCAGAGATAAGCCAGAGAAAATCTATGAAGTTTTCATGGAGATTGGCAAGGCCAATGGAGAACATGAAGGTACTATCAGCATGTTAATTTGATTTATTCTTTCATTCTGACACAGATACCTCACTCACACATTGTGCTAGTGCTTTTGTTAAGTCTGTAGTGTGTATCACCATGATATTTAATTGCCCTTTAGATCAGATTTGGATAAAACTTCAGAAAAAAAATTCTATTGACTCTGTGATGTTCATTTACTCAGGTAGAAGCATTCAATATGTAAATACAATTCGAGTGTTCAATTATTTTGGTGTCTGTATAATAAGAACAGTTTTCAACCAAAGATAGAAATGGTATGTTTTGAGATGAGAGGTAGTTGCTGCCAAGGTGTGATTCTTGAGAAAATGGTAAATGGAATATGGAAGATTGGTTATATACAAAAGTTTTGATGTTGATATATTTGTGCATTCATTGCTAACTACTAATTCCGTAATTATAGTAATGATACATTTTTTTTTTATTACAGAACCCTTTTTGATACAAAGTTATCCCAGAGACTACAGTGATGAGGTAAGTATGTAAAGACATCCTAAAAAATGTACAAGAGAAGTTGTAAGCTGAGATGTACCAGACAGGTCATTGACAGGAAAGTACAAGACAGGTAATTGACAGGAAAGTATCAGACAGGTCATTGACAGGAAGGTCATTGACAGGAAAGTACAAGACAGGTCATTGACAGGAAAGTATCAGACAGGTCATTGACAGGAAAGTATTAGACAGGTCATTGACAGGAAGGTCATTGACAGGAAAGTATCAGACAGGTCATTGACAGGAAAGTATCAGACAGGTCATTGACAGGAAAGTATCAGACAGGTCATTGACAGGAAAGTATCAGACAGGTCATTGACAGGAAAGTATCAGACAAGTCATTGACAGGAAGGTCATTGACAGGAAAGTATCAGACAGGTCATTGACATGAAAGTATCAGACAGGTCATTGACAGGAAAGTATCAGACAGGTCATTGACAGGAAAGTACCAGACAGGTCATTGACAGGAAAGTATCAGACAGGTCATTGACAGGAAAGTATCAGACAGGTCATTGACAGGAAAGTATCAGACAAGTCATTGACAGGAAAGTATCAGACAGGTCATTGACAGGGATGTATCAGGCATCTCATTAACAGGGACAGGGATGTATCAGGCATCTCATTAACAAGGAACAGGGATGTATCAGGCATCTCATTAACAAGGAACACAGATGTATCAAACATCTCATTAACAGGGAACAGGGATGTATCAGGCATCTCATTAACAGGGAACAGGAATGTATCAGGCATCTCATTAACAAGGAACACAGATGTATCATACGTCTCATTAACAGGAAACAGGGATGTATCAGACAGCTTATTAACAGGGAACACAGATATATCAGGCATCTCATAAACAGGGAACAGGAATGTATCAGGCATCTCATTAACAAGGAACACAGATGTATCAGACATCTCATTAACAGGGAACAGGGATGTATCAGGCATCTCATTAACAAGGAACACAGATGTATCAGACATCTCATTAACAAGGAACACAGATGTATCAGACATCTCATTAACGGGAAACAGGGATGTATCATGCAGCTTATTAAGAGGGAACACAGATATATCAGACAGCTTATTTACAGGGAACACAGACGTATCAGACCACTCATTAACAGGGAACACAGATTTATCAGACCACTCATTAACAGGGAACACAGATGTATCAGACCACTCATTAACAGGGAACACAGATGTATCAGACCACTCATTAACAGGGAACAGGAATACATCAGACATTTCATTAACAGGGAACATAGATGTATCAGACCACTCATTAACAGGCAACAGGAATGCATCAGACCACTCATTAACAGGGAACAGGAATGCTTCAGACATTTCATTAACAGGGAACACAGATGTATCAGACCACTCATTAACAGGGAACACAGATGTATCAGACCACTCATTAACAGGGAACAGGAATGCATCAGATATTTCATTAACTGGAAGGTGGCAGACAACTTACTGCCAGAATGTTCATCAGCAGTACAACACATGTATATTGTTCTAGATTAAGTCCAGAAAGAATGCATCTGGTATAGTTTATAACAATTTTAGATACACATAAAGGGGAGAGCATCCTGTGTAGTATTATACATTATGAAAGAAAGGAAGGTAACTTATATATTATGACACAATGCTAGATATCTCAAGGAAGGGAGGTAACTTAATAGTGTATGACAATATTATATACTCTTGAAGGGCAGAGTATCTTGTGTAGTATAATACATTACTAAATCACAAATTCAATCAAAGAAGGGAGATAACTTGCGCAGTATAAGACAATACTAGATACACTCAAAGAACGGAGGTAACTTCAGTAGTACATGTATAAGACCATACCAGATACACTCAAAGTACTGGGAAGGGAGGTAACTTCAACAGCACAAGACAATACCAGATACAATTAAAGAACTGAGATGGGAGGTAACTTAACAGTATAAGACAATACTAGATACAATCAAAGAACTCAGAAGGGAGGTAACTTAACAGTAGAAGACAATACCAGATACAATCAAGGTAGGAGATAACTTGTGTACAATACTAAATTTACTCAAGTAAGGGGGGTACTTTTAACAAGTATAGTATAAGACAATACTAGATACAATAAAGCAAGGGAGGTAACTTCAGTAGTATACGACGTAACTAGAAACATTCAAGAGAGAGCTGTAACCTGGGGAGTAGAACACTCATAAGGAAAGGAGATAACTTGTGTGTCTTAATTTCATTTAGAAGTGACATTCACTTGTGTATCTTACTATTTCACAAGCAGATACTCCATATCACTAGGAAACTGATCCTAATTAGCTACTAATTACTATGAAAGCTAAAAGAGGAACTTAAGTTACATCCATCTTGCAAAAAAAGTTGTTATATAAAGGTTATTATGCTCCTCCTATGAAGCAGTCCATGGCATAAAATTTTACGTATTTTCAATCTGTCATCCCTGCTGTTCGTTCCAGATAGAAGCTTTTGTCAAAACTATCATGCTCTCTCCTAAAAGTCATGTTTTTTTTTTTACCTGTTTTGGACCATACCAGAATTTTCAGTCAGAACTGGAGCAGGTATAAATGAATCACTGTGATATTAACTTACCTGATTTGCTAAACACATTTGTTAACACTTCAATCTATTTTATACAGGAAGTTCTTAAGTCTGTTCCCAAATTTGCGTTTCCATGCGACACTGAAAGGTACACGTAAGTTTTCTGATCTGCGTGCCACCAGCTTTGACTGTCTCGGTGGTACACCTGTCTGTTCTTAATTATTTCTGTGTGTCTTATTAAAAACCTTCTCTCATCAACATTATATATCTGCATACTTTTACCTCAATGTTTGATCTAGCATAAACATTTGTTTATCAAGTATGAATAAAAATATCGAAGAAATAGAAAGGAAAAAATGTGAACAGAGTGTTTTTGAGACAAGGTTAAAATCAGCCAGTTGTCAGAGTCTGCAATGCTAAGTGGTATTGATCTGTGTTCTGTGATTCAGATCCTGCTATATATGATCCAGATCTTATGGTACTATTCGGTATGTAATGTCACCATGTGATGGATTTTTAAGGGTTTTATTGTTATATACAAGTTAAACTATGTTCAATAGACAGAGATAAATGTAAGTCAGTTTCATAACTGTTCATACCAAAAAGTAAAATCCTATAATTTGAAAATTTACCCCTTTTTGTAACAAAAAAAGGGGTAAATCCTGGGTAGTCTGTTCATAGATTCCTTGAACACAGACCATACAAGCATTGTAGACTGTGATGAATTGTTTATACATATATTAGTTCAGTGTTCACATACAATGGCTGACATCCATGATGAACTACTCCAAGGGGATGGTCACCTTGTGTACCATATATATACTTAGAAATATTTAATGGTTTTGATTCTATTATACACCTAGAGTAGAAGATGATAGTTATTCCAGAGTACTGTATTCCTTTGCTTACATGTTTATTATATACAATGTACTGTATTATATAAAATTTTCTGTTTAGTAGAAAGTGGAAAATGTTACTTTGGAATGATATTTAACCAGGAACTGCTATCGATTTGATGAGAAGTACAAACAAATCTCATTTATTTTGTCATCACTGCATCTGCTGCTTGATAGGAAATCTGTGCCTTCAAATGAAACAAATCCTTGTATTTCACATTCGATTCAGGACCCCATATCATCTCATTTCTAGAACCTTCATCTTAGGATTACTGATAGAATTAATCGTTTTTGTGATTTTACTTGTTAATATGTAGTAATGGAGGCAGATACTTCTGTCTCTTAATATGTTTTTGAGTTTAGCCTTAACAAAGTATATTGTGCTGCTGTCTATGGAGGTGAAATAATACGAAAGTTTAAAAAGTTTGTAGTGACAAAATAACGAGGCTTGAAGTCTGGAGGGGAAGTGAGTTCCTGACAGATAACCCTGTTATTTAGATCTAGTGTACGGAAGCCTGGAGGGGAAGTGATTTCCTGACAGATAACCCTGTTATTTATGCCTAGTGTACGGAAGCCTGGAGGGGAAGTGATTTCCTGACAGATAACCCTGTTATTTATGCCTAGTGTACGGAAGCCTGGAGGGGAAGTGATTTCCTGATAGATAACCCTGTTACTTAGGTCTAGTGTATTGAAGTCTGGAGGGGAAATGAGTTCCTGACAGATAACCCTGTTATTTAGATCTAGTGTATGGAAACCTGGAGGGGAAGTGATTTTCTGACAGGTAACCCTGTTATTTAGATCTAGTGTATGGAAGCCTGGAGGGGAAGTGATTTCCTGACAGATAACCCTGTTATTTAGGTCTAGTGTATTGAAATCTGGGGTGGGGAGAGGATTTCCTGACAGATAACCCTGTTATTTAGGTCAAGTGTACGGAAACCTGGAGGGGGAGTGATTTCCTGACAGATAACCCTGTTATTTAGGTCTGGTGTATGGAAGCCTGGAGGGGGAGTGATTTCCTGACAGATAACCCTGTTATTTAGGTCTGGTGTATGATATCAGTGATTAAACCAATGATTGTTTGTGATTATACTTTTCCACAATATTTAAAGCTACATGAAGTATATATCCTATTTAAACCAGGTATCTTTCCCATGAAACATTTTCACCGTTTTACAAATACAACCAGACTTATAAACTGAAAAAGTATTTAGTTTTACTTAGTATAGTGAACTAACAACATCAGTCTTTGTGTCATTGATAAAGACTGTTTCTCATACACCTCCATATAGTATATTGTAATGTATAGTAAAACCAGCAACTGCTTTTCTCTGTCACTGTTTTATTTCTGTTCTTTTTGGTTTGTATTTTCTTTTAATTAAAAGTCCATTTTTGTTTATAAATATTAATATAGACTTTTAAAGAAATTTATTTAAATCCTTATTTTGTGTTTTTTTATGTTGAATGAATATCTCACTACAAAGAAACATTTTGCACCCAAGTAAATTTTAAAACAGTGTTTTTATTTGCTATTATCATAATATGTTTTATGTATTTTAGTTGCCTTCAAAAGAATATTAGACCATCCACATATTTGTGGTTTAATAGAATTGAGATCAAAGTTATGTTTTATCATTTTGTGTCATTCATTTACCAATCAATTATTTTACCGCATCAACGCTGTGTGTTATGACCTATACTTATTTTTAACTGTAAATAGATAGGCAGAAAAGTACATACCCAAACATTGGAAGATTTTCAGTAGTTTGAAGATGAGAGTTCTAAATGTTATGACAACCAAGCTAACTGGTGTCTTACCCCATTACAGGACGACAGTGGACCACTTCACATTTGTGCTTACAGAGATAGATAGTACCCTGAAGTTTGTGTTTTGTCGTCACGCCACTGGGGCCCAAACATGTCTGTGTATCGTCAGGTAAGCGTCAGTACGCTAGGAACTTCCATAGATTTAGCTGAACATGTTTGGTTTTGATTTACCTACATGGCAGTCAGGCACAGTAATGATAACACTGTAAACTCGCCTATCACTTATGCAACTGACGCTGATCTCCCCGATGGATGTGATGTAAATGGTGTCACCTGCCTGACAATATAGATATAAACTTTGTATTTCTAAGGAAGACTCCTTGTGGCATTCATTTTGGGCAACAAGAGTGATTGATATGTGGTGTTTTACAATTTGTAAAATCAGTAAAGTTTATTTTTTTCTTTAATGTACCATTTGCCGTAAATCTGATTCACTGATTACAATATTACAGTTACTTCCCTTGGTTCGAGATCTTTTACAATCTGCTCAACCAGTTGGCAGAGATGCTGAACCACAACTACGAGAGAGATATGACATCCTTTCTAAGAGCTGCATATATCCAGGATGTTCCAGCTCCTGGTGTACCAGTTACTATAGCAGCCAATCAGGAAGTAGGTATCTGATACAAAGCTATACCTGTATTATAGCAGCCAATCAGGATGTAGGTATCCAACACAACACTATACCTGTATTATAGTAGCCAATCAGGATGTAGGTATCCAACACAACACTATACCTGTATTATAGTAGCCAATCAGGAAGTAGGTATCCAACACAACACTATACCTGTTATAGGAGCCAATCAGGAAGTAGGTATCCAACACAATGCGATACATGTATTATAGTAGCCAATCAGGAAGTAGGTATCCAACACAATGCGATACCTGTATTATAGTAGCCAATCAGGAAGTAGGTATCCAACACAACACTATACCTGTATTATAGCAGCCAATCAGGAAGTAGGTATCCAACACAACACTATACCTGTATTATAGTAGCCAATCAGGATTCGGCACTCACGGGAAAAAACCACAACAGATACTGCAATACATATATATACAAGTTTATTTACACTACATACACTAAATATAGACAATAACACACTTGCATTTACCTACTCTATCTTCCACGCCTCTAAATGTTATATTACAGTCTCTTCCAACACACACACTATTATAGTAGCCAATCACATTTCTGACACAACACTATACCTGTTATAGTAGCCAATCAGGAAGTAGGTATCCAACACAACACTATACCTGTATTATTAGCCAATCAGGAGTAGGTGACACAACAATATGTTATAGGAGCCAACAAAATTTAGACACAACACTAACACATTATAGTAGCCAATCAGCATATGCCTATCAGACACAACATTATACCTCTATAGAGCCAATCAGAATATCCAACACAACACTGCCTGCATAGCCCGCCAACACAACACTATACCTGTATTATAGTCCTGGTAGCTGACCACTGTGTTCCTGGTAGTTGCTGTTGCAACACTGGCCGGCCCCGTTGCATACCAGTCTGTTGCATACCAGTCTGTTGCAGGCTTTGGGTAGCCTAACTTAGTTGTCTGCCCATCGTGTGAAGCTATAATAAACATGACAAAATATCATAAACACTCACGCACATCCATACTTTAATCCAACTAAGACATTCCTTAACTAACTATATAATTTACCATCCATTCTACTTCCCTTTATAATAACCAAACCTAATTGTACATATACCCCTACAAACATATTAAATTCTAGGATGCGTTTTCATAATAATGCCAAAACGCACGTATCACCGCAACCATATATGCTACTGAGTGGCTTCCGTACTTTTTACACCTGCGCGCACTCAACCCTTGCACAGGTAAATACAACTACTACTCAGGGCTTCCATAGATAAACTACTCAAACAAAATAACGTTATTAAGCGAAATATAGGCTTAAAGGCAACTAAATTACTTGTACATATCAACACATTACTTTACTATAATACCACATAAATCCTAATTGCCTAATACTGTTAATTATGACATTTAAAACCAACACACCTGTATACTATAACAGCAAATAGTTACGCTCGAGTGGACACGCATCGATAGATTGGTTGACCGGCAATAGGGACAATTAAAATATGGCACGAAATAGCCACTAAACAACAATTTATGAAAGATAGAAAGAATACTTACCCCAGTCAGATATCTGGGCTTCATGACACACGAATCATGGCTGGGAAACTAATTATAAACAGCTTTGCCAAACAATGGCCACTCCTCTCACCTGTCCAGCCCATGCACTACCCGTCCTTCTTCACACGTACACACATACGCACACGTGACCAATTTACTCACCATTCACAATAACAAAAAAATGTGCCTGCGTTCTTGACATCCAACACAATGCGATACCTGTATTATAGCAGCCAATCAGGAAGTAGGTATCCAACACAATGCTATTCGTGTATTATAGCAGCCAATCAATGTCCCTATTCTATTGCAGCCAATCTGAATGTAGTTGCCTGTCAAAGATCAGCTGTATCTTTGATTAAAATACTAAATTAATGGTAATGTGTCCTGGCAACTATGGAAATGTATGTTAGCAACCAATGAAATATATCCTAGAATTAATTTTAACTGTTATAATAAAGATTTTATTCATTTACAGATGTTGAACTTCACTGCTCCAGAAGTAAATAAACTACCAAGTATACCTTCAAATGTAAGTACACTTCTGGCAGTTCAATCATCAGGGCCTGCATTGAGATGTGGTGACCTATAGTAATCAGCTTGTCTGTCTGTCTGTCTATCTGTCTGTTTTTTTTATTTCTGTAAAGCATCTCAAACATTGTTGGGCCATGGCGCTCACACTTTATGTCAAGTCTTCTTGAAGGAAGTGCTTGCTTGGGGTATGTACCGTTTCATCTCTCAAGGTGAAAGGTTACTGTTGCTATAAATAGAAAATCAGTTTCCATGTGAGTTTGCTTTGTCCAATCTAACCCAAACTTCATACAGTACTTCCTTACTGAAAGTGGCTGCTTGGGATTGCTTTACATTTTCTAAGGTCAAAGGTCAGTGTCATTGTTACTATAAATAGAAAAATCAGTTTCCCTTCTATAACTCAAGTTTTCTTTGGCCAATCAAACTCAAACCTCATATAATGCTTCCTTACAAAATGGCTTGCTTTTCAGGCCCCAGGGTCAATGGTCCAGATTAATGATACACTAAGTAGATAATTGGTTTTCATGATATAACTTGGGTTCCTTAAGGTCACTGTAGCTATTAGTTATAATCAGTTTCTGTTGGATGACTTGAGTGTGCTTTGGCCAGTCTAAATACAATGCTTCCTTACCAAAAGTGCTTGCTTGGGCTATTGCTTTTGATATCTCAAGTTCTAAGGTCAAGATCACTTTTATTACAAAGAAAAAGTAAGATTGTTGAATATATTTGTCAGTTTGTTGTTTTTTTTTCATAACAGTCACATAGCAGCACCTTGCTGACCTGTCATGTTCTAGTTGTATATAAGTTAGAGTGGTGACCCTGTTTTTTATTGTTTACAGAGAAACCTAACAGAGTATTACAATGCCCTGGATACTGCCAACATGATGATTGTGTTTGCCAGGTAAGATTCTCAAGTTACTCCAGTTCACGTATTAACAAGTGTAACTTCTATATAAATTGATGTTAACAGGAAATCATTGTTTTTTTTTTATTATTTTTAGTATGCTGAATGAGAGAAGAATCGTTGTGACGTCTCGTCGCCTGTCACGCTTGACTGCCTGTATCCATGCCTCAGTGTCTCTATTGTACCCTATGTTCTGGCAGCATCTCTTCATCCCCATACTTCCAGCTCACCTTTTAGATTACCTCAGGTAACACCAATAAGGTCATTCTAGTCCTTACCAAGGTCAGATCTGGGATTTTAGGTGATCTGCCAGCAAACTGAGCTCTGGTCTGTATCAAAGGTACTGAATATTAACCAAGGGCCATGCATAAGGTCATCAGAATTGTATTTGTTTTAAAGGTTAAAAAAGCTAATTCAGAAAAGTCAAGCAGTCCAAGTTTGTGACATCAGTTCAGTAAGATACTGGACAGAAAACTGACTAGCGAGATAGGCCAATTTTGCCTTTAGAAACAAGGAAGAAACATCTTTAAATCTGAGAGAGATTGAATGAACTGGAGATGACTGTTTTCAAATTAATTTTCTTTGTATAAATTTGAATACTTGGCATATCCAATTCTTAATTATGTAGTGTTTTTTTTTCTTTTTAACAAATATCACATCTATAAAAATCAAAATAATATTGTAAGAAGTATGGTAAATGCTTTAATTACTTTTTACCCAAGCCCTAGGTGTTTTGACTTGCCTTAGACAGTTATTATAATTCAATTTTTTCAGTGCACCCATGCCATACGTGATAGGAGTACACTCCACACTGATGGAGGTAAGTAACAGTCTCTTTGATTGGCTCCATGGTATTGGAGATAAGTTACAGTCCCTTTGATTGGCTCTTTGCTGTAGGAGATAATTTACAGCCCCTTTGATTGGCTGGTTTCTACTGTTTCCAAGACATCAGTTAAATGATCTATTAATAGAAAACACCGGCTATAAAACATAATAACAAATTGTGTAATATGTGATTACCATCATATTATTGGAGTGATTTACTTGTAATTACTGTATGTTGTGACTACATCTGTTTTAATTTTCTTACAGAAAATGAAGATGTCTGAATTAGGTGATGCTGTTATAGTGGATGTAGACAGCAACACCGTACAGACAGAGCACGATGACCTCGAGGATCTGCCGTCTGATATCGTAAGCGTTATCTGTATTAAGAGTAGATATAGACAAGCATTTTCCCACACTTGATAATATTATGCTTTTGTTTACTTGAGAAAGATAAATAAATCTGTCTCTCATTTGGAAAAGGACGACACAGCAATATCATTAGTTTTTACACATATATTATAGGTAACTGATGATGTTGGATGTATACATTGTAACAACTTTCAATATTTTACAACAGATAATATAAGAGAAAAATAATCATGTACTTCTGTGTGATGTAAACAGTGTTATCTTAACCCTTGGCATTATTTGATTTTAGAGTAGCATGAGCCTTAAACTTCAAAATATTACCCTCGAGTTACGACAACTTATGAAAAAATATATATGAATATTATCTATTTTACAACAATTATAAAAAAAACTATCAGTATATATTAATTATTGTTATTGGCCTTGATGGAAATGAACGAGGAGTTTTACTGTGGGTGGAAACCAGAGTACCTGGGGAAAACCCATGTAGTAGGGCAGGTGATGCCATACCCTATCAGTTCAAATGAGAAATCAAACCCTGGTCACCAAGGTGAAGGGCAATTTTGTTGCCACTGTGCCACCCGGCCACTCACACTTATGTATATGTGTTGCCACTGTGCCACATGACAACTCACACTTATGTATATATTTTGCCACTGTGCCACCAGACCACTCAAACTTATGTATATGTTTTGCCACTGTGCCACCAGACCACTCAAACTTATGTATATGTTTTGCCACTGTGCCACCAGACCATTCAAATTTATGTATATGTGTTGCCATTGTGCCACCCAATCAATCACACTTATGTATATGTGTTGCCACTGTGCCACCAGACCACTCAAACTAATGTATATGTGTTGCCACTGTGCCACACCACAACTCACACTTATGTATATGTGTTGCCACTGTGCCACCCAGCCACTCACACTTATGTATATGTGTTGCCATTGTGTCAATTCACAACTCACACTTATGTATATGTGTTGCCACTGTGCCACACCACAACTCACACTTATGCATATGTTTTGCCACTGTGCCACACCACAGCTCACACTTATGTATATGTGTTGCCACTGTGCCACCAGACCACTCAAACTTATGTTTATGTGTTGAGAGAATGCTGTCTACATCACACTTAGGTAAAAGTTTCTACAACCATGATAAGATTGCGACATGATTTTGAACGAGACAGGTCACCCTCTCCTGACTTTGTTATAGATAGTCTCTGTTTCCTTTGTTTTTGTAGTCATCATATCTGAAACGCCACCTAAAGGGTGACAAAGTGAGGATATCCATGCAGACATCAGGTGACGCCATCCCCAGAACATTCCTTATGGCTTTAGTACGACTCATAGGTAAGCTTAACAGTATACAGTTAGCTGAGCTGTATATAAAAGGTTACTTTATTAATGATTTCATTTCAAATTGTTGTGGTAATTCAGTTTTCATTGTAATTTTCCTGGATTTTGTAATATTTATTGAACAGTCTTTTTTTATTTTTCCTCGATATCCTACCTGTTCTGATTGGTTCTGTTGACAGGTTGTTACAGAGATGCACTGCGATTCAAACAAGGAGAACCTATCACTTTTGACCCTGAAGCATTTGTACTCTCGCGACCTCAATCCATGCAGCCATTCCTTGAAAATATGCTTCAACTTCAAATATTTCAACAGGTAACCAGCATACTTATCACTACCTACATTGTTTACCACAAATATTTCAACTGGTAACCATCATACTTATCACTACCTGCATTGTTTACCACAAATATTTCAACAGGTAACCAGCATACTTATCACTACCTACATTGTTTACCACAAAGATCTCCCACTTCACAGCAGTATCAAATCAGTTGTTGTGTAGATTATGATATCGACATGTCAGCATGTCCGTGCTGACATCTTGTAAAAAAATTGATGTGAATTATACATGCATGAGAAAAGACAAATTGGTGTCTTAATGATTATGATACATTAGGCAGATTTCTATCTGTATACATGAGGGCAGATTTCTATCTATATACATGAGGGCAGATTTCTATCTATATACATTGGGGCAGATTTCTATCTCTATACATGAGGGCAGATTTCTATCTCTATACATGAGGGCAGATTTCTATCTATATACATGAGGGCAGATTTCTATATGTATACATGAGGGCAGATTTCTATCTCTATACATGAGGGCAGATTTCTATCTATATACATTGGGGCAGATTTCTATCTCTATACATGAGGGCAGATTTCTATCTATATACATGAGGGCAGATTTCTATCTATATACATCAGGGCAGATTTCTATCTATATATATGAGGGCAGATTTCTATCTATATATATGAGGGCAGATTTCTGTCTATATACATGAGGGCAGATTTCTATCTGTATATATGAGGGCAGATTTCTGTCTATATATATGAGGGCAAATTTCTATCTATATACATTGGGGCAGATTTCTATCTATATATATGAGGGCAGATTTCTATCTATATATATGAGGGCAGATTTCTGTCTTTATACATGAGGGCAGATTTCTATCTGTATATATGAGGGCAGATTTCTGTCTATATATATGAGGGCAGATTTCTATCTCTATACATGAGGGCATATTTCTATCTATATATATGAGGGCAGATTTCTCTCTATATACATGAGGGCAGATTTCTATACATGAGGGCAGATTTCTATCTATCTATCTGTGATGATTCACATCAGGGCAGATTTCTGTCTATATACATGAGGGCAGATTTCTATCTGTATCTATCTGTGATGATTCACATCAGGGCAGATTTCTAGCTATATACATCAGGGCAGATTTCTATCTATATACATCAGGGCAGATTTCATTGTATAGTATATGGGGGCAAATTTTTATACATAACAATACATGATAAGGTTTCTATCTGTATATGCACAAGGGCAGATTTCTGTAATATAATACTATGCATGAGGGCATATTCCTAGCATGTGTAATACAGGATGGCAGATTTATGTCTACATATATGATACACAAAGGTAGATTTCTATATAAAAAAAAATATCAGAGAGAAGATTTCTACCTACATTTCAAATAAAGATCAAATTCTCATTAATATGCAATATAGTAGGAGATGAAAATATAGTGTGAAAGTAGATATGTCACAGTGGGATTTATGTTGATTTTGTAGTTTATCAACGAACGTCTAGACATGCTCAACTGTGGACATGGTTTCAGTGACATCTTTGAGGCTGAGGCCCTACAAAATGCAGACAAGCTCAATACTCAGTCACGTTATAAAGAGTGGCTCTCTAATATGAAGGTAATATTGTATCATATTTTTTGGACTAGAAACTGCACACGAGTATTAGCAGGGGGTGTGATGAATATAACAAATGTCTGCCCATCTATTTCACTGTCGAGGTATAACATATTATGAATTTGTGAAAAACCATTCTAGGGAGTATCATCTAGTATTAGACAATGAATCAGTAATGACCTCCGTTCTCTATCCCAATAGAAGAACCGTCCAATATTATGTCAGTGTGTTGAAGGAATGCTTTACAATGCCCCTGTTATAAATATTTTGTTTTGTTTTCAGAAACAAGGCAATAAATTTCAAAAAGGTGGAAAAGACATTTGGGCTGGCATTAAAGAAAAGGTAAAATAGATGATTTACAAATCTCCCAAAATCTGTGAATAAAGACCTGGATACTTCAAACCGCTAACTACATTCCTGTAATTACTATTTACACTGTGGTTAAGTTCAGACCTCATCACTTACATGTCACTCCAAAGGTAATCCTCACTTTTTTGTAACCATGGAAACTGTTGATGATGTCCATTAAGTATCCTGATTTGGTGATAAGTGTTGTATGATGGGTTACATGTACCATTTCTGTTTAAATATTTTGATCTCTTGATGAGAGAAATATTTAAAATATAAAAGAACTTTTTCAGTTTTATCAGGATGAAAGGATTTGGTGATCACCACTGATTCTGATCGGTCACTTTGTCAGAATGTACATGACAATATAGATCCATCTATTACAGATGCTGTTTTTATGACCCAAACTTACATTCATTAAGAAATATGTCAACTTTGTCCCATTTGAGGAGAATTTCAACCCTAGATTGAAACATAACTTAGCTTCTTTATATCATTAAATGGTTCATTTCAGTGCTCCTTTCTTACACGTTCATTTTTAGGCTAAACGTACTCAGTACATATAGCCTATTGCGATGGCCTTGCAGACAAAATTTACCAGTCCTGGCCTTCTCATTGGCTGAAATATCGAAAAGAGTTAGAGCCCTCTAGCGGCAATTTTCTGCTTAAATAATGCCGCAATCTTTCAAATCGCTATTTTAACAGCATCCACAATTAGTTTTCTTTAAATAACAATAAGATTACTATATTTCAGACTTAGAAAAGATGATTGTAACTAGTGTCTCGTCCTCTGTTAATAGCATTTATAACTTGTACAATGGCAGTTTTCCTGACAGAGATGGATAACTGCAGTTACATACCTGATTATTTGTATGTCACACACATTTTGTTTTTATCACATTACCTGGGTTGTCACCGAGCTGACATTTTGTTTCTGACCTGATATCTATCCACAGGCCGCACCAGTTATGTCTAACGCCGTTCATTCTGTAAGTCAGCCATTTTGCATGTCCAGTGTTGTACACCAGTATATTAAGTAACCCTGTACTCCTGTTTCCCCGCTTTTTTGTTTGTGTCATGTGTTAGGGGAAGGATCGAAGTAGTAAACAAATCTGAAACATTGGAAATTCTGATATTAGGATGGTCAACCTGTACTACATAACATCACTGCAAGGCAGATACATTTCTGTGATGCTTTAGAAAAAGGTGTTATGGCCGTGTAACACATATTGCTGTTGCTAAGAAACTTAACTAGTCCTGGTAGGGTTTGATGTTAGTTTGTTAGCTACAGCATTATATGATACAGGATCATACCATCATCTAGATATATAGTGATTTTAAGTTTACATTTTGTTAAAATAGTCATGTTTTTTTTACTGTCCTAACATCTTTTTGAGAAGCTCTGGGAATGGTAAAACCAATGCAACCACAAACAGATTAATGATGTTACTTTCCTTGTGACCAGATGATACCATAGTCTTACTTCACCTCCTAGAGATGATAGTTTGGTGTCTGTAGATGATTCCATAGTCTTACTTCACCACCTAGAGATGATAGTTTGGTGTCTGTAGATGATTCCTTTGTAGATGGGAACTGTAAAAATGTTGTCTGTTTATGGAACATTTCTTTTGTTTATGAAATATAGAACTGGTCAGTTCAAAGCTGCCTAGTATTGATATTGTATAATTGTGTCTTATATGTTTTACAAAGACTGGACATTAGGTCAATCCTCAACAGAACTGAGCATTTACAATATAACTGGACTTTAGATCAATCCCTACCAGTACTGACCATTTACCATGGTTGGAAATTACATCAATCCCTACCAGTACTGACCATTTACCATGGTTGGAAATTACGTCAATCCCTACCAGTACTGACCATTTACTATGGCTGGACATTAGGTCAATCCCTACCAGTACTGACCATTTTCAATATAACTGGAAATTAGGTCAATCCCTAAGGGAACTGACCATTTACAATATAACTGGACATTAGATCAATCCCTACCAGTACTGACCATTTACCATGGTTGGAAATTACGTCAATCCCTACCAGTACTTACCATTTACAATATAACTGGACATTAGGTCAATCCCTACCAGTACTTACCATTTACAATATAACTGGACATTAGGTCAATCCCTACCAGTACTGACCATTTACAATATAACTGGAAATTAGGTCAATCCCTAAGGGAACTGACCATTTACAATATAACTGGACATTAGATCAATCCCTACCAGTACTGACCATTTACAATATAACTGGACATTAGGTCAATCCCTACCAGTACTGACCATTTACAATATAACTGGACATTAGGTCAATCCCTACCAGTACTGACCATTTACAATTAACTGGACATTAGGTCAATTCCTACCAGTACTGACCATTTACAATATAACTGGACATTAGGTCAATCCCTACCAGTACTGACCATTTACAATATAACTGGACATTAGGTCAATCCCTACCAGTACTTACCATTTACAATATAACTGGACATTAGGTCAATCCCTACCAGTACTGACCATTTACAATATAACTGGACATTAGGTCAATCCCTACCAGTACTTACCATTTACAATATAACTGGACATTAGGTCAATCTCTAAGGGTACTGACCATATCTATGGATATTGTTGTAAGGTTACTGGGTATCATATTAATGTATATAATGAAATGATAAAAAAAACTATCATATAGAGGATAGCCTTTTTTGAAGCTAAGGATTATTTTAACATTTGTTTGTAAGACAATTTATGAATTCCATATGTAATTACTTTTAGTGTTGAAAAGAAATGTCCTCAGTTTATATACACTGTACATGTATTAATGTAAACTCAAAATAGTATAACATGTTATCATTCGGTTCTTATTTAGTCAGGTTTGTGGAATCAATTAGTATAACATGTTATCATTCGGTTCTTATTTAGTCAGGTTTGTGGAATCAATTAGTATAACATTTTATCATTCGGTTCTTATTTAGTCAGGTTTGTGGAATCAATTAAATGTGTATACCATGCATGTATTAACACTGCATTGGAATGGTAAACTAGAGAGATATAATAACACCTAGTGGTCAGTAATGACACATTAATCAGCCTGGATGTTGATCTATAGTCGACAAACATATACTTAAAGTGAAGAACAAGATGTGTTTGTTTAGTGTGGATGTTCTGTCGCTAACAGTATCATACACTAATATACAGGAGTATAATACTATGATAGGATATTAATACTGGGAATTACTATTAGGAATTGGATTTTTACCATTTTACACATCATAACCTATTATGTGTGAGATCCCATGCTGAACCAGCACGTCACCAATCACCACTAATCTGGAGCATGATTTGGTTATACTTGATATGTGATTATCAGGTTCAGATGATATTGCGACATGGATTTATGTATACATGATATTTAGGCCTTCATCAATCAAGCTCTTTATCAGAACAAAGTTATACCTGTGCTATTCAAACTCATTGTCAAACCAGTGTCACATCTTTGTGAGTCAAACTCTTTGTTGAAAGTTTCAAGTCTTCAACGGCCAAGCTCTTTGTCAAATCAATGGCACATCTTCATCATTTAAACTCTTTATCTAAGTGATGTCACATCTTTGTTAGTCAAACATCTTAACGATGTCACATTTACATCAATTAAACTCTTTATCACAACAGTGTCCTATCTTATTCAGTGAAACTCTTTGTCAAAACACTGTCCCATCTTGATCATTCAGATTCTGCATCCGCAGTTTAATTTTCTTTGTTAATCAAACTTTTGTCAGACCTTTCTGTACCACATCTGTCAGTCCTTTGTTTTTAGTGTCACTTCTATTCCTCTTTGACTCTCATCATTTACGTCATTAACAACACCATCTCGGTCAGTCTCCGTCACAGGTAGAACAGCATTGTTGTGCTACACTACAAGTGAAACCATTTCGACGTGAAGTCATAGAAGACTGTATAAATGACGTCTGTTTCTTCGTGACATATCTGTCGTTATACAGTTATTTTTGGTAGATCATGGTAAATTTCCTGTGTGATAGTTCATGTAGTAATTAGTCAATGATGGTAGTTTATGTCCTGTATGACGGTAATTTATGTCCTGTATGATGTCCTGTATGATGGTAGTTATGTCCTGTATGATAGTAGTTATGTCCTGTATGATAGTAGTTATGTCCTGTATGATAGTAGTTATGTCCTGTATGATAGTAGTTATGTCCTGTATGATGGTAGTTATGTCCTGTATGATGTTAGTTATGTCCTGTATGATGGTAATTATGTCCTGTATGATGGTAGTTTATGTCCTGTATGACGGTAGTTTATGTCCTGTATGATGGTAGTATATGTCCTGTATGATGGTAGTTATGTCCTGTATGATGGTAGTTATGTCCTGTATGATGGTAGTTATGTCCTGTATGATGGTAGTTATGTCCTGTATGATGGTAGGTTTGTCCTGTATGATGGTAGTTATGTCCTGGTATGTCCTGTATGATAGTAGTTTATGTCCTGTATGATGGTAGTTATGTCCTGTATGACGGTAGTTTATGTCCTGTATGATGGTAGTTATGTCATGTATGATAGTAGTTATGTCCTGTATGATGGTAGTTATGTCCTGTATGATGGTAGTTATGTCCTGTATGATGGTAATTATGTCCTGTATGATAGTAGTTATGTCCTGTATGATGATGTCCTGTATGATGGTAGTTTATGTCCTGTATGATGGTAGTTATGTCCTGTATGATGGTAGTTATGTCCTGTATGATGGTAGTATATGGCCTGTGTGATATATTACATATGCTTTCTATGATGCTGGATATGATTGCGTGAAGCTATTATGAAATCCCATTTTTACCTATCATTGGTGTTTAATATGTTCATGAATACAGATATTTGTGTATCTAATAAATATATGACAGAAAACATTTTAAAAGTTACATTTTCAAAGGATTATATGTGTTATGGTAGTAAAACACATTCTTGAAATGTCATTAATACCATATACATCTTTCAGGAAATCCAGGAGACCAACACATTACTTCTTACTGAAGTCAGGGCATGGGCTTATCAGAGGACAATAAACCCAGGGGGCCAACACATTACTTCTTACTGAAATCAGAAGGTGGGCTTATCAGAGGACAATAAACCCAGGGGGCCAAAACATTACTTCTTACTGAAGTAAGGGCATGGGCTTATCACAGGACATAAACCCAGGGGGCCAACACATTACTTCTTACTGAAGTCAGGGCATGGGCTTATCACAGGACATAAACCCAGGGGGCCAACACATTACTTCTTACTGAAGTCAGGGCATGGGCTTATCACAGGACATAAACCCAGGGGGCAAACACATTACTTCTTACTGAAGTCAGGGCATGGGCTTATCAGAGGACAATAAACCCAGGGGGCCAACACATTACTTCTTACTGAAATCAGAAGGTGGGCTTATCAGAGGACAATAAACCCAGGGGGCCAAAACATTACTTCTTACTGAAATCAGAAGGTGGGCTTATCACAGGACAATAAACCCAGGGGGCCAACGCATTACTTCTTAATGAAGTCAAGGGGTGGGCTTATCACAGGACAATAAACCCAGGGGGCCCACATTACTTCTTACTCAATGCTTATCACAGGACAATGAATCCAGGGGGCAAACACATTACTTCTTTATGAAGTCAGGGCGTGGGCTTATCACAGGACAATAAACCCAGGGGCCAACACATTACTTCTTACTGAAGTCAGGGCCCCGATTTATCACAGGACAATAAACCCAGGGGTCCAACACATTACTTCTTACTGAAGTCAGGGCGTGGATTTGTCACAGGACAATAAACCCAGGGGGCCAACACATTACTTCTTACTGAAGTCAGGGCATGGGCTTATCACAGAACAATAAACCCGGGGGGCCAACACATTACTTCTTACTCAATGCTTATCATAGGACAATAAACCCAAAGACTTTGATAGATCAAGAAATTTGAATTGATAGATCAAGAAATTTGAATCAGCGAAGTTTGATTCACAGAAGTGTTTATTTATACACATTACCAGGCATGGGCTTATTGTCAAAGAAATAAGACAAATACCAAGATTGTGAAAGTATATCAAGCTGGTCTGCCACTGTTTGACCAAAGCGTTAGATGAGAAGCCATTTCCAAATCACTTCCTTTCCTCAAAAAGAGTTGTGCCAAATAGCCTTCTCTAAAGTTTGTATGCACTGTAATTCTCCCTCACTTCCTGCCAAAGATGTATGGCCATTATAGCAACCAATCCCCTGCCTGCCCACGTTGAGTACTAAACACCCTTATTGGAAGCTTGGATTTGACAGACTGTGTTAATTATTGTGTTTCCTGTATCTCTAGGTCAAGTCACAAGGCAAGAAGGCTTACACAGGTATAAAGAACAAAATGGCAGACCTAAAGAAGGTAAGTTCTGCATGTTACACAGCTGTTATATAGAGAGGTAGATGTGATGATGGGGTGTCTGTGGTTTGGTGTTGTCTCTATCTTTAGGCTGATTACAGCTGGACCAATTTTCTGTTTGAGTGGTGTTTGTTCTTAGATTGAGTGATTTTATTTAAGAGGTTTTTGGGTCATTATTTTTATAAAAACTGGGTATTTGTAATCATACAGAAATATAACTGTTATTTCCGTTGATATCACTAATGATGTTTGCTGATGCTGTTATAACTTTAAAACATATTTTTTTCAGTCTTCATTCAAAAACCTGTCAAATTTTTATGTAATTTTTCAGTCACCAAGTTGCACTTCTTCAGCATTGTAAACCAGACACTGTGTACAACTTTATGTATGCCAGTGGCACAACGTCTGTCAGTCTGGCTGCAGGCCCCAAAATAATGAAAAAATAATTGAACCAAAATAATGCTTTCACAATTCACTAGGTGAAGACCGATCTATTCTATTTGAATAGATGACATTAACCCACATTCAAGGTCACTACAGGTCTGGTGTGTCATGGGAACTGAATATAGTTTCACCTTGTTAAGACAGTGTATCGTATCAAAAGTAGGTCATTCTGACCTACATTTTTGACATGTGACCTATATCAAAGAACAAGTTTGTCCGGTCTCTATCTCCTACACTACTTGTCAGTACTGGGGCTTCATATTTGGAGTATGGGTTCACCTGGGTGAGGCATTGTGCCTTGTATCAAAAGTAGGTCATAGTCACATACTTTATTGCTCTTTTTTTTTGTTTTTTTGACCTGATCAGGCTGTCTCCTTCACCACCTGTCATCGTATCTTCATATTTGGGATATTGGTGCACTTTGGTTAGGTGGTGTGTCATGTTTCAAAACTAGGTCACTGTGACCTACATTTTGACTTTTAACCAACATCAAAGGAAAAATTTGTCTTACTCTACTTGCCTTTGGATCTTTATATTGAGGTATTTGTTCACTCTAGTGTGGTAGTGCTTTTTGCATCAAAATAGGTCACTCTGCCCTTCATTTTGAACCTTTCACTTACATTGAAGAAAACTTCATCCAAGCTCTATCTCCTATACAAGAGTCACTGGAACTTCATACCTGGTCTATGGGTTCACCTTGGTAAGGTGATATGTTGATGGGGGACTCTAATAATTTCCCAGATTGTCATGTTGTTCTATGATGTAATTTAGATTCTTTTGTGTTTTTGGGGCCTGTAGCTTAAAATGATGTAAGACCTTTTCAGATTAATATCAACGAAGAAAATCTAATAACAAACATGTCTGTATATAAACAGGTGAGCTATACTTGGTCCATGTATCTCCATATATAGACTATTGTAGCATGTTATGTTTATGTTTGATGTCCAGGAACCGTTACCACCCTACAGGATGTTGCAGGAGGTGACTGTTGAGATTACTATTAATTAATAATTCCTCTTAATAAGTGTATCAACAAATATTTAACTTGTCGTCGTTTCTGTATGGTGGGAATTTTGGGATGACACTCTAGTGAAATACTTACACATGTTTATTAAAAACTAATTCTTAAAAAAAAAATTGAATTACATATACATGTTTCGTAATTATTGAATTTAGAATTTCAAATTTTCCGATCTATTTTGTAAGATGGTAGCTATAGTGTAGAAGGTCTGTGTTCACTAGAAGGTTTCCTTGCCTGTTTGTTGGCTATACATGTTGTGTTCCCCAGTAAACACCCACAGTGTTATCATCCTAGCCTACCCAGGTCATTTGGTTTTGGGTGACAATTTGGAGCTGACACGTGAAGAACCAATATATTAAACTTATGTCGACATTTATGTTGCTAGTCCGCCCAGCTGTATAATTAGAGATGGTGACAAGATGTGAGTCATTTTCTCACTGCCTTTATGATATGTGTTAAGACTGGTTTTCTACACATGTCAGCTCCAGCCCTCCCTTAGCTTAACAGAAAAAGATACTGATCTGACTGCCTTAGTGTTGGCTGTGGAGCAGTAAGGAGTCGGTGCCACTTGAGGGAATTCTCAATCAGAAAACTTTTTCAACTTATTTTACAAATCTTCAGCCTTTAATTTTGCATTGTAAATGACATCTGTCTGCTATTGCAAATGTCATATCAGAAATTTTGAGAGCAGGTTTGCTAACAACTCTACTTTTTATATACAATTAAGCCTGTCTAATGTCTTAAGAGCCAAAAGTTGATTGCAATTTAGAGATGGGTAATAATGTTTGACCAGACTCACCAACATGATATATGTTTATATATCAAAAGGTCTTGCTTTGCTACTCTCATCATAACAGTTATACTTAATATTAAATAAAAGCAAATATTAAAACATAGCGAACTTACCAACACTGATATCTAACACAAAATCCTGCAAAGTAAATAATATGATAGTTTAATCCCACACACTAATATTGTGTCTTAGTAAATATTTTCCAGGTCCTTACTTCAAGGTGAAGGTCATAGATTTAATATCTAAAATGAAGTTTTCCTGTCAAAAAAAAAACTAATTTCTGCATTAAATAGTATCAATCCATACTTAACTACTGGTAGGTGGAGGTTTATACAGAAATTTCAATGCTACAATTTTACAAAGGTCAAATAATTTAATAGGTAAAGTTTTTTAAATTTTGAATATATCTATCATTATTCATCTGTTTAGTGCATAATTTTCTTGGCATTGATTATAAAACTTAGGTAATGTATCCATGTCAAGGGTCAAAGTATAGTGTAGTGTAAAACATGATTATACCTGATATGAGGATAGACTAGGGCTTCTCCAGGCTGTATTGATAGTATGTACCCTGTTAAGCTGTATAAGGACTGGTTCGTCAGAAATATTGACTTGCATTCTTCATTTTGTTTGCAAAACTCTTTTGTTCTTTGCTCATTCGCTCATTTGCTTGTAAGGCAAGTGGTGTGATGTCTGTCGTTTTTCCAAGCAACATTTTTTTACATGAAAAAAAAAATTTGATTATGAACCATTAAATGAGATGTGATAAAGTAGTAGTTTCTGTGAATGAAGCATTTAAGTTTGCAAAAAGAAATGACCTTGACCCATATTCAATGTCACAGGGATCAAATTTGTTAAAACCTGAACAAATTCATCTGATTGACCACAAGGAGATTGTGAAAAGAAATAATTTTTCAACTATAATGCACATCACAGGAGGCATATTAAGATTGCTGTTAGTAAGTGCTGTGAAGTTTGTGAAACAAGATGACCTTGATCTATAATTAAAATCACAGAGGTCAAATTTGTTTTAAACATTTTTGTGATTAACCAAAAGACAGAAAAGAAGTGGTAAAAGTTTTTTTCTATTTTATGTAAAATGTTGTAAGAATAGTTTTGATTAAAGCCTTACAGAAAATTACGTTCAGTTGTAGATGAGTTAGTTGAAATAAATTTATCACTTTGAATGTCTATGATATGATATGTCTATTTGATATACAGTTAATACAGGTGAGAGATGGCGGCTAACTGGGCTTTTGTTTAATTAAAATCTAAGCTTTTGTTATAAAAAGGGAATTTATGTTGCTTTCTATAGAGAAAGAGGTGGTGTAATGAGTAAACCATGAACGGTTTACAGCTTGTCACCTCTTTATGATGTTGTATATCTGTATGATGCTGTGATACTAACATCAGGAATAGTCTGTTTGCTGCCAGATATCTCCTCGAAAGGTTTGGTAAATACACACCAGGAAGTTCACATCAAGTCACAAGCCTTAATAAATGTGCACGCTTCATCATAATTTGCTTGTTCCAGGAGGATGAACCTGCTAATACGAAGACTAAAAGCATGAAATATCCGTCCACCCCAAAAATGACCTCCCGCGATCGCCCCTCTACAGTTATAGGGCAACCACTGAAAACACTACGTGTAAGTTACGAAGTCATTTAATCAGGAAATCCATCAAACATCTGCTGTGAAAGGTCCTGCCTATCTCGGCAGGGATTTTAAATGAGATGTCTTTCAACTTGGGGTATCAGACCAGGTCTGCCTCAATAGGGGGTATCAGACCAGGTCTGCCTCAACAGGGGGTATCAGACCAGGTCTGTCTCAACATTGGGTATCAGACCTGGTCTGCCTCAACAGGGGTATCAGACCAGGTCTGTCTCAACAGGGGGTATCAGACCAGGTCTGTCTCAACATGGGGTATCAGACCTTGTCTGCCTCAACAGGGGGTATCAGACCAGGTCTGTCTCAACATGGGGTATCAGACCTGGTCTGCCTCAACAGGGGGTATCAGACCAGGTCTGTCTCAATATAGGGTATCAGACCTTGTCTGCCTCAACAGGGGTATCAGACCAGGTCTGTCTCAGCATGGGGTATCAGACCTTGTCTGCCTCAACAGGGGTATCAGACCAGGTCTGTCTCAACATGGGGTATCAGACCTTGTCTGCCTCAACAGGGGTATAAGACCAGGTCTGTCTCAGCATGGGGTATCAGACCTTGTCTGCCTCAACAGGGGGTATCAGACCAGGTCTGTCTCAATATGGGGTATCAGACCTTGCCTGCCTCAACACGGGGTATCAAACCTTATCTGCCTCAACATGGGGTATCAGACCAGGTGTGTCTCAACAGGGTTATCAGACTAGGTTTGTCTTAACAGGGTTATCAGACAAAGTCTATTTTACATTACAAGGTCACAAGTCAAGGTCATTAAAGACATAGAAACATAGTAAAGACTGTTTATGAGTCCAGTTCTACACCATATTTCACAGAATGACTGTATATATCTATAGAATAGTCACTCAGTTCTGGATCAAGAGCTTTGCTGTCATTTTCTTAAATTTCAAGAAGTAAACTGTACTGTAAAGGCATTGATTTTTTGTTTTTTATTTTCATTTATTTGGTGGGTATTCAAAATCTGCAAATTTTATATGTCCACAAAATAATAAATGGTTAATAAAGGATTTCATGTGTAAAAATTAACTACAAAATCAAGTACTCATATAAAAATAGATATTCTTAGAAAACCACAAAATTCTTACCCCATGAAAAATTATGGTTTTAAAGTATTACTTACCTAACAATTGTGAAATGAGTTTTTCCTTCTTAAATTAATCACTCTCACTTGCTCGGATGGAAGCACACTGTGGGAGGAAACAAGAAACTCGTGTTGTTGGGCAGGGGACCCCGTACCTTTTCATGTCATTTAGGTCATCAAACCCCAGATGGCAAAGTGAAAGTACTTTATCACTGCCCCATGCATCCACCCATTTTCTGGTCACACGTCAGTGTTTATTCTGTCATGGGCATGGAAATGACCAGTTTGTTTGTAATGATGCAAGCTATTTTTGCTATTCTTTGTGCTTGATTTATTAAGAAGTATTATAAGATTTTAATCTCTTCTCAGCAGTATATGCGATTTTGGGAGATTTTTTATAATTTTTTTTCTCTCACTTCCTATAGCTTTTTTATCATTATCTTTCGACATTTTGAACAAATTGATCTAAATAAAGATTATTCCGTCAAGTGACTATAATGCTTGGTTTTAAGAAAGTGCTTGGTTGTTGTTGTAAGCATGGAGAGCATGTACTGGTTGCATGTTATGTATCCCACATACAATGTATAACCTATTATAAATTATGCTGTCTATATTGTTGTCTAGTTTAATTCATCATTTTTGTCATAATTATGTAACAGATATGCCAAATCCATTGTTCAAAGAAGTAATCATTTCAGTATTTATCACTAATATATTGCCTAGACCATAGCACTAAGAAAATATTATGTATGTTTGTTTTTTTTTCGAGGAAATTCCATTATTTTGTAACTATGTACTGTTAATATTTAAGACTGCCTATATCAAAGACCCTGAAGTTATCACGGATTGTCTGTATCAGTGACCTGTTAATTATCTGAGACTGTCTATATCAGGGACCTGTTAGTTATCTGGGACTGTCTATATCAGTGACCTGTTAGTTATCTGGGACTGTCTATATCAAAGACCCTGTAGTTATCTGAGTCTGTCAATATCAGGGACCTGTTAGTTATCTGGGACTGTCTATATCAGGGACCTGTTAGTTATCTGGGACTGTCTATATCAGTGACCTGTTAATTATCTGGGACTGTCTATATCAGTGACCTGTTAGTTATCTGGGACTGTCTATATCAGTGACCTGTTAGTTATCTGGGACTGTCTATATCAGTGACCTGTTAGTTATCTGGGACTGTCTATATCAGTGACCTGTTAGTTATCTGGGACTGTCTATATAAGGGACTTGTTAGTTACCTGAGACTACCTATATATGTGTTCAATATTTCTTCTTGAAAAAGAACAAACATTTATTTTTTAGCCTCCTCGACCTCCAGTGCTGTCTTCACCAACAGGAGACAAACTTATTGTGTCATCATCATCACAGGACAGGTAATTTGAACCTAAGTCAGAATTAAATGTCCTATAGATATGTACTTCTCCAGATAGAAGATATATTCAGGTTTTAGCTCCCATGAAAAATTTTGATGTTCAGGAACATGTCTATTCTTTGTTCATTAATTAAATGTCATTGCTGTTAATTCTTACTGCAAATAGATCAAGGAAAATTTACTGAAGGTTAGATGTTGGATTGTGCTCATGCATCCAAGGTCAAGGTCACATGTTATGCTATAACTACCTATCTAGGGAAGGTCACTGGGTCAATGAAACATAAGTAAATCCATGATTTTCCTGTTACTCCTTCAGATCTTGTCACATGAAGGGCAAATGTTTGGGAAATAACTTCAGACTCACTGCACTTTTGTGAATATGTAGGTGCATGAAGTGTTGTGATTGATACTGAATTCGGTACTGTATGGCAAAAATGTGTTGTGTACTGAGGCTGTGAGTTATGTACTGAGGCTGTGTGTTGTGTACTGTGTGTTGTGTACTGAGGCTGTGTGTTATATACTGAGGCTGTGTGTTGTGTACTGAGGCTGTGTGTTATGTACTGAGGCTGTGTGTTATGTACTGAGGCTGTGTGTTATGTACTGAGGCTGTGTGTTGTGTACTTAGGCTGTGTATTGTGTACTGAGGCCGTGTGTTTTGTACTGAGGCTGTGTGTTGTGTACTGAGGCTGTGTTTTGTGTACTGAGGCTATGTGTTGTGTACTGAGGCTGTGTGTTGTTACTGTGTGTTGTGTACTGAGGCTGTGTGTTGTGTACTGAGGCTGTGTGTTGTGTACTGAGGCTATGTGTTGTGTACTGAGTCTGTGTGTTATGTACTGAGGCTGTGTGTTGTGTACTGAGGCTGTGTGTTATGTACTGAGGCTGTGTGTTATGTACTGATACTGTGTTGTGTACTGAGGCTGTGTGATATGTGCTGAGGCTGTGTGTTGTGTACTGAGTCTGTGTGTTGTGTACTAAAACTGTGGATTGTGTACTGAGGCTGTGTGTAATGTACTGAGGCTGTGTGTAATGTACTGTGGCTGTGTGTTATATACTTAGGCTGTGTGTTATATACTGAGGCTGTGTGTTGTGTACTGAGGCTGTGTGTTATGTACTGATGCTGTGTGTTATGTTATGTACTGAGGCTGTGTGTTGTGTACTGAGGCTGTGTGTTATGTACTGAGACTGTGTGTTGTGTACTGAGACTGAGGCTGTGTGTTGTGTACTGAGGCTGTGTGTTGTGTACTGAGGCTGTGTGTTATGTACTGAGGCTGTGTGTTATGTACTGAGGCTGTGTGTTGTGTACTGAGGCTGTGTGTTGTGTACTGAGGCTGTGTGTTATGTACTTAGGCTGTGTGTTGTGTACTGAGGCTGTGTGTTATGTTATGTACTTAGGCTGTGTGTTGTGTACTGATGCTGTGTGTTGTGTACTGAGGCTGTGTGTTATGTACTGAGGCTGTGTGTTATGTACTGAGGATGTGTGTTGTGTACTGAGGCTGTGTGTTATGTACTGAGGCTGTGTGTTATGTACTTAGGCTATGTGTTGTGTACTGAGGCTGTGTGTTATGTTATGTACTTAGGCTGTGTGTTGTGTACTGATGCTGTGTGTTGTGTACTGAGGCTGTGTGTTATGTACTGAGGCTGTGTGTTGTGTACTGAGTCTGTGTGTTATGTACTGAGGCTGTGTGTTGTGTACTGAGGATGTGTGTTATGTACTGAGGCTGTGTGTTATGTACTGATACTGTGTTGTGTACTGAGGCTGTGTGATATGTGCTGAGGCTGTGTGTTGTGTACTGAGTCTGTGTGTTGTGTACTTAAACTGTGGATTGTGTACTGAGGCTGTGTGTAATGTACTGAGGCTGTGTGTTGTGTACTGAGGCTGTGTGTTATGTACTGAGACTGTGTGTTATGTACTGAGGCTGTGTGTTGTGTACTGAGTCTGTGTGTTGTGTACTAAAACTGTGGATTGTGTACTGAGGCTGTGTGTAATGTACTAAGGCTGTGTGTTGTGTACTGAGGCTGCATGTTATGTACTGTGGCTGTGTGTTATATACTTAGGCTGTGTGTTATATACTGAGGCTGTGTGTTGTGTACTGAGGCTGTGTGTTATGTACTGATGCTGTGTGTTATGTTATGTACTGAGGCTGTGTGTTGTGTACTGAGGCTGTGTGTTATGTACTGAGACTGTGTGTTGTGTACTGAGGCTGTGTGTTATGTTATGTACTTAGGCTTTGTGTTGTGTACTGATGCTGTGTGTTGTGTACTGAGGCTGTGTGTTATGTACTGAGGCTGTGTGTTATGTACTGAGGATGTGTGTTGTGTACTGAGGCTGTATGTTATGTACTGAGGCTGTGTGTTATGTACTTAGGCTGTGTGTTGTGTACTGAGGCTGTGTGTTATGTTATGTACTTAGGCTGTGTGTTGTGTACTGATGCTGTGTGTTGTGTACTGAGGCTGTGTGTTATGTACTGAGGCTGTGTGTTATGTACTGAGGATGTGTGTTGTGTACTGAGGCTGTGTGTTATGTACTGAGGCTGTGTGTTGTGTACGGAGTCTGTGTGTTGTGTACTAAAACTGTGGATTGTGTACTGAGGCTGTGTGTTATGTACTGAGGCTGTGTGTTATGTACTGAGACTGTGTGTTGTGTACTGAGGCTATGTGTTATGTACTGAGACTGTGTGTTATGTACTGAGGCTGTGTGTTGTGTACTGAGGCTGCGTGTTATGTACTGTGGCTGTGTGTTATATACTTCGGCTGTGTGTTATATACTGAGGCTGTGTGTTGTGTACTGAGGCTGTGTGTTATGTACTGAGGCTGTGTGTTGTGTACTGAGGCTGTGTGTTATGTACTGAGACTGTGTTATGTACTAAGGCTGTGTGTTGTGTACTGAGGCTGCGTGTTATGTACTGTGGCTGTGTGTTATGTACTGAAGCTGTGTGTTATGTACTAAGGCTGTGTGTTGTGTACTGAGGCTGTGTGTTATATACTTAGGCTGTGTGTTATATACTGAGGCTGTGTGTTGTGTACTGAGGCTGTGTGTTATGTACTGAGGCTGTGTGTTATGTACTGAGGCTGTGTGTTGTGTACTGAGGCTGTGTGTTGTGTACTAAAACTGTGGATTGTGTACTGAGGCTGTGTGTTATGTACTGAGGCTGTGTGTTATGTACTAAGGCTGTGTGTTGTGTACTGAGGCTGCGTGTTATGTACTGTGGCTGTGTGTTATATACTTAGGCTGTGTGTTATATACTGAGGCTGTGTGTTGTGTACTGAGGCTGTGTGTTATGTACTGAGGCTGTGTGTTGTGTACTGAGGCTGTGTGTTATATACTGAGACTGTGTGTTGTGTACTGAGTCTGTGTGTTGTGTACTAAAACTGTGGATTGTGTACTGAGGCTGTGTGTTATGTACTAAGGCTGTGTGTTATGTACTGAGGCTGTGTGTTGTGTACGGAGGCTGTGTGTTATGTACTGTGGCTGTGTGTTATATACTTAGGCTGTGTGTTGTGTACTGAGGCTGTGTGTTATGTTATGTACTGAGGCTGTGTGTTGTGTACTGAGGCTGTGTGTTATGAACTGAGACTGTGGATTGTGGACTGAGGCTGTGTGTTATGTACTAAGGCTGTGTGTTATATACTGAGGCTGTGTGTTGTGTACTGAGGTTGTGTGTTATGTACTGAGGCTGTGTGTTGTGTACTCTGTGTGTTATGTACTTAGGCTGTGTGTTGTGTACTGAAGCTGTGAATTGTGTACAACCAGAATGGGTTGTGTACTTTGGCTGTACCAGGACAGTATGTTGTGTGTTAAGACAGTATGTTGTGCATCAACATAAAGGTTTTGTACTGGGGCAGTGTGTATTGTACTAAAACAGTGTGCTGTGTACTGTGACTGTGTGTTGTTTCTAAGGCTATGTGTTGTGTACTTTGTCTTTGTGTTGTTTACTAAGGCTGTGTATTGTGTACCAAGACAGTGTGATGTATACTGAGTGTGTTGTGTAATAAGTCAATGTGGTGTGTACAAGGCAGTATGTTATGAACTAAAGCGGTAGTTTGTATATTAATACAGTGTGTTGTGTACTGTTAGGATAGATAGATAGGAATGATAGATAAATGATTTGTAGGTCTACATGCGCAATGTAGAAGTAGTGACCTTTCAGGAATCGTTGTCCATTTTCAGGGTTATAATCAAATTACATTGTTTCTGATAAAAAATTTTGGTCTTGAATTTGTATTTTAAAATTTTTGCAGGATTTCAAGATACAAGATGATAACGGTGGAAGAAAAGTTTCATGATGACTCTGATGTAGAGTTAGCATACAACAGGGTTAGTGTGAATCTTTTGAGTGACCCAGATATTCAACAGGCACTGAACCGAGCTGCCAGTGCAGAAAACATCGTCCGTATGTCAGGCAAAACCCATCAACTGGTAAGGAGAGTTTTCCTTACCCGGTGTGGTCATGCATGACTTTGTGTGAGGCAGTACTGGATAAGCCTGCCATGCCTGCTTCAACTCCCTCCACACCATCTACATAAATCTACAGCAATGCCTCTGGTCTGGCAAAAATTGTCCCTCCTGCACGTAACTGCTAACCATTTTTGCTGCGATAACCAATATCTTCACCAGCCATTGCATTTCGGTGATGGGCAATATCCCCACCAAACAACAATGAAAGTAGCTTTGCTTACAAATGTCCCCACCAATTATCACAACTTTTCTCATTGATAACCAATATCTCTACCAACCCTGAAACCAACTTTTTGTTTTGATAACTAATACCTCCACCAACACAGACACCAACTTTACTCTAATAAGCAGTATCACCACTTATTTTCACAACTTTTCTAATTGATAACTAATATCTTGACCAACCTTCACAACTTTTCTCATTGATAACTAATATCTCGACCAACCTGCACAACTTTTCTCATTGATAACTAATAGCTCGACCAACCTTCACACTTTTCTCATTGATAACTAATAGCTCGACCAACCTTCACACTTTTCTCATTGATAACTAATAGCTCGACCAACCTTCACAACTTTTCTCATTGATAACTAATATCTTGACCAGCCTTCACAACTTTTCTCAGTTGTGCATTTGACCTGATTCCCAGAAATCCCCAAGCCATTTAGCCTCTTAACCAGACCTTACAAAATCCACAGAATTAGGGAATCAATTTGTACTCTCAGCTCAGTCCCAAACTTGAAAAGATCCCCAGGTGAACCCAAAACATTAGTACACACGACCTGATCCTAAGCTTGACAAAATCGCCAGATGAACCTAAACCATTTGTACATTTTAATCCCAAGTGGACCTGAATCATAGAAGTATCTATTGTCAAACCTGTATCCAACCTTTGCCTCCGTTCATCATTCGCCTTGTGTTCCTATCTGGATCTTTCATTACTTTATCATACCAAACCTCCTTTTCCTGTAAATCTGACATACCAAACCTCCTTTTCCTGTAAATCTATCATACCAAACCTCCTTTTCCTGTAAATCTATCATACCAAACCTCCTTTTCCTGTAAATCTATCATACCAAACCTCCTTTTCCTGTAAATCTGACATACAAAACCTCCTTTTCCTGTAAATCTATCATACCAAACCTCCTTTTCCTGTAAATATCTAGAGTAAAACAGAAAACCTGTCCTTTTCACACTTCAGGATCTAAGTAAAACAGAAAACCTCATACCAAACCTCACACTTCAGGATCTGTAAAACAGAAAACCTGTCATACCAACCATCACACTTCAGGATCTAGAGTAAAACAGAAAACCTGTCATACACTGTAACAACCATCAGTCTTCTGTTTATAGAGTAAAACAGAAAACCTGTCATACCAACCATCACACTTCAGGATCTAGAGTAAAACAGAAAACCTGTCATACCAACCATCACACTTCAGGATCTAGAGTAAAACAGAAAACCTGCCATACATACCAACCATCACACTTCAGGATCTAGAGTAAAACAGAAAACCTGTCATACCAACCATCACACTTCAGGATCTAGAGTAAAACAGAAAACCTGCCATACAGTGTACCAACCATCACACTTCAGGATCTAGAGTAAAACAGAAAACCTGTCATACCAACCATCACACTTCAGGATCTAGAGTAAAACAGAAAACCTGTCATACAGTGTACCGTGTACCAAGTCACAAACAGAAAACCTGTCATACCAACCGTCCTTCAGGACCAACCGTCACACTTCAGGATCTAGAGTAAAACAGAAAACCTGTCATACCACCCATCACACTTCAGGATCTAGAGTAAAACAGAAAACCTGCCATACAGTGTACCAACCATCACACTTCAGGATCTAGAGTAAAACAGAAAACCTGTCATACCAACCATCACACTTCAGGATCTAGAGTAAAACAGAAAATCTGTCATACCAACCATCACACTTCAGGATCTAGAGTAAAACAGAAAACCTGTCATACCAACCATCACACTTCAGGATCTAGAGTAAAACAGAAAACCTGTCATACCAACCATCACACTTCAGGATCTAGAGTAAAACAGAAAACCTGTCATACCAACCATCACACTTCAGGATCTAGAGTAAAACAGAAAACCTGTCATACCAACCATCACACTTCAGGATCTGTAAAACAGAAAACCTACCTTCACACTTCAGGATCTAGAGTAAAACAGAAAACCTGTCACATACAGAAAACCTGTCATACCAACCATCACACTTCAGGATCTAGAGTAAAACAGAAAACCTGTCATACCAAACATCACACTTCAGGATCTAGAGTAAAACAGTCATAAAAACCCATACCATCACACTTCAGGATCTAGAGTAAAACAGAAAACCTGTCATACCAACCATCACACTTCAGGATCTAGAGTAAAACAGAAAACCTGTCATACCACTCGTCACACTTCAGGATCTAGAGTAAAACAGAAAACCTGTCATACCAACCATCAGACTTCAGGATCTAGAGTAAAACAGAAAACCTGTCATACCATTCGTCACACTTCAGGATCTAGAGTAAAACAGAAAACCTGTCATCATCACACTTCAGGATCTAGAGTAAAACAGAAAACCTGTCATACCAACCATCACACTTCAGGATCTAGAGTAAAACAGAAAACCTGTCATACCAACCATCACACTTCAGGATCTAGAGTAAAACAGAAAACCTGTCATACCAACCATCACACTTCAGGATCTAGAGTAAAACAGAAAACCTGTCATACCATTCGTCACACTTCAGGATCTAGAGTAAAACAGAAAACCTGTCATACCAACCATCACACTTCAGGATCTAGAGTAAAACAGAAAATCTGTCATACCAACCATCACACTTCAGGATCTAGAGTAAAACAGAAAACCTGTCATACCATTCGTCACACTTCAGGATCTAGAGTAAAACAGAAAACCTGTCATACCAACCATCACACTTCAGGATCTAGAGTAAAACAGAAAACCTGTCATACCACTCGACACACTTCAGGATCTAGAGTAAAACAGAAAACTTCAGGATCACACTAGGAGTAAAACAGAAAAAATTCGTCACACTTCAGGATCTAGAGTAAAACAGAAAACCTGTCATACCAACCATCACACTTCAGGATCTAGAGTAAAACAGAAAACCTGCCATACAGTGTACCAACCATCACACTTCAGGATCTAGAGTAAAACAGAAAACCTGTCATACCACCCATCACACTTCTGGATCTAGAGTAAAACAGAAAACCTGTCATACCAACCATCACACTTCAGGATCTAGAGTAAAACAGAAAACCTGTCATACCACTCGTCACACTTCAGGATCTAGAGTAAAACAGAAAACCTGTCATACCACCCATCACACTTCAGGATCTAGAGTAAAACAGAAAACCTGTCATACCAACCATCACACTTCTGGATCTAGAGTAAAACAGAAAACCTGTCATACCAACCATCACACTTCAGGATCTAGAGTAAAACAGAAAACCTGTCATACCAACCATCACACTTCAGGATCTAGAGTAAAACAGAAAACCTGTCATACCAACCATCACACTTCAGGATCTAGAGTAAAACAGAAAACCTGTCATCATACAGAAAACCTCCACTTCAGGATCTAGAGTAAAACAGAAAACCTGTCATACCAACCATCACACTTCAGGATCTAGAGTAAAACAGAAAACCTGTCATACCACTCGTCACACTTCAGGATCTAGAGTAAAACAGAAAACCTGTCATACAAACCATCACACTTCAGGATCTAGAGTAAAACAGTAAAACCTGTCATACCAACCATCACACTTTCAGTAAAACAGAAAATCTACCAACCATCACACTTCAGGATCTAGAGTAAAACAGAAAACCTGTCATACCAACCATCACACTTCAGGATCTAGAGTAAAACAGAAAACCTGTCATACCAACCATCACACTTCAGGATCTAGAGTAAAACAGAAAACCTGTCATACAGTGTACCAACCATCACACTTCAGGATCTAGAGTAAAACAGAAAACCTGTCATACCAACCATCACACTTCAGGATCTAGAGTAAAACAGAAAACCTGTCATACCAACCATCACACTTCAGGATCTAGAGTAAAACAGAAAACCTGTCATACCAAATCACACTTCAGGATCTAGAGTAAAACAGAAAACCTGTCATACAAAACTCCATCACACTTCAGGATCTAGAGTAAAACAGAAAACCTGTCATACCAACCATCACACTTCAGGATCTTAAAACAGAAAACCTATCATCATACCAACCATCACACTTCAGGATCTAGAGTAAAACAGAAAACCTGTCATATCACACTTCAGGATCTAGAGTAAAACAGAAAACCTGTCATACCAAACCATCACACTTCAGGATCTTAAAACAGAAAACCTGTCATACCAACCATCACACTTCAGGATCTAGAGTAAAACAGAAAACCTCCCATCCTCTGTTACAACACACCCACTTCAGGAACTAGAGTAAAACAGAAAACCTGTCATACCAACTGTCACACTTCAGGATCTCATACCAAACCTCCTTTTCCTGTAAATCTATCATACCAAACCTCCTTTTCCTGTAAATCTATATCATACCAAACCTCCTTTTCCTGTAAACCTATATCATACCAAACCTCCTTTTCCTGTAAATCTATCATACCAAACGTCCTTTTCCTGTAAAATTATCATACCAAACCTCCTTTTCCTGTAAATCTATCATACCAAACCTCCTTTTCCTATCTCTTGTCTTTTGATTCCCTGTCCTAGTTATGTTGTTTGTCTCTATTTCTTCTCTCTTTCCAGGATTATTCAGACAAGATTTCTGTCTACAATGCCTTTCTCTTTTTAATATTTCGGACAAATCCCCTTCTGTCTACATGCCTTGTCTGTCTTGTGTCTTCATTCCTGTCAAGTCCTCCTCTGTATACGTCCCTTGTCTGTCCTGTGTCTGTCTTATTTTTCTGACCAGCCTTCTGTCTATATCCTGTGTGTCCTATAGCTATCTCACCTCTTCTGCCTACATCTCTTGTGTGTTCCATGTCTTTTTTACTTTCCTGAGAAGCCGTTCTCTGTCTGCCTCATGTCTGTTCTGTATGTAGTCTTCCTTTCTGACAAGCCCTACACCATCTACTATCTTTGCCTGTCCTGTGCCGATCTTACCTTCTGTCATGTCCTCCTCAGTATACATCCCTCGTCTGTCTTATGTCTATCTTACCATCCTGACATGCCCTACTTAGTCTACATCACATATCTGTCTTTTGTCTGTTATCCTTCCAGATTCTTTGTCCAACCTACCTTCCTGAGAAGCCTTTCTGTCCACATCCTTTGTCTGTCCTGTGCCTGTCTTACTTCCAAACAAGCCCCACCTATCTACCTTTCCAATGTCTGTCTATCATCCCATACAATCACTCTCATTATCAGACATGAACAACTGAACAGAAGCATCCTTCGGGTGAGAAAAATAAGATTTCTTTGTCTTCTTAAGAAATGAAATTTGGTCTGAAGTATTCTTGGATGAAGAAAAATCAATTTTGGTGCATCTCAAAGCTTTGGGGCAGGGCTGAATAGTGGAAGTAGAGGAAATCTCTACAAGCTTTGTTTTGTAGGAATAGCTTTATTCTGTTCCACTTCCATATTAAGCATACTTAGTTGAAAATAACACCTTCTAGTACAACTTACTACAAGAATATTGTCCAAGGCTGGTTCGAAGCAGTTTTTAATGAATGATGAATCTGACTCCTATTTGAGAACAAGGCTGGGATCCAATATGGAAATTATTTGTCATATTTGAAATTAGTCAAATGACTAAATAGATGAATTAGCTATATGAACAATACAGGCTGCTTGGGCCTTTTGTCTTTCCTTCCTGATAAGCTGTCCTCAGTTTACAGCCTTTATCTGTCCTGTGTTCATCTTACATTCCTAACTAGCCCTCCATCTGCACACACATTCTTTGACTGTCTTGTGTCTTTTCATTTAATCAAACACTGAAGAACACTTTTCAGCTGTGTTATATGCTTCAGCTCAATCACAGATTTCTCACTTTTTTTTTTGTATGGTTTGCTGTGCATGCTTACCTGAGAACCCCGTTGCATGACTTTTAACCTTTAGTGGTTGCTAGGTGGCTGCTGTGGTGTTCTTTTCCTGCTTTTTAGAGCCTGTGTGATAGTGTAGAATGTTTTGATAAAGGCATGTACATGTATATTGGTAATGTTTAGTCGTACAACAACAGACTAGTGTGTTGATGATAATAGTCACTTCCTTACAATTAATAGCACCAAATATGTGTACAAGATTAACATTATCTTCCACTGGCATAATGATAGAGGGATCTCAACCTGTGGAGACAGCTTCTCAAGGCTTTCTGATTATTTGTCAGTGTGAGAACCTTCTGTTGAGGGTTGAGGTCCCCAGTCCCACCGCCAAAGTCACCTTTATGTTATCACATAATACATTAACCAAACGTCAATCTTACCTACAGACCAGTGCACCTTTTCTGTTCTAATTTAATGGCAGCATTTCTATATAATTTCCAGCATTCCCACCATACAACATTTCCATCCACCGATTCTCGCTCAAAAACCATTTGTAAAACATCTGGTCAAAGATGTCATGGAATAAATAAATCATTAATGTATCTGATCTATAAAAAGTGCCACGTATTTAAAGTAAATGGTTTCAACAGAGTTTGCTTGTGTATGTAAAATTCATGATGACATCAACTCAGTAATATCTCCCTGTCAGCTGTATGTCACATCTGTCAACATTTGTTTCTGGTGTAACATCGCCGGTGATCCCTGGCACCTTATATACCGGTATTTGTAATAAATGAAAAATTTTGAGATTTATAAAAATTACTCAAATTCCTCTATATATACAGTATATACTTTGTATTATGTATGAGAAGCTGTTCTGGTTAATTCATAACATAAAGCTGTTACAGTGGGTCATAGCATGAGTATTTTTGTTTCTGACAAATTAAAAAGTTATGTTGCTTTTTTTTAAAAAACCGTATTATTTATCCATAAACAGCTTAATTATATCACTCCTAACATTTCAATCACACTACCATACATTCTGCAACGTTCTATCATAACATTTCTGTGGTACTTCTTCAGTGATACTTAAGCATTTCCATAACACTTAAATAGCATTTCTGTCTAAGATTTGATTGACCAAGGTTTATATGGTGGGTTGATGAAGCAGAAGACACTTACTCTTCCAAAATACCTATTATACTTTTTATTGAGTCTCCATGTAAATCTTTGTTTTGTTCATATATTGCCCTAGTTTTATTGAGTTTGAGTTTATTATGTTACCATGTTGGTATTTTCTTGTTGTTTTATGGGACAGCAAATGTGTACAGGTCTGTTATACAAAGGTAAATTATCACATAAATACAAAATGTCACCTTCATGTAATACAGAGGCAAAATGTCGCCTTCATGTAATACAGTGGCAAAATGTCGCCTTCATGTAATACACTGGCAAAATGTCGCCTTCATGTAATACAGTGGCAAAATGTCACCTTCATGTAATACAGTGGCAAAATGTCACCTTCATGTAATACAGTTGCAAAGTGTCACCTCCATGTAATACAGTGGCAAAGTGTCACCTCCATGTAATACAGAGGCAAAATGTCGCCTTCATGTAATACAGTGGCAAAATGTCGCCTTCATGTAATACACTGGCAAAATGTCGCCTTCATGTAATACAGTGGCAAAATGTCACCTTCATGTAATACAGAGGCAAAATGTCACCTCCATGTAATACAGTGGCAAAGTGTCACCTCCATGTAATACAGTGGCAAAATCTCACATCCATGTAATACAGAGGCAAACTGTCACCTTCATGTTATACAGTGGCATAATGTCGAGATATTACATTTAGGTATCACATGTCAGGCAAAATATCACCTTCAGTTAACACATGTCAGGCAAGATATCACCTTCAGTTAACACATGTCACAAGTTACAGGTTCAACTGAGTGAAAATTTCAACTTTCCCTGAATATCCAAAATACCCAGTGTTGCTATTTTATTACTGTGAAGTAATGTCAAGTACTCTCAACTGATTAGATTTTTATCCACTTTTAAGGTAATTGGTTAAAATGTATTTATCTTAAAACAATTTCTTCTGAAAAACCCAAGAGGTTAAGGTCACAAGATTTGGCATTATTAAATTATGATGATTGCAGTTGACTCTCAGGTTTGTATCATTGAATAACATCGACCTACCTTAAAGGTCAAAGGAGTCAGTTGTGTTGTGATCTTTAAAGGTCTTGAAATAAATGACAGACCGAGGTTGTGATATTTAAGACTAGTAAAAAACAAGAAAGAAAAGGACATCACTATAGGATAAACATGGACATTACAAAAATAAAGTCTGCAGAAAAGGTGGCCTAATTCAACTGTTTGTGAAATTTTATTTCAAAATGAAATTTATGATAAATGTGTTGTAGGTTGAGAACCTGGACGGAACATCATCAGGCCCATCCAGTGGTAGAAACTCCCCATCTACTGTCAGTAGCTCCTCAGCGTTTGAGTACCAGGAGTCCGAGAATACTGGATATCATCATCAGGGTAACAGAGACACTTTTGGAAGTGTACCATTTATTGATATAAGCTCAGAAGATGAATATGTCGGATTATCAAATCCAAATGATCAATATGTGAAACTGGCATCATCATCTGGGAATGTTTCCACTTCAAAGTTGGGTCAGGATGATCATCCCGTTCCTCCACCCAGAAGTTCCAGGAGTCCTATTTCCACAGCTCTAGCAGACAGATTGATAAGTGACAGATCAAAGGCTGGTAGTCCACCACCTCCAGCTCCTCACTTGGCCCCGAAACCTGTACCTCGACAAAGTCTAAAGCGTAAAAATGAAGGACAACAGAAACAGCTGGCAACAGACTCACTGATGCAGTTTCAGAATTTAGAATTGGAGGATAGTTTTGATCCATTTAAATCACCAACATCACAGACAGTATCTCAGATAGACAAGTTAAAAGACCTGACTTCGCCTACAGAGGATCTCAGCACTAGTGTGAACAGGACTCCAGCCTTCAGGATGCCTGCCACAGGAATTCCTAAAAGACAAAGTATGAAAAGAGATAAGTCTTTGTCCCCGGAAAAAGACAATAATACTGGTCAAAACCTGTTGGATTTTGACCCCTTGGCTAGTTCTAGCAAAGTTCAGAGCTCTGTCCCCCAGAAAACTGGGACACAGGGTAACCCAACATCTCCAGAACTGCTACAGAATTGGAACATAGACCACTTAAAGACTAAAACACATGACCTTGGTCCAATGCCAAAGCCTGGCTTTGTACAAAGGACAGCTGCAGAGTTTGCTTTAAGTTCAGGTGGTCAGAATAACATAAGTGTATCCTATGGGAAGCGCCCCTCCCCTGCAGTTGTTCCACGCCCAACCTCAGTCCTACCAGACCACATCCCATCATCCTCTAGTCCATACTCTACCCCTAATTCGTACAATCCTACCCGCCCTAGCTACAGGCCTGTTACATCATCACCTAACATTCTCAAGCCCGAAACCTCAAAGTCCAAAGGGACTGATCCCTTTAGTGATTTGGTAGGCATCCAGTTAGGGCCGACCAGTCAACCGCCTCCAACTAACGTGGCTTCCCCAGCACCCCAAATGAATAGATGGGAAACATTTGAATAAAGAACAGTGATATGTAGATAATATGTTGTGTAAATTTTATCATAAATTGTTAAATAGATTTAGAGCCCTTGGTCATAGTGAAGTATTCTCCTTTAATTAATTGTCAGGTCCTGATTCATGTAAAGTCTGTCCACCATTTTGAAATAGACTCTTTGGTCTCCGTTACATTAGCCCACTATTCGTACTACGAGTGTGCCACCCTCTGGTCCTTGTTAAGTTTGTTCAATCTGACTTGCAATATCTCACCCCTTTGGTCCTAATTAAATCTGCCCCCCTCCCCCACCTCCACTCTAACTAGCAGTATATCGCTCTATGTTAAGTCTGTTAAATCCTACTAGATGTGTATCATTACGTCTGTTCACCAATCTTACTAGCAGTATATCACTCACTGGTCCAAGTTAAGACTGTTGACCAAACATTAACCAACTGTATGTCATTCCCTGATCATAGTCCACTAATCTAACTTGATACATATAGCAGTATATCTCCCACTGGTCAGAGTAAACTGGGGCCTCTTACTTACTACATGTAGCAGTATATCTCCCACTGGTCCAGGTAAAGTGGGGCCTCTTACTTACTACATGTAGCAGTATATCTCCCACTGGTCAGAATAAACTGGGGCCTCTTACTTACTACATGTAGCAGTATATCTCCCACTGGTCCAGGTAAAGTGGGGCCTCTTACTTACTACATGTAGCAGTATATCTCCCACTGGTCCAGGTAAAGTGGGGCCTCTTACTTACTACATGTAGCAGTATATCTCCCACTGGTCAGAGTAAACTGGGGCCTCTTACTTACTACATGTAGCAGTATATCTCCCACTGGTCCAGGTAAAGTGGGGCCTCTATTTTACTACATGTAGCAGTATATCTCCCACTGGTCCAGGTAAAGTGGGGCCTCTTACTTACTACATGTAGCAGTATATCTCCCACTGGTCAGAGTAAACTGGGGCTTCTTACTTACTACATGTAGCAGTATATCTCCCACTGGTCCAGGTAAAGTGGGCCTCTTACTTACTACATGTAGCAGTATTTCTCCCACTGGTCCAGGTAAAGTGGGGCCTCTTACCTACTACATGTAGCAGTATATCTCCCACTGGTCCAGGTAAACTGGGCCTCTTACTTACTACATGTACCAGTATATCACCCTGAGGTGTAAATGAGGCTGTAAGTAAGTCTTGTTGAATGTTTTTCATATTGTAAATACATACTACAGTATGAATAAAAATGAAATTAAAGAAATTAAATCCCGGTTTGCAAAATTAATAGCTTGGTTGGCTGGTCTGGTATTCTCATCAGCTTTATCATATGTAGAATGCTCATTTTTTGTAATCTGTCTCGGGGTATACGCCTTTACCATGGTAAACCACCAAAGTTCCTCCGCAAAGGAGATAAAACATCTCTATACTAACACAGTGATTATTGTGGGTATCAGCTATTTTATATAATAATTGTTCTACGAACAGCAACCCTTGTTTTATAAAACTTATCACCCTGGCTTTGTGAGTTCAGAGAAATTTTTTAGGTGACTTAATATTTCTAATACTTTAGTTAAGATCGCCCTCTGATTGTAGTTTTATCTGCAAGAAATAGACAAGGTATTAAGTATGTATTTAAATATTTAGAAGTTGACTTGTCAACCCATCGCCCCTAAACATAACTTTGATCACAGAGTACACAAAGGTGCTGCTATGTTTGAGAGAAGCTAATGTTTTGATATGGAAATGCAATGTATGATTGTTTAATGTTTTAACAAAAGCAATCTTAGATATTTTCAAAATGTTTGAATTGTTTGACCTGATGATAGGAATCAGTTGCCAGATGTACAGATGATGCCAGGATTCAGAAGGATAAGGTTACCAGTGACATGGGTCCTCTTTCTCCTCATCTTGATAATGTATATTGAAAAGACGTTCTTATATCTTAACTTGCTAATTGGTTGTGGTATAAAAATATCTTTTCAATGTGTTACACTTTATTTACCATTCTGTCAGCTATTTTTTCATATAGAATTGTATCACGTCAAAAGACGTTAGCTGTAAAGATGGATTCCATTTGATGGTTTTAATTTTTGTAATTTACCAAAAGTTTTATGTAAAAAAAATTTTTTAACAAAAATCATGAAATTGACTCAATTTCAGATAAATATTTTTCATATATTTCCTCCTAGAACATAGCAGAAAGGAGAACGTCCGCAAAAATAACATTTACACAATTAGGCATGTCTTACATCCTGAATGACATTCATGTGACAACTCCATCATGACGTCATGATTGTCTTGTCAATATGTTATATCTTCATCAATATTGCCTGTCTGATAGGAAAATAAATTTTCCTTCTTTTTTTTTTAACAAAAATGAGTGACATGAGAAATAGAATCTTACATTCTGGTCCAAGTCATATAGAATTATCTAATTTGTCAAATAATTTGATGTGACATGAGCCTTAAGGCTAATGTTGTACATAATTAACCATGGTTAAGGAATTCAGTATTATATGCACATTTGTATAAAATGCTGTCAAATTAAAAATAACACAATAAACAGTTTATTATTTGTAACACATGTCAAGTTAAGGATTGGTAAGTTTCTATTGTACTCTAGTCTATACACTTGTGAAGTGATTGGAGATTGAAGAGATTGGGATACCGAATGTTGACAGATGTTTTCTCTGTACTCTGCACTTAGATGAACAGGCTGTGTTACTGATCTAGATAGAAATTTCCCTTTAGACTGTAGGCAGGGTTTGGACATTACTCAGATGTGGTGCCATTGACAATTTCAGATAGAAGTTGGAGTGGTTTGAGGTTTCCATGGAATTATGGAGCCGGGTTTGTGGTTGTCTATTGGGGCGATGACTTTTTATGCCCAAGGATAGAAAGATCAAGGGCATATTATCTTGTGCTGTCTGTTTGTCTGTTGTCAACTTTAACCTTACCAATAACTTTGACATCATAAGAGGTAGGATTTCAATATTTGGCATGCATGTTTCTTATGACTAGACCTTTCTGGTGGTTCCAGAATGTTTGACTATATGACCCTGACTGTGACCTTTGACTTACATTTGGAAAAAGTTAAACATTGGCCTTAACTATTGCACAATGAAGACATAAGTGTTTCACAAAGTGTGCATGCTATTAGCACATGCCTTACACAATACAGTTTTAATGTACCACTTCAGAATTTTATTGCAACCAGGGGCATAATGTTTCATAAACACATCTTGTTGATGGAGCATGCAAACATATAGAGTACAGGTCACCTTGTCTCAACATCTGGAAACATCCATTAAGTCGAGCAGAAGGGTGCTTGCTTTCAGCTCAAAAGAACTTGAGTGTGAGTGGGGTCAGACAATTTTCATTTTAATCCTTCCTATCACAGTATCATTGTGTATGTTTCCTCTGTGCTTTTGTCCGGTATGCTTGCCACATGACAGTTGCTTGTTAAGTCTTTCATTGCTTGTGTTGTCCGTAGAAATGCATGTAACAGCTATGTTTTGGCATTGTTATATTTATTTGCTGTTTCACCGAGTTGATGTTTGCAGGCTGATAGATGTAATGTTTTGTTATCTAGAAAACTTCTACATGGGTAACTACTTTGTTTGTTACATTGAAACCATTGTTTTTATAGCCTTAGTAAATGACAAAGCTATAAGTGTCTATTTATATTTTTACTACAAGCAATATCTGTGTTTTTTTATAATAGAGACAGGCAAAGCCTTTCCTATGAACACAAGGCACATTCTATTGAGATTGCTTTTTATGTTGCCACAGCAACAGGGTTGTGTGTGGGGAGGAACTTTAGTTTGCTATCACTGATAATATGTAAAAAAAATACATTTATCCATAAAAGATTTGTTGTAGATTAAGTTCTTAATTTTCTAATCTGACCTTGTGGTACCTCACCTGACCTTGTATGGATCAATGTCAGATGGTACCTCACCTGACCTTGTATGGATCACTGTCAGATGATACCTCACCTGACCTTGTATGGATCACTGTCGGATGGTACCTCACCTGACCTTGTATGGATCACTGTCAGATGATACCTCACCTGACCTTGTATGGATCACTGTCGGATGGTACCTCACCTGACCTTGTATGGATCACTGTCAGATGGTACCTCACCTGACCTTGTATGGATCAATGTCATATGGTACCTCACCTGACCTTGTATGGATCACTGTCAGATGGTACCTCACCTGACCTTGTATGGATCACTGTCAGATGATACCTCACCTGACCTTGTATGGATCACTGTCGGATGGTACCTCACCTGACCTTGTATGGATCACTGTCAGATGGTACCTCACCTGACCTTGTATGGATCAATGTCATATGGTACCTCACCTGACCTTGTATGGATCACTGTCAGATGGTACCTCACCTGACCTTGTATGGATCAATGTCAGATGGTGCCTCACCTGACTTTGTATGGATCAATGTCAGATGGTACCTCACCTGACCTTGTATGGATCAATGTCAGATGGTACCTCACCTGACCTTGTATGGATCAATGTCAGATAGTACCTCACCTGACCTTGTATGGATCAATGTCGGATGGTACCTCACCTGACCTTGTATGGATCACTGTCGGATGGTACCTCACCTGACCTTGTATGGATCACTGTCAGATGGTACCTCACCTGACCTTGTATGGATCAATGTCAGATGGTACCTCACCTGACCTTGTATGGATCACTGTCAGATGGTACCTCACCTGACCTTGTATGGATCAATGTCAGATGGTGCCTCACCTGACCTTGTATGGATCAATGTCAGATGGTACTTCACCTGACCTTGTATGGATCAGTGTCAGATGGTACCTCACCAGACCTTGTATGGATCAGTGTCGGATGGTACCTCACCTGACCTTGTATGGATCAATGTCGGATGGTACCTCACCTGACCTTGTATGGATCAATGTCGGATGGTACCTCACCTGACCTTGTATGGATCACTGTCGGATGGTACCTCACCTGACCTTGTATGGATCACTGTCAGATGGTACCTCACCTGACCTTGTATGGATCAATGTCAGATGGTACCTCACCTGACCTTGTATGGATCACTGTCAGATGGTGCCTCACCTGACCTTGTATGGATCAATGTCAGATGGTGCCTCACCTGACCTTGTATGGATCAATGTCAGATGGTACCTCACCTGACTTTGTATGGATCAATGTCAGGTGGTACCTCACCTGACCTTGTATGGATCACTGTCAGGTGGTACCTCACCTGACCTTGTATGGATCAATGTCAGATGGTACCTCACCTGACCTTGTATGGATCAATGTCAGGTGATGCTCAACTCGATGCATACGTTGTACTTGGTTTTATCTAGAATTCAAACAGGAACTTAAGACCATCATACATAGAAACAAATATGTATCAGAAGTGATGTAACGCAACAGTTTGTAGTTGCTGTCAAAAAATTCTTGCATATTTCAATATGTTATTAATTAAAGACAAATTGATTAGTGGATGGTTCATGGTATTACGGTGAGAAGTAAGGAAGTTGAGTGAGGAAAATGTATGATTTAATATTCACACAACAATAGGAAAACTACTTACAGAAATTTGTAGATGGAAACAATTGTTACTATTTGATGTTAAACAAATGTTATGTAATTCATAAGGAACAATTGTTTTGTATCACTGTGTATTATCATTACTTACTGTTGTATAAGTGTTACTTATATTGAAATGAAACTGACGCATGAATGCAAAATGAAATACTATTATTAAAGAAAAAAAATATGAATTTGTCAAAAAGTGTTTTGTTATTAATTAGCAAAGTTTAACCTTGAACCTACTCTACCAAATGTGGCAATATCTAATATAATACACAGGACATATATTACAAAAGTATTACACAGCACATGTATTACACAAGTAATACACAGGGCATGTATTACACAGGTAATACACAGGGCATGTATTACACAGGACATGTATATATATTACACAAGGTAAAACAAGGGACATGTATTACACAAGGTAATACAAAGAGTATGTATATATATTACACAAGGTAATACACAGGGCATGTATTACACAAGGTAATATACAGGGCATGTATTACACAAGGTAATACACAGAGTATGTATATATATTACACAAGGTAATACACAGGGCATTTATTACACAAGGTAATACACAGAGTGTGTATATATATTACACAAGGTAATATACAGGGCATGTATTACACAAGGTAATACACAGAGTGTGTATATATATTACATAAGGTAAAACAAGGGACATGTATTACGCAAGGTAATACACGGCATTTAATACACAAGGTAATACACAAAATATGTATTACACAAGGTAATACACAGGGCATGTATTATGCAAGGTAATACACAAAATATGTATTACACAAGGTAATACACAAAATATGTAGAACACAATGTAATACAAGGGACATGTATTACACAGGACATGTATATATATTACACAAGGTAATACACAGGGCATGTATTATGCAAGGTAATACACAAAATATGTATTACACAAGGAAATACACAGGACATGTATTACACAAGGTAATACACAAAATATGTATTACACAAGGTATTACACAGGACATGTATTACACAAGGTATTACACAGGACATGTATTACACAAGGTAATATACAGGGCATGTATTACACAAGGTAATACACTGAGTATGTATATATATTACACAAGGTAATACACAAGATATGTATTACACAAGTAATACAAGGGACATGTATTACACAATGTAATACACAAATTTATATTACACAAGTAATACACAGGACATGTATTACACAAGGTCGTGACATAGCTTTGCTTGCATTAAAATACATTGGTCATACTGAGATAATGTGCTGTAAACCAAATTCAAGGCCTGCAACATATTAATTATTAAACAGAATTATTGTCTTTTGATAAAATTTTGTATGCAATTAAGTCATTTTCAGGAAGCATTCATTAGTTTCACTGAAAGGAAAGGGGATAAATAACAAATCAAGATATCTTGACCTTTTCTGGAGAGAAAAGTTATTTTCTGTTAGATTTAACTTTTTTTGGAACATGCCACAAACATGGCTGTTGTATGACCTGTATTCCACTTTTATTTGATAACGTCAAGTTACATCTCGTTATACCAGAATATATTCTTCTATTCATTTAAAGGATATTTTATGTTCGACCTGAGTATACTTTGCAAGATATATGTTGATTTGGTTTTTAATACTTAAGCTATGTATATATCCTGTACTTGAGGAAAGTGTACAATTTGTAATGTACTTGGGGTCATAGATTGATAGAATCTGTTACCTGTATATGTTTAATGTCCTGCCGAAATTCTCTTAACATCAGGCATCAGTTTCACGAATCTTCCTTAACTTAGGAAATCTTAACTAACATTAAAGATGACAAAAGTTGAGGAAAAACTTCCAATTTAACTACATATGCTTTCCTATGGGTAATATTAAGTACAGGAAAATTCCTGAAGTTAACAAAGATTCCTGAAACAGGGGCCAGTTTTGCCTTGAATGAGGATTTGATAAAGAAAGACAGCTCTTGACTAAGATGAAAGATCTCTAATATATATGCGTAATAGATTTTATTTCATTTACATCATTTTTGTCAAAATTTGAACAAAATCTCAACAATTTTTTCCAGTTCAATTAGATTATCTCCCTTTTCAGGTAGAATCAGACAGGCAATCAAATATGACTTCCTTTTAATAGTAGCAACTTTTGGTGCCTTACATGACATAACGGTACCAGAGAGAGGTACCAGAGAGAAGAACCTGGCACTGGGAAGCATGTAAAAAGTCCCTGTCTCGTGCACAAATGTCATGGCTTTACAACATATGATTATCTAAGTAAGAAAAATTTACCATCCAGGTCAGTGTAAGTGTCTTATAGAGATATTAATATGAGAGTTTTTGCTCGTTTCTAGTGAGTTACATGATAAATTGAATCTTACAATCATGTCCATGTAATATAGAATTAAGCTCATAAAATAACTAGAGAAATTGTTCACTGAATTCTTGTTACATACCACACTTTTCTCATTAAATTCCATATTACATAGAAACTCTGTTATATGTTGAAACACAAAATGACAAATTTGATAAGTTAAAAAGTTAATTTTATTAAAAATAAGATAATTTCATGCATTATAAAAAGTACTCTTCAAAATAACCTACACTACGTTCACGGACAAGTTGTGAGGTTAGCAAGGCAATATCGTTGTATAGTCATCTTAACAGCTTAAACAACCAGAGCACCTTCATAAATTAGTCAGTGTATTTTCACACGTTATGAACTACTGTACTCTCTTCAATTGCTGCGAGATGTGGCACTTCTCAGATCTTTTTCCGACATACATATGCTTAAATAGTTCTAAATGCCTTTTTCCTAAAAATAAATCATCATAATTTCCTCTAAATGTCATTGATAAAACTGTACTGATCAACAATCCTGTCTAGAACCTCCAAACCCTGATCATAAAGTGTAATTTTAACTCATATACAGATAACTAGCATAACCACTCACTGCTGACTCCTACAATCTTTATTCTTTATGACCATTTACAGATAACCTCTACCCTTACAATCTTTATGACCATTTACAGATAACCTCTACCCCTACAATCTTTATGACCATTTACAGATAACCTCTACCCCTACAATCTTTATGGCCATTTACAGATAACCTCTACCCCTACAATCTTTATGACCATTTACAGATAACCTCTACCTGTACAATCTTTATGACCATTTACAGATAACCTCTACCCTTACAATCTTTATGGCCATTTACAGATAACCTCTACCTGTACAATCTTTATGGCCATTTACAGATAACCTCTACCCCTACAATCTTTATGACCATTCCTGGATAACCTCTACCCCTACAAACTTTATGACCATTTACAGATAACCTCTACCCCTACAATCTTTATGACCATTCCTGGATAACCTCTACCCCTACAATCTTTATGACCATTCCTGGATAACCTCTACCCCTACAATCTTTATGACCATTTACAGATAACCTCTACCCCTACAAACTTTATGACCATTTACAGATAACCTCTACCCCTACAATCTTTATGACCATTCCTGGATAACCTCTACCCCTACAATCTTTATGACCATTTACAGATAACCTCTACCCCTACAAACTTTATGACCATTTACAGATAACCTCTACCCCTACAATCTTTATGACCATTCCTGGATAACCTCTACTCCTACAATTTTGATGGATAATTATGGATAATCTTTACCCATACACTCTTTTAGAAATATATTGATAATGCAATGTTTTTTGTTATTAAGCTGCCACTTTAATAATAAAAATGTTCATAAAATAAATATGAAGAATACACAACACCATTTACATTCCAGACTTTTGTCCACTAGGCTTCTACTACATTTCCCACAATAGGTGTCACACTTTGAACTTCTTACACTGAAGGTCAATAGGTAAAAAGGGTCAGCAGGTCAGACCACTGACTTGTTCATCTGCTCATGAACCAGAGGTCAATCATGACCAAAGCTGTCCTTATCTAGGCAAACCAGAAGTCAGTCCAGAAAACATATATATGAATCCTGACAAAATGGTTGCCCCAGGATCTGAAGTTTCATATCAAATGTTACTTAACATGTATCCTCACCACTGGCTTTGTACATCTATAACCATGTATTTTGTTGTTATACAAGTCACAACTGAAATATCTTTACAAAATCCTACATAGATGTTTTAATCATGTGCACCCCGAATCTTCCTTGCCAACCAGATATCTTTAGGCATCAATGTGACCCGTTTGGCATGTATAGCACACAAGTTGGCATCCTCAAACAGATGTACCAGGTAGGCCTCAGCAGCCTGTGGAAAGAAACTGCTAGTGTCAGAGGTCAAGGTTCAGACTTCAAATCTATATATAGTAATTATCTCAATAAGAAAATGTATTGAAATGAAGGTAATTTTAGACATGTCATTGGGGTAACTCTGTTAACAAGCAAGCATGGTGGCAAACAGCAATGTTCAACACCATCATTAGTATCACATCTTCTTCGTATATGTCCAATTATGGCAGGACAGCATTTATATCAATGGGGTTTTAAGCCAATGGTTCCTTGATGACAATTGCAATGAAGTGATAAAAATTTGATCAAGTGTTTCTCTGAGTTCAGTTCTTGTCTTTTCAACTTTACTGTCTTACTGCAAAGAGGTAATATTTCTTTATGAGAATAGCAGTAGAAGTTGAAAGATTTGATTTTTCTTTTTTCAGATACTTATTAGCTCTAGCATGCGAGATTCAAAGAAGCATCTACACACAATACAAATACAAAAATGTTAGATATTGAGGGTCAAAGTTCAAACTTATACATAAACACACACTATAGCAATGTCAGAGGTCAATGATCATTGTTTAAATTTATAAATGAATATAATACAGGAACAACAATGTCCGAAGTCAAAGATCAGAATTTATATCTAGACATACATATAGTACAGACACTTATACAATACAGGTACAACAGCTATGTAAACAGTGTTAGAGTCCACATAATGCTCACCTCCTGAAGAGCCATGATGGCAGTGGCCTCCCATCTCAGTTGTACACCAGGATGTTTGTTTTGAACTATCTCACGCACCTAACGGGTGAAAACATTTCTAATTAATTTTATGACATATCTTTTTAAAATCTGCTCGGAGAAAAAACTGGATTACCTGTGACAATTCAAAGTAAATAATAAAGTTTTTTGGAAACATGACTATTTATATTTTTACAATATATAAGCAGCATTTCCCTAAACTCTTTGTATTTTGAAACTGGGGTAGTGTATCTCTAACTATGTAGTTATATTATTGGGCAGTGATTGAAAACATGGACTGCAGGTATTGAGTTTCACCACTTTGGGAGGTTTTTTACCCTCATTCAACAGTAATGAGAGCAAAGATATCAGGAACTCTCATTTTCATGCACTATACTTCAATCATATGAACAGATAATAACTTGAGGTAAAACTTTTTTTTTCCTAATAGAAAACAATATTAAGGAAGTTGACATAGAAATGGTGTAGTGTTTTCATTATTGGGTACGTTGATATTGTTCCAATTATACAACGCCCAATCAATATAATATGCATTATTCAACATCAATAGCATCAGATATGAACAGCATTGATATTGAATTATTCAACAATACTAAGTGTCAAAAAGGTAAATTAAAAAGTTCTCTTTTTTTTTAAATGATCATACCACTCGAGAAAATGGAAGTTTGCGGAGCAATAAATCACTTGACTTTTGGTACTGGCGAATTTCCATCAAGGCTTTTGTTCCTGGTCGATATCGATAGGTTCGTGTCCTTGAGGATGCTGAAAAATATTTGAATATAAATGAAATATTAGTTATGATAAATTGTAAAGCAACGTTAAAGAAATAGAAACGCCTGTTTTCGGGAATATAACCTATTCATAGCCTGGCAGCAAAAATTAAAAATCATGAAGTATCGTTTAGTCTTTGTATCAGATCTTCCTACTACTATATCTTCATTTATTTGCTATATTTCTAGAAGGACTTGTCTAATACACAAGGTCGATTTATTTTGAAAAAAAAATATACACATAGTTGTAATGTTATAACGAGAATCTCGACGGATCTGTTGACAGATTAACTGGGAAGGCCGATGGCGACGGCTTGTCAACAATATACATGTCTCAAAAGATAACATTTCTCACCCGATTTATGTTTGGAAGGTGATTCGTATTTAGATTTCCTCTTAGCGGCCCCTGTTTTCTTTGCATGGCTTGCACTTTGATTTGATAAGCGTGGCATGTTTTCATTCTGATTCTAACCCAACATTTAAATGAAGCCGCTCGTGTCAACAAGACGCTTAGAATCAGCTATCATCCAGACGCTTCTTTGCAATTTGGGGTACTACTAAAGCTATGCTAAATTACAAAGCAACGCGTAAAAAAAACCAGAAAAATGCATGTTTTCGGGAATATAACCTAGATTGACAGCAAAAAAAAAAAAAACAAAAGTAATTAGATATCGTTCAGCCTTTGTATCAGATCTCCCTACTACTATATCTGTGGTTCTTTATCTATTTTTTAAATATTTCTGAAAGGAATATAACTCACACAATGCAGATTTATTCTGAAATATACATAGAATATATGCAGAAATTACAAGTCTTTGCAATCACTTCATGATACAAAAATCTATACATAGTAATAGTAATAATGTCATAATTCTTAGCTCGATATTACATACACCTGTCAAAATTTTTAAACTTTCATTTATCAGAAAATTGCCTCCCTCAGATTTCAACTGACCTTTCTTTCACATTTGGTAGGGGCTTAGTCAGCATGACATGTAGTTGTGTTATCCTTGACAGCAGTTTCAGTCTACTGTATTTGGGAGAGTTACTGCCCCTTGTCGTTTGCATTATGTTAATTTTATTGTTTTCAAAATGTTAATCTTGTCCCGAGATCTACTCTGTCTTCTGCCGAGCTTGGTAAGTTATTCCTTTACAACAATTAAATTGAAAAAATTTTGAAGGAGTTATTTACCCTTGATTTTTTAAGCAGTTCAATTTTGTACAAAGACTTTTCGTCAGTTTTTCACCAAATTCTCTGAAACTTGATACGTGTTAAAACATTACATAAAATTGCATTGTCTTCTTTTGTCTTTAACCAATTTCTTTGAAACTTGTTTTCCTTCTCTATGGTTCGACTCAATTTTACCATTTCCATATTAGTATACTTTTTGATACAGTAAATCATGAACATTTTTGGCGGGGATGGGCGTATGTTCGTCCATCCCATGATACCTTTGTTTTCTTTAAAACAATATTTTTGTAGTTGATTTTTCAAATGTTCATCTGTTTCACACTATTCAACTGTGATACATTACATTCAAGTATGCTGTTCCACATGTATCTGTTTTTTGTGTTAACGAATAATTTCTAGTAAATAAAAAACCTAAAAAACTTTTGAATGAATTGCAGTTATGGTCTTTCCTGATTGAATTTTCTTTAATTGTCAATCAATCTGTAACGTCTTTGCTGCCTTGAATATCCATCCAGTTTTAAGAAATTCCATACAGACATTCCAAAGACATGTCAAAAATTCAAAATGGCCATTGGCGGCCATGAATATCTAATGAAGCTCAATATATTGTATGCACTACTAGGACCAATACTTCGAGCTTAACCATTCAATATCAGGAAAAACCCATCAGCAGTTAAATCATTATAATGTGCAGTATTATCTAATTTATATTAAATTTAATTTAAAGGAATTTACTTATAAATTTTTTACTTTTAAGCATCACAGCCTATGATTCTTTCTAGACAATAGCACGGCCAGCTGTTGGACACTTAATAGATAATGAATCAAGCGATTTAGCATTAAAGTTTAGAACTTTGATATGGTACATGTAACCAATGTTACTCTACTGATATATTGAAAGTCAATAGGTCAGGACTGTAAAAGATGAGTAGTCGCCTCTAAAAGAGACTTCCACGGATAGTTAGTCAGACTCTCATTAGTTTAAGCTTGTCATTGCTCTTTTGTTCTACAATTTCAAGTGTAGGCTCCCCCTTATGAATAATTTGGTATTGTCCACATTGAAACTGCTTTGACCAACAAAATGTCCCACTTGCAGCCATCTTTGATTTCAACAATTGTAGTTGGTTACCAGGTGGGTCATTCTCAAATAGGACATGTAGATTTCCCTTGGTGCTTATTTGATCTTGGAGTGATGGGAAACCAGAGAAAGAAGAGAGGAGGTGGAAAGAGCCAATGGATAAAGGGTCTCTAAAGACAAGACAAAGATGGAGCAAAGACCCCACTGGAATTCTGTGAAGGTCCTAGATGCATTTCCAAATTTCATGACAGATGATGATGGCCATTTTGGATTTTGACATATGTGTATTTGATTGCTTTTCTCAAGAACTTGTCAACATAACCAATAGAGGCCCTTATACATTTTCAGGTTGATGAGCTTTTCAACATATCTGCTAGTGGCCATTTTGTATGGACATCAATACATGTATTACTCTTTTAATTCCAAGTGAAGAAGAAAATATTACCCTTGAAATGTTCAGAATATATTGATTTTTGATGTGTATGTCATATTTTGAGCTTTATCAAAAATCCAAGATGGCTGCAAGCAGCCATTTAGTATTTTGATATCTGAAGTTTATATTGCTGACATTTCTGAAGAACAGCTGAAATCATCACAGGATAACCAAGATGATGTTATAATGATCAGTTTAACAATAGAGGATCTGGAACCTTTCAAAACATGTTAAGAATTGGTTATTCAAACCAGGTAGGTAGCTTTTTGAATACTGGAGGAATCACATTAAAATGTCCAAAGCCTTTATGTATTCATACGTTTTACTTTTGCTAACACTGATACAATGTATTTATATAGTATCAGCTGGCTAGGGGAAAGAACCATCTACCCCAGGTAGTGTAGAACTGACAGGATTTTAATTATTCATGCAGTTCATTATGGCATTCTTCAATGATAATCTTTAACTAACATATCACAGTGTCTAAACGAGCGAAGATATAAGAATGTAATGACAAAAACTCTTTTATATATATATATATATATATATATATATATATCATTCACGTGTGTGTGTGTGTGTGTGTGTGTGAAAATGTTCCATATGAATGAAGATGGGAACTCTGAAATATGTAAATTTAAATGTGGGTTAAAATGGACCATAACTGTTGTAAACTTCACTTCTATTTTTTCTTATTCAAAACACTAGAGTATATGAATCATCACTTCACAAGATTTCAAACTTTAAGAGAAAAAGTAACAAGGCAGTGCGAACAGACAGCGGGATACAACTTGATATATGGTCCACTTGGAAAATGTAAATAAAAGACAAAGCAATTTGTATCATACATCACTTTATTTTACATTTTTCAGTATAAACATGAATTGCAATTTGCCTGATCTACTATACACTAAGTGTTGTCAGGTTGACCATATCCTTTGGAGTTGGCCACAAGTTTTAGATTTCAGTTGGATATTTCGGATTAGCATTGCTTCTAGCTGTCTAAAGTGAAAATACACTTAAAAGTAGAAATTCAATAAGTCAATCACAACTATATTCATGGTGTTACTTTCCATCATCCTATTTTTTTATTGTGAACATCTTGTCTCACTTCATTGATTTCTCTCTAATATGATAATCATATCTTTTCCTAGATGTAGTTGGGCATTATACTTACATCTAATATCATGAACAATTAAACATTGTACACTCAGATAATCTTCCACTCTCATTCGTCACTCTTGCACTTTCTACCTCTAATACATATTCATTACCATCATCTATATCTCATCTTTCAAAATACTCTCCCATCTATTTTGCAAATGTCCAGAAACATGGTACTCTAACTTTCAATCTCAGCGAAAACTCCATCAGATCCCATCTACAAAATGTAGAGATATCTCGTGTTGATAGAGCAGAGATAGTACTCTTAATCAATTGATGCACAACGCCAGGAACTCCTTTCTCCCAACATATCACCCAGCAACTATTAACACAACAGCACCAATTGTAATGGATCATAATACCTGATCTATACTGCGATAAATCGTGGTTCACCAAGGACAATATTTGCAGTTAGTTCTTTCTGTACCGTGATAAAATTCTGTTTTCACAATGTCTTTCACTGAAGACAACAAGCACTGTTGGTTCTGTACTGTGATAAAATGTCTGTTTTCCTGTCTTTCACAGAGAACAATCACCGTTGTCTGTTCTGTACTGCCTCTTTCCTAGCAGCATCCTGTAGAAGTTGTGTATCACATTCATCAGCTGGGAGCTGGACATACCTTACGACTGATCCTCTAATGAAACAGTTCTTCACAGATAACTAAATAAGATAAAGAAATTACATCAACCATTGTGTAAACAAACTATAGTCGTGACATCGTAGTTGATATTTTCTGTGGGTATAAAATTATTACAAGGTGATATGAGGATGAATGTCAAACAACTTTAAACAAGTACTCTTCTAATAAGTAAACAAGAGGCACATAGAGCCTGTATGACTCATCTGCTTTTGCTTTATCTAATTAAAAGGAAAAGGATCCAAAGTTTGACAAAATACTGTATTTTCTACAGCAGGAAAAATTATCAAGAATTTGCTGTATAACCCCTATCAGTCCTAATCCCAGGGGACCAACACCAACCATTTTACAAAACTGATTTCTATTCATGCAAGGACAATTTCCTCTCTTGGGCCCTGCCCCTGAAGGTCTGGACCCACTCTTTCTGCGAAACTGATGGCCTTTTAACAAAGGATGTGCCAAATCAATTTGGGACAGAATACTGGCATTCCTAGAGATAAAGAAGGATTTTCAAGAATTTGTTCCATTTGCTCTTTTGTGAGTCCAGACCCACCGTTTATACATAATTTATTCTCTGTCATCCAAGGATGCTTCAATCCAATTGGGGCAGAATCCAAGCATTCCTGCAGAAGAAGGATTTTCTTAATCCCACCCCCACCCCATCCCAGTGGGCCCCCATCATTTATACAAAATTTCTTATCCTTCACCTAAGCATGCTTCAGACTAAATTGGAACAAAATCCATGTATTAAAATGATTTTTAAAAATTTGCCCTATTTCCCCTATTGGAATCTGCCCCTCTCATCCAAAGACTGTTGAAACCCATCACTTACACATAATTGAATTCCCTTCACTTAATCATGCTTCAGACCAAATAAGGACAAATTCCATGCATTCCTACAGAAGGCCTTGTTCTACTTCCCCTACGAGGGCTGATGTACAAAGTGTGGATAGTGGTCATGGTCTGTGACTGACTTACCATGTGTGGATATTTGTCTGGGTCAGTGACGGAGATATCTGTCAGTTTGATGTTCAAGAATTGATCAACAGAATGAAGAGTTCCACATATACTGCGAAAAAGATATAAACATGAAAATAAGTTACATGGTATTTATAACTCATCATAACATTATAACTGATTTGACACTTAATTAACAAACCGCAACTTGATTCAAAAAATTATTTTTGATTCCAATAATTTCTTACTAGGATAATTTTCAAAATTTCATTAAGCAAGTATTTACCTGAGGTCATTTTTCAATTCTACCACAACATCCTTTCCAACAAGGGATTTGAAGAATGAGTAAAACAACTGCAAAAATAAACAATTTATTCATTACATATTATGTATCACCAGTAGAATTCAAATAATTACTATATATGTTTATATTTAATTTTGTAAAACTGTCAGCTGTGCAATTTGTTACGTGTATTCCTAAATTATGGTCTAATTATACTGACACTTAACTAGCTATTTATAACAAACTTCACGATGTAATCCCATTTTTGCTTTCTTACACTAGTTAGGAGAAAGACTGTTGGTACAGACAGTGGCACTACTCATGGTAGGGTTACTGTTAGACCATTATTTATGTAGCATAATCCTATTAAATTGGATATCATCAATTGTAACACAGAAGACACTGATAATATAAACTTTATTTACAACAATTGCAAAATAAGTTACACTAATCACTCCTGTTGGCCTGGATGCCAGCATGCATGGGGTCTTACTGCATGGTCAGGTAGATGACCCCTAATGGGAAGCAAACTTTGACAGTTAAGTGAAGGGCAAGTGAATTACCAGTGTGCTACCCTAATGATGATATAAGTTGATGACAACAACTTCTGTCCTTTTCAATTTCACGTCTTTTTAACTTTTACAAGTCAGTGTGAGCTTTGGATCGCGACACAATTTGGTCAGCATTTTAGTTATTTTGTGTACTGAAACATGTGTAGCATGTTACAGAGGGTAAGTTGCTAATAGTTTTCTGTTGCAAATGCTTTAAATACCTTTCAGATCAGTACTCAATACAGTAACGGTTACTCAAATACATGGTCATTATACGCATATAAAAAATCAAGTTTAATTTTCAAAATTTATATTTGATTTCAAACTTTAGCACTGGAGATGATCATATTAGTTTCCAGTAAATGTAGGCTTCTGTCCGGATATATATTTTCTGGTATGATAGAAAATTGTTGATTGTGATATTTGATATCAACCGTTTTTATCATACTATATAATACAATGGTACAGACTACAGTATCGTCAAAACAGGGGACGCAACATGTATATAACAGTAGCACATTCAGTTTTTAAACTAACAACATTAAACAGTCTCCTAAACATGCAAACACACACACTAGCACAAAAATGCGAACAAACAACAGAACACTCTGTTGCTGCTCAGAAAGGGAAATAAACAAATACTACTAAAAATATCGCATTGCATACGACTGTTGTGCGATACCAACCATCGTGCCGCTTGCCGGTGATATTTAGTAAACGAGACTTTGCGAGAAATGCACACTTCCGGTACAAGTGACCATTGCGTTTTCTTGAGTTAAAAGTATAATCACTTTAATACTAAATAACAGAATAGTGGAAAATGAAAGAAAGCGTATGGTTGCACTATTCGATTTCTCTTGTAAGTCTTTTTAAGCAACAAAATAAAAGTAGGAAATTGTATACCACGTGACATTTTCCGAAGTTTTAACAAACGAACCCATAGTCTCGGTCATCTAGGCGCTTGACCAATTTGTAACTTGCGAAGACTACAAGGCTCTGGTTGAACAAGATTACAAAACTCGCACTGTCACGACGGACTCGACATCGGATACAAAAAGATGAGCGTTCTTGCACCTCCAGTGATGGGAGATACTTATGGGTCCGATAGACCAAAAGAAGTTTACTTCAGTCCGTACGCTCAAAATGGGGGGTACGTTTTATTTGTCGTCGTTCACATCTTAGAAAATGTACTGACTTCGCTTTTGTACCGTGTAGTGTACCCACGATCATATTCCCAATAGTTTTCACTGTCACTAGCACCAAATCTACATGTATGTGTGCGAGGTCGATTTATCTCAGGCTGACTGATGTATGGTAATAAAACCTCATACCACTACGGGGGCTAACAAAAGGAAATATCTAATTAAAATATTCCGTTTTCAGAAATTGAACTGGTCACTGTACTCGGACGTCATTAATACATTATCAATTCTCGTTTTTATTACTTTTTTTTTCAAATTAATCTTTTTCTGGAAAAAAAAGCATCTCGCCGTGTGTGAGTATGGTGGCCAGCTCAACTTTTGAAAAAGAAGTTTGTTGAAGACATTTTTACTGAGTTGAGCAGCAGAAATCTTTTGTCTCACATAATAATGTTTCCTTTCTTACGTAAATTTATAAAGTATTTTATTCCATTTGCGTACTGTAAGTTTGCGGTTATGTGTCACTAAGATATTTGTATATGACTACATTTTAATTGTGAGGTCACTTGGCATCAATTAGCATGTTAATATACTAGACAGATCGGACAAAACAAAAAATGATAATGTGGTTTACGCATTCTGTAAATACAAATGCCATGTATTGAATCCATATCATAAATTAGTATTTTTCATTCTTTTTTAGTACAACTGTTGCTGTGTCTGGAGACGATTTCTCTGTAATAGCATCAGACACAAGACTGAGTGAAGGTTTTTCTATACACAGCAGGACTCTCCCAAAAACTGTTCAGTTGTAAGTGATAGTGGTTTTGAGAACTAAGAATTTGATACCATGTACATGTATAACATACTGGTGATGCTCATATTTATTAGCTTTTTCGAGGACTTGTCATGATCAGCGGCTTTCCTGCAAATGATCAATGTATCATAATTCACATGGCCAGTTTCTTGGTAAAATCTTAATAGATTTCAAGATTAATTATCCAAAAGCATGAAAATGTATTTTATGAAGAAATAATTGAGAAACTGACTTTCTTATGCAACGAGGGGAGCTCCAAATTATTGTATCAGAATGAGCTGCATTTGCCATACAAAAACTGTCATCTGTATCATATGTTTGATCAATGTTCTATGGAGATTATGGCCTATTGTGGCATGCAGGGTGTGCCCTGACCTTCAGAAACTTTCATTTTGATTCCTTTAATTGACAAAGGACCCCAAAACTACAGTTTTACTTTATTTCATATATGATGCAAGTCCCTGAACTGTTCAGTTCATGAATTTGAGGGTCCAAAGGGAAAATCCTGGCTATGTCAGTTGATTTCAATTACCAAGAGGTGAATTTTCCATTTTTAGTTAGCAACAACCTGATATTTACATGTCATGTATTTTATTATCTTTTACTACAAACATAATTACAAAAACCAGATTTTTGTGCAGTAATATTTAAGTACTTCAAACACACTTCGAACAGCCATTATTTATTTCAGATGCTACTTTACTAATTTTATAACAAATTTCTTTGAGTTGTTTACTGACAACATTTTGTGATATGTTATCTATGATCCACAGAACGGGTAACACAGTGCTAGCATCATGTGGATTTTATGGAGATGTTCTCACTTTGACCAAAGTACTGAAAGCAAGACTGAAGGTGAGCTATTGCTAAAGGTTTTGAAAATAATACTGAAGAAATAAACTAGGGAGCAGATCTTAATGAAAGTTTTTAATAAATAGTTTTGACTGTTCAGTGTAAAAGTAAATTGATTATATTTCAAAATCTGCAGAAAATGTAGAAAATAGGAGAATGAACTTATAGTCAAGCATGTGTGCTTGGTAGATACATTGGTTAGCTATGACAGTATGTATTATAACAATATCCTGTTCATTATCAGTTGGTAAGGAAATATGTTTTTATGTTATAAGGAGAATTTATAAAATCATCTGCAATAATACAGTGATGACAATCTGAAGTGAACTAAAACAACTGCTCACTTTTATGGAAGTTAGTAAAACACTACATCATTACAACTGTTGATTCCTGACATGTTAAAACTTTAAAGAAAACATTTTGTTGTTGATAGATATATGAACAGGACCACCACCAGAAGATGTCCACCACCGCCATTTCTGCTATGCTGTCCACCATGTTGTACCACAAACGCTTCTTTCCCTACTACACTGACAATATAGTTGCTGGCCTTGACAATGAAGGTAAGTATTATGATAAACAGATCAGTTATACTATATCATAGATTTCCGTTACCATCAGTATGTTATTGGATTTGGAGTTGTTTGAAAAACTTCACTTCATAATTATGTTTGCAGGTCGTGGATGTGTGTTCAGCTTTGACCCTGTAGGATCATATGAGAGGGAGTCTTTTCGGGCTGGTGGCTCTGCTAGTTCCATGATGCAGCCTTATCTAGATAACCGGGTTCGTAGCTCTCAGAAAATAATCAGGACATGTGGCTGAAACGATGCTGGAACTATTAGATAATCTATATTCAATAATTATGGGTGTGGTAATTGTACAGACATAATGTAGATTACAATGTAACAGTAAAATGTCATTACAGGAGTGGAGTTGGCTCATCAGTTTGCTCAAAACTATGAGGATGATGTAAAGATAACTTGGCCTTGTTGGAGTTAAACCAGACATTTTATTTTGACAAGGACTGAATCATTTTTAACAAATCTGTTGTTTCATGAATTTAGGCTTTGAATATGTAAAATATAGATTGGGTACAAGATGCACAGAGATGATGTGAATAAACTTCAAATTTCTATAACTGGATCATCTATATCTAAAGTTCTATATATCACTATTTTTAAGGATCTATTTTATTCATGAGAAAAGATGCCTTGGAAATTGAAAATATCAAAACAGTATGGCCATTATCATGACTTTTGTAAAAATTACACATCCAGTTTGCTTCAAAAGATTGATAAATTTCATAAAAAATTGAAAACCCTCTTCAATAATAACCATTACAGAACTGTTTGCTTTACATATTGTAGTCTCTGCTTTCTCTGTCTCCCTTACAAATTTTCTTGTCTCCCTTCTAAACTACCTCATCTCCCTTCCAAAGTACCTGATCTCACTTTCAAATTACCTTGTCTCTCTTCAGAATCCTCCTCTTCTCTCTCTTCAGAAGTATCCTCCTGTCTCCCTTTTAAGGTACCTTGTTTCCCTATAGAAGTATCTTGTCTCACTTCAGAAGTATTCTGTCTCTTTTCTAAGGTACCCTGTCTCCCTTCTGGAGTGTCCAGTCTCCTTTCAGAAGTATCCTCTCTCCCTACAGAAGTATACTGTATCCCATCAGAAATATTCTCCTGTCTCCCTTTAGAAGTATTCTGTCTCCCATTGAAAGTACCAGCCTCCCTTTAGAAGTATTCAGTCTCCCATCAGAAGTACCAGTCTCCCATTTAGAAGTACCAGCCTCCCTTTAGAAGAATTCTGTCTCCCATCAGAAGTACCAGCCTCCCTTTAGAAGTATTCTGTCTCCCATCAGAAGTACCAGCCTCCCTTTAGAAGAATTCTGTCTCCCATTTAGAAGAATTCTGTCTCCCATTTAGAAGTATTCTGTCTCCCATCAGAAGTACCTCATCTTCTTTATCATGTATCCCAAGATGCTGCTGTTATATAATCAGTACATCCTGTGTTTTGTTTTGACAGATTGGACACAGAAACAACCCTAATCCTCCAAAAGGACCCCTCACAAAGGAGCGGGCTGTGCAGCTTGTCAAGGATGCTTTCATTGCAGCAACAGAGAGAGACATTTACACTGGTGATGGTGTGGTAATACATGTGATCACCAAGGACGGTATAGAAACACAAAGTTTTGGCCTCCGTAATGACTAGGATAACATTATAGAAATCATCAGACGTTAAGGTGTCACCATCAACTATCACAGGCATTCATCTAGACTTGAAGTGTCAAAGTACAGAATCTACTGACTTACTGTACAGTATGTACAACTGCACATGGGTAAAGTAAAGGACATCATGTCCCTCATTGTACAGACTTTACATCTAGGCATGGTGTGTTAAATGTAGGACATAATGTGTCCCACTGTATGGACAGAATATCTAGGCATGGTGTGTTAAGTTTAGAACAGCATGTCCTTCATGGTAGAGACTTCTACACCACAGCATGCTGTGGTAAGTGTAGAACCACATGTCTCCCACAGTACATATACACCTCTGTAGTACCGGTGTAAGCATTTCCTGGACAATACTTCCAATGTCTGTTAGTTGATACCTTGAACTATGGGAAAATTGAAGTGCTACATACATATATGCTATCATCACTGAAAAAAAAAATGTTTGTCAAACATAATTTGATGAATAAAATTTGTCATGTTTGATATGTGTTTTATATTTTATGGATTCCGACAGAGACGTATATAACGTATATATGTGTTATATATGTCTCTGATTCCGATTAATAGTGTCTGTTGTGTCCATAAACAATTCTTGTTATGATTTCTTGAGAAAATCTTGATGGACCTTCCTAAAATTTCAGATGTACGTTCCCTTTGGTCCCTAGTTGCCCCCTTTTTATTTTGGAAATAATTATTAAAACAAAATGACTGATGGTGACCATCTTTGATTTTGACTGTGAAAGTTCTTCCATATTTCTTGGGAAGTAGTAAGTGTGCCATATTGATATTAGAATTGCCTGTCAATTGGAAAAATAAAATGGCTGGCAGGTGGCCATATTAGATTGTGACAATGCTATCATGTGAAAATTTAATATGCAGGTTTCACTTGGTCCCTAGCTGTACTCTTTTAATTTGGGAATGGTCAAATAAAGAAATTATGGACAGGCAGTCATCCTGTTTGACACTGAAAGTTCTTTATTGCTGTTTCTTGAAAAATACGGGATAAATCTTTATCAAATTTCATCTGTAGATTCCCCAAGGTCCCTAGAATTGCACTTTTGGTTTGATATAACATTTTTGTAAATTAAAAAAAATAGCTGCTAAGGTTTTTGATAAAAGGTTTCCCTAATTCTTAAGAAATACTCCAATGTTCTTTTAAAATTTCCATGAAGGTTCCTAGTTGTGCCAGTTTTTGGAGGGGGGACTAATTAAGGGAAAACAATGGCTGGCAGGTGATTATCTTTTGGTTTTGTCCATGAAAGTTTTATCTGTATTTCTTGGGAAGCAGTTAGTAGGTCTTTATCAAAGATCACCTTGTTAGACAGTGAAAGTACTGAATGAATTTTCTAAAATTTCATAAGTGTGTCGCTAATTATGAAATTTGTGATTTTAAGACTAAAACACGATCAAGAAAAAAGATCAAACAATCCCCAAGTCCTTCCTTAGTTGTGCCCTTTAGATAATGAGACTAATTAGGAGAACCAAACAACTTGAAGGCTACCATCTTGGGTTTTGACAATGAAAGTTTGTACATGTAATAACTACACCTGGTAATATTTGGGAGGAAGTCGTATATCTTTCTCAGATTTCAGATGTAGGTTCTCCTTGATCCCTAGTTGGGCCTAACTAATCTCAACTAAATGTATTGTTAACTCATCCATGATCTTAATGATACAAGGCAGCATACCAAGTTTACTCAAAATCTGTTCATATATCTGGAAAAGACCCAACAAATAAAGATCTTACGATGGATGGCTCCAAGATCTCTGTGAGATTTTGTCTTAATTACACTTGACATGAGAATAGAAATGATGTTTGCGGGTATGAACTGTTACTATGCAGTCATAATAAATACTCATCAGTCGATTATGGGCATGTAAACAAACTTTATTACGACAACCATTACCGTCATCTTTATGACTAAACTTAATATGGATTCTCGACACTGAACTTGTGTCAAACCTTGCATGGTATTATCAATACAATCACCACCTTTACCAGCAGAAGCAACGAAAGCTTGATGTAAAATAAAAAATCCCTCCGCTTTCCAGTAGCACCCTTTACTCATATTTACACACAAAAAAACTTCTTAACACATTCAACCACTTGATGATACATCTGGTAGTCACCTTACTATTTTCTCAAAATAAGACAAAAATTGTGTCATATTTACAACGCCTTCAAGATTAGCAAGAAACACAATTGGATAGTAATGTCTACATAAAGAGTTCATAGTTGAAAATTTGCCTTTTAGCAATGAATGGTAACAAAATCTGTCTAACGTAATATGAAGTTTTCATAGCAAATGTAAATGTTGTAATATTATAATACATCTGTAGCGCTGAGTGCTACAGAACGTACATTTTGAGTGCAGGCATTTCACATAGATCACTTCTTCTTAGAGTGGAGAGGCTGGCCAATGTCCTTCCCACGAAGTTTTACGCCTGTAACAAAAAGTTCCAAGTGATTATATCAAATATGAGGATTAATAATAATTTCTTAGATACATAAATACTAGATTGCTAGTTTTCTGCCTCTGCACCAATTTCTACTATTTTCAGAGCTGTTACCAGAACAATATTTTGATATACTCTTAACAGTAATGATTTGTTGTGCATAACCATTACTTCTAATTGGATAAAGTTGTATGTCCATCAAGGCTGTCATTTTCCTCAGAAATCTCCAGTGGCATTTCTGAACATTCTGGGCATTCAATCCCTTCAGTGACATTTGTCCATCTTCCATCTTCATAACCCCACAATTGGCCTCTTCCTTTACCTTTGATACATATAACCCCTCAGGTAACATTTCCTTAAGTTCTATATAAATTTCTTGTTGAGGCATAACCCTTTGAATGATGTTTCACAATCTTTTACAAGAGATTCACAGAGGAATACAGATTTAGGTTGACACAAGTCTTTGAACTAACTGAACATTTACCAGTAATGTAAACTTACCTAAGCACCTTTCCAACTTTGAGATCACCTGTTGGTTTGGTATTGCTTTACCAGATTCATAGTCATTAATGACTTGAGGCTTTTCATTTATTTTCTGAGAAAAAAAATACATAATGAATCATAGAAAGAAAACGAGGAAAGCTGTTATCCAAGGAAAATACTTAAACAAGAAATTTGTGATAAAATCTTAATTACCTCATTGTTTAGTCAACAGACTTGATATTGTTTGAGGTTATAGTAGCTATTTCAGACTGATACAAGACACAACAAATCAGAATTACTGGGAAGTTATTCATTTACTTTATGACTTCTTTTCATTGAAGTTGTAAGCACTCTTAATCCACAAAATTGTTAAGTCCATGAAATGTTAAAATAAGTAGATTCATTGAGCTATATTTATCCATGATATCAAGAGTCTGTGGCCAAAGTATTTTTGTGAAAAACCACAAAAATTGAGACTCACATAATTTCATGATCTTACAGTACATTATTGCTACATAAGAGGAATGAATTTCAGACAAAAACCTACTGTTGCCAACTCTTTTTGAGTCCACTCTTTCTCCTGTCTAGACTTCTGTATCTGACGAGACAGACTCAATGTCACATGTTCATGGTGAAGTTCCTCAGTCTCACGGTCAAGTTTTGCTGTATTTTTGGCAGCTGATGATTGCTTGTTTTGAGAAGCAGCAACTGAAGATATAGTAACTTGTTTAACAAGAGTTGAAAAACATCCCTTCACTTTATGATTATCACTAAATCTGAAAGGTATGGTGCTCATCATTTTATCACTAAATCTCAAAAGTATGGCACACATTACTTTATCACTAAATCTGAAAGTATGGCACACATTAGTTTATCAATAAATCTGAAAGGTATGGCACAAATTACTTATCACTAAATCTGACAGGTACGGCACACATTATTATTGATAGTGATGATAATCATAACCTTTTTGTGAGCAATTTACTTTAATGAACATGCTAATAGAAACAGTATCATAAAAGTTGTACATCACAAACTAAGACAGGCATAATACACAAAATATTCATTTTTTTCTGGTAGTTAATTCTGAATCTGTATTAATCATGTTCGGAGATCAGAAACCCAATGGGCCTGAATTGAGACTTTGTCAGTTAAGTCATTGTCTTGTTCAGCATACTTGAAAATCCCAATCCCAAGTGACAAATTTCCATGACACATTGCCTCTTCATAAAAAAGGAGTCTCAGGGTTTTGACATATATGAATCTTGTATGCTTTTAAGTGGATCAACTTTTTGATAGATCAAACTTGATTGTCCTTCATACCAGCAAGATATTGGTCAAATATCACGACCCTGGGACTATTTGTTACTGAGAGAAAAACATTTAAAGTATTTAACACTTTAGACTCCTTTCAATGAACTTGGTAACTCTTTTTTCCCAGCATGCTTCTGACCATGGGTTTTCCATCATGGAGAAGATGGTGCTTAAATATTAGGATACAAATGACCTCTTTGGACTTTAAAAAGGGCATTTCAACAAATTTGGTATCACTTCATGTTGTTTAAATATTCAAACATATTTGACCTATGTGATCTTGAAACTATAGGTAATCCGACACTTCTAGCAGAATTGGGTAAGATGACCTAAATAAAAAAGAGAAAAATGTGCATACAACACACTATGTAGCACTTCTGAAAAAATATTTGTGTATTGGTACCTTTAATGCTCAACTTTCTTGTAATTACATTTAAAATCAGTCATTTGAACATATGAAACAGTACTTACATTTTTTAGTTGTTTCTACAGCTTTTCCCTGTCTAAGTGCTGAGTTGATGGCCTGAAAATATTAATTTATATATATTCATATTTTCATTCAATTTTTCCTACCAGTATATATATATGTCTCCACCAATTATAAATGCATGTTAAGTGTATAGCATATTGTCTGGTCATGTATATAGATCAGATTATAACAAAGCATTTCTGATATCTAATCCTTTCATAATTTAGGTATATTCATATTTGCAAATTAAACATCCTCCAGCAGGTAGCCATGACTTGTAAGGTACAAAATGAATATGATCAGGACTAGCTATTGTAATCTGATCAACTTTTTTCTAAGCCAAAGGTCTATTGATGAAATATTTCAGATAGATACAAATTTACCTCTTCTAGGACCCATAAATAAACATATATTTCAGCAATAATTCTGATAATTAATGTAAGGATTTTTTAATAATCAACGACGCTCTGACATTTGTGATACAGTACTACTTGAAAAATTGGTATTCAACACTGGAGTGGGAGTAAGTAACCCTGGTAAATACTAGCCACTATACCACTCAGCTAGAGCGAACTTCTCTGTAGTTTGATCGGTTGAGCGTCAGACTAGTAAGCCAGAGGTCTTGGGTTCGAATCCTGGCAGAGGCATTCAAATAAATAACGACCTTTATTACATATGCACACACTGGAGCAATGGCAAATCTGGCAATGAAGTCCAATCTGACTATAGGTATATAGACAAATGTATACAACTGAGCTATACATGGTTGCAATCATGGTGTGCACAAGGAAAAAATGGTCAACAAATCTAGGAAGCTGGTAAAATGAATTATTTTTGTCATATGACACTATTTCATTTTTTAAGATTTTACATATTATACACAATATACAAAAGAATCCACACAAAAACATACACACACACTCTCACACTTGTGTGCTATGACTTGACTATGACTTACACATATATCGTCATAATCATCATCATCTTTATCATCATGCACATGTATCTACTACTTCCTGCACACAAACTCACTCATCAAACATTCACACCCACTTACACTCACATAGCAAACTTACATGTACTTAACAAAATACTCACACACACAAATACACAATCATATCACTTACACTTATCAAAGATATCTTCATACACATAAACTCACTCATGAATTCATTTATGTATATAAACAAAAAACATTATACATCCTAAACAAAGAGAGAGAGAGAGAAGAGTAAGAGAGAAAGAGAGAGCGAGAGAGAGAATTGGGAGGGTTATAATCATTATTAAATAAAAATAGCACTAATTTTGTGGAAATTAAATAAATTCAAAGTCAGTTTGGTAAAGTCAAGGCCATGGCCATTGGGAACAGACTTGTTAGCATACATACTATAGTTTCAAAATGGGCATCCACTTTTTCCAATTATTCTCAAATTTTGTTTTCATAATAGAGTTTTTGACAGAAATGTTGTACTTTTGAACACGGAAATGATCCTTAATCTTATTTATAAGCACATTTAAATTAAGAGACTTTTGTAGACATCTTGACATATAAACATAGTGTTTAATGAAAATTAAAATTTTGTTATCTACAGTGTTAGCATTAGGATGGATAATTCCAAATAAATATGTTTCTTTGTTTATCAAGAAAGGAATCAGAAGAATATCAAGAAGAGATTCAAATCTCCCCAATAGAGTCTGTACCTCTATACACTCCCATAGACAGTGGACGATTATATCTCTTTCCATATTATACAGTGTACATAAAGGGCTAGGAATTAGATTAATATTGAAAAGAAAGGAGTTCGTAACCAGAATGTGATGTATAATCCTTACTTGAAACCACTGTAGCTAAGAACTTTTTGTAATAGTAAACAGAATTGTTAATATATTTTTCCACTTCTGATCATCGAAGTCAAACTCATCACTCCATTTCGAATACCAGTAGGGGTTGGTGCTGGTTTAATAATAGAATTGTAGAAATCGTTGACACCTCTTTTACTTTTATAAAAAAATTTCAAATAGAAGTGGTATAAAAGGCTGAAATAGTCCACTATTTCTGGTGAGTTGGTTGAATTTTGTCATTGCAATTTTGGTAGTTGCATCCCTTTATCAACATGTTCCGATAGTGAAACATGAAATTTCCTTAATTCATTATTAAAACACCTCATATTCCACCACACATATCACATTCATTGCAGGTTATAAATTTTTGCTTGGAGACATCATGCTGAAAGCAAACCTGTGCCAAAATCTGCATCAATGGGATGCTTATATTATATGCGGACACTATATGTAATAGTGAATGATGCAATATTGGATGGACCCGCTAGAGAGTTTGTTACAAAATAGCGAGTGTAGTGGATACCGAATAAATATGTAATGGTGATTTTTTTTAAATCGCCTGAAATTGAGAAAATATGTCAAAGGGATTTACTTCACTGACTTTCATGATTTGTCATCCATTTTTTCGATCTGCTCGAAAAAAAATTGTGACCGGACCTCACCTGTATGTGTATATTCACCCTATATACAGATTTGACTGTATTGACCAATCTACCCGTATTGCCAGATTTGCATCGGTTGTTTGACAATGTCCGCAGTCGGACACTGTCAAATTTCCGATTTAAATGAGTCCCAATGAGGAATCCCAAAAGGGATTACTATATAAGCATGTTTTGAAAGTTTTTATTTCATAGATATCTACACTTATGTAAGAGTAATTCGATTTTCTATGACAGGTTACCAACTCTGAACTGTAGACAGTTTCTGTCGTATTCTGTAGATTTTTAGACACTCATACTCATCAATTTCGGTGGGAAAAGCGGGGACCTTATCACAGTATTGCACGATACAACACACTGACACACTCAGTTGGTCGTGTTTGAACCTCTCTCACACTGTACCTGTTGGGTGTTTGATTGACGGCCCCATCGGCTCCCAATCGTTTTGACTTCTGTATCAAACTCGGCCATACTGCTTTAAATTGTAGTTTATATTATGAATATCACACACTTATGCAAGTACTGTTAAACAGTTCGTCTGTTCGTTGTTTTCGTTTGTTTCGAAATCGCGATGCAATATGGCGTGTTTTGTATTTATATTTAGAATGTCGCACAACTACGTATTGGTTTATCATAGATATCCCAATACGATTGATATCATCAAAGTGTTGAATAATATAATTATTCAAGCTTTTTATCATAACATTCTGGCATCGGAAAATTATATTAGATAAAATTAATATAAAATTTTGCGACACTCCAAAAAATGTCCGTACTTCCGGTGTTGCCCAGTCGATGTCAATTCTGCGTGTTAGGCTTGTGAATTCCAAGTTTGCTCTTAAAATTACTTTCGTTTTCATAATTAGTTCGATATGGCAGCGTGTTTTTGAAGTAAATTTTATTTTGTAGGAAGTAACGGAGAACTGATAAACAAAATTTTATCGGTGAGTATTCTCAAGTAAGAGGGAATTTGCCAACAACAGAAACTCCACAACACTGCGCACAGCCATTCATTAGAAAATCGGAGTACGGTGGTTTAAAATTTAGCTGATGAATGAAAGAATATATTACATTGTTCAAACAAACCCATTATAGAACACAATATTATGAAATCCATGGAAGACTTGCCGCACCACGAAGATATATTTTAAGAAAGCTTGTAAACGAAATAATAGTATAACTGATCAGAGGATAATGGGCTCTGTGTCTTGTTTAGATGAGTTCGGCCTACTCTGATATTACCTATTGTCTGTGATTGGGATGAGAATACATGTTTATATATTGATAAATGTTTTACCATCTAATTACTGTCAAAAGGCAAGTAATTCGTTTACGGAAGCTCCTGTGGTCTGTGTTTGAGAGGAAGTAGTAATTTCTTAGTTTTAAAATTTACTAAGTCTAAAAACAGCCAGCTAATCCAATAGTGATTAGTAAAAATCTACATTCTGGAGCATTACACATTTAAATTTTTGAAGAGTTGTGTATTAAAAGTTTCTTTGAATTATCTAAACCTTTCGGTTTCAGTTGTAAGTTGGTGTACCTTTTTAAGTGGAAAGTTCATATTCAATCATGATGTAAGCTGTCCAAGGCTAATCACATTAGCAGTTAATTAGTTTTTGTTGGGTTCTATATAGAAATACTGGAAGGATATTTCTCCAACTTCATCTGTAGGTACCTATTGGTTCCTAGTTGTGCACATTGATTTTCTAGACTGATTAGGAAGGCAATATGACAGAAAGGCGACTTCTTGGATTTAGACCAAGTTGTTGATCACTATGTCTTTGAAAAAATTTAAGAGGATGTTTCTCAAACTTGACTGAGGGGTTCCCCTTGGTCCCTAGTTGCTTAAGGACAATTTTGAGTTTGAATGATAAAACAAGATGGCTAACAGAGCATCTTGTATTTTGGCAGTTGAAGATTGTTAATGCTATTTCTCAAGAAGTACTGGAAGAATATTTCTCAAACTTGGTGTGAAGGTTCAGTTTAATCACTTCAGGTGTCTAACCAAATGCCCAACAGTTATCTTAGATTTTACTATTTGAAGCTTGTTATGGCAATTTCTTAGATTTCATTTGTAGGTTTGGTTTTCAGTCTTTAAAAACTTCATTCTTGAATAATTCCCATTTTCCAGTCTATGAAAATAACTGATCAAACAAATAGAAACTGAAAGTACACCTCTCCATTATAGATGAAGCTTTGATGCCATTTACAGGGTTTTCCATAAGAGCCGGTCGCCGGCCAATTTGACCGGCTACTTTGATCATTTGGCCACCTACACCAATCCAGTTCCGTAATAATGTTCCGTACACGACTACACGTACACAGCAGGCCAGCCTCCTACTTTCACTACACAGCCTACTACTAACAAAATTATGGAAAACCCTGCATTTAACCTTAATTCAAGTTATTGCAATTGTGAAGGAGTTCCTTGATTAAATCTCTTATGCTAGGCTTAAAAGATACTCAAATCTTGTCATTATTTCAGGGACAAATAAAATGTTGCAATGGAATATATGTGTGTTCACAAAAAGGAGCAAAATCTTAATATTTTATAAGTATTCTCATCAGGAAAAAATTCTCATCAAGGAAAAAAAGTATCTCGGTACAATCGATCAGTAAAGTTTAAAGATCGTATCCCTAACTAGACTAAAAGAAACTCTTGATTATATATTCTCCACTTCATCATTTTTCTTGATATTTCATTGAAGAGGCACCATCGGTTTAAAGCTCCATTTATGGGGAAAAAAATATGCTGCTTAAATTGCATACATATGAGGAATATAAGACATGTCTTATATATATATTTGAATTAATATGAAAAGAGTCCCTACTTGATAAATACTATTGTTATCATGATATATAGCTTTCCTTTCTGCAATTTGATCTATCCTTTCCATGAAGCCATGCTGTGTCCATACCACATGCATGTGAGTTAAACTTGCCATGATTTAATGTTTTGGCTTCAAGTTAGTTTGTAGGAATACAAATATGTAATTTTCATTTCTATTATTCTACCTGTTATTATAATACATTCTCTTATTGTATATACCAATACTTTCAGAATTTCAAGCACAATCTGAGATAAAAACATGATGGATGTGACAGTAAAAACCCTGGATGGGCAGAACAGAAACTACAGTGTACCTGAAGATGTAAGTATGGAGACAGAGTTAAAATTGTTTTATTCCTGAAAATATTGGGCAGAACAAGCTTTGTTGTGTACCTAAGACTTGAGTTATAGATAGATGAGACAGAGTATTTCTGAGAATCTTAACCTGGAGAGTGTAAAAAGTAACTACAGCATTTCTAAACATTTGAATTATAGGACAGATTAGGAACCAAGCATTTCTAAATATTTGAATTATAGGACATATTAGGAACTACATGCAGAACTAATATGTCTGGAAATTTTAGCCATACATGCAGAACAAGGATTTTTTAAGGTTCTAACCTTACTTAAAGAATAGGCACTATATTGCAGCCTTTTTTCTTTCTATTTTTATTGCAAATCTTATACAAAGAAAAAATTTATCAACATATTTTTTTTTCATTTTTCGCACACTGCCTTTATTCATGACTGGTTTTACAGAATGTTGATAATACATTAATATGAATTATCATTATGTCCCCAAAGTTACAAGATGGTTATATTCCCTTAAGTTAAATAATATTCTATCACATAATTTGATATTTTCAAGATAATCATTCGCTATTGCAGATCACTGTGAAACAGTTTAAAGAGAAAATAGCAAACTCAATAGTAAGTATGACTTTCATCTCGACTGAGGCACAGGGAATGTCTGATGATAGAATAACTACCCTGATATATTGTGTGGTTATTTTTTCTTTTGATCACCTAATTGTCAATATTGTGTTCTGATGGGATCAGTACCCAGGTATACTGTATGGTCATTTATCTGTTTACCACCTGGTTGGGGATTTTTCTGATGATGGGTTTACTACCCAGGTATAGTGTGTGGGTAAACTTTTCTGTGTAAATGATACCAGAACACAGTATTTGTACATAAGATATGCCTCACATATTGAAGATAACACTATTGATAATAGCGAAGTTTCAACAAGGAAAATTGTAAAACATTCGGTTAAGAAATCCCACAAAATAGTGATTGTGATTATTTTATCTTTTTTTAAATTTTTGAAAATGAAATTCTTCTAGAGTGAATTTTTCAAATTACCCTTTTTTTCTTTTCCTTCCATGTCTGAGTAAAAGCTCCACCTAGTAGAATGCTTAATGCATCATCATAGTCAGTATTTAAAAACTGGTGATACATTTTTCTTGAGATACAAATTTAACATGAACTTCCCCTGTACTTCGAATGCCATCCAAGTCAAAATAAGAGTATTTGGTAGTGTAGCATATGGCTTCTTTAAGATTGAATCTCAATGTTAAATGTGGCTTGAGTCAGTTATGATGCTGTTACAGAATATATCAGCTGAGATCCAGAGGCTGATATTTCAGGGGCGTGTGATGCAGGATGAAAAACACATGAAGGATTATGGTGAGCAGTAGACAAATTAAGACCATTCTGATGTAAACAAAGATACATGGATTTGTTTACTTCTTCAGTTACATGTTTTGTTGTATTAAAGAAAGTACATACACATTTGAAAGATTATATTTGATTTCTGGACAAAATTATCAATTTAGAATATCTCCATTGAGAACAAACATGCTGTCTATGTTATCTCTATAATTTCATTTGATTGCAAACATTATTTACAGATGTACATGGAAAGGTGATTCATGTGGTCCAGAGAATGCCTCCATCCAGTACACCTCGACCTGGAGGGGGCGCCACCAACACAGATACACCACCAACAGGTGGAGCCACTGGTGAACAAAACCTTCACAGTACATTGATTGGTTCCTTTATCAATTTGCCATCAGATGTAGCTGATCCAAACCAAGTTCATGTAATAATTTTTTTTCTTTTTATATCTCAACTTATCACCTTGTCATGTGTTATATATCACCTGGTCATGTGTTACATCACCTTGTCAAGTGTTAAATATCACCTTGTCAAGTGTTAAATATCACCTGGTCATGTGTTACACCTGGTCATGTGTTACATCACCTTGTCATGTGTTGAATATCACCTGGTCATGTGTTTAATATCACCTGGTCATGTGTTACATCACCTTGTCATGTGTTGAATATATATCACCTGGTCATGTGTTAAATATCACCTTGTCATGTGTTAAATATCACCTTGTCAGTGTTAAATATCACCTTGTCATGTGTTAAATATCACCTTGTCATGTGTTTAATATCACCTGGTCATGTGTTAAATATCACCTGGTCATGTGTTAAATATCACCTTGTCATGTGTTAAATATTACCTTGTCATGTGTTGAATATCACCTTGTCATGTGTTGAATATCACCTTGTCATGTGTTAAATATCACCTTGTCATGTGTTGAATATCACCTGGTCATGTGTTGAATATCACCTTGTCATGCGTTAAATATCACCTTGTCATGTGTTAAATATCACCTTGTCATTTGTTGAATATCACCTGGTCATGTGTTACATCACCTGGTCATGTGTTACATCACCAGGTCATGTGTTGAATATCACCTGGTCATTTGTTGAATATCACCTGGTCATGTGTTAAATATCACCTAGTTGTGAATACTAAAATCCTATAATTTACAAAGGGATTTCAGTATTACAAATAATTATGTTTTAATTAGCATATCGGTATACAAACAAAATGGAGATACAGATGAAATTGATGTAAATAGTTTATATTGACAAGGAGGTATATTTATATAAATCATTAATTGATATGTTTCTGAGAATTATACTTAAGTATTTATAGCAGGTCTGACCTGATATATGTTTCAGAATATTGTACAACAAGCAGTCAGTAACATGGGGGATATGGGAAGGAATGCCCGAGTTACAACCAATGCATCTGTAGGTATCAATATATATATTAAACAGGGACTTACCGAAAGTCTTTCACGTTTTCATAACGATTACTCTGACTATGTTAACATCACTTCTTCAAATGTTTATAACTTAAATACTTATCACACATATGTGATTTTTTGGGGGGCGGGTTTGGTGGCACAACCTTTAGTCATATTTACAACCTCTCAGAAGAATAGTGTCTACTGTACATTTTCAGTTGTGTTTATATCTGGAGACTGCAAATCCCAGGTTATACAATAAATGTTGTTTTCCATTTTCCATCCCTGAGCCCTTCTTGATTTGTGTACTGGGCAGCTGTAATCTTGTCATGTGGTACAACTATCTGTGTTTCAGGAAAGTGGCTCATAAACAGATACTTTTTGTGTTACAGGATGACGGTTCATCTGTGGATGTGCACATTCATCTAGGACAAGTTCCAGGAGCTAGACAAAGTGAATCGCAACTTAGGATTAACCAAGCAAGACGCATGTTGCAGATGTCACGAGAAAACCTTGACAAACTTGATGTGAGTGTATATTGTGTTATGTGGGCAGTTAATAATGAACAATATTTTTTGTAGTTCATGATTTTCTTCTCACTCACAAAAAGTCTTGTCATCTTATTTTTTGTTATGTGGGTGTGAGGGGTTGCATATATAAATAAATAGATGGGTCCTGTTTACTCATCTGACATTCACTAAGCATATCTAAAGAAAAACTTGAAGTGTTTTTTATTCCGCTTTTTTCTCATTAATTTTGACAAATATTCATTCTTGTACATTAGTTGACCAGGAAACAAAAACCAGAATTGATAAAATCACAAAATTTTCAGTTGAATCAATACTCTGTTCTAATTTTACATTTCACCGTTTATATGTAGTACTGTATTGTATTCTAGTGGTAGCTATTGAGATCTGAATGTCAAGCCTCTATTTTAGGACTGACTTTTAAGATCTGAATGTGAAGCCTTTATTTTGATACTGACTTTTGAGATACAAATTTCAAGCCTCTATTCTAGTAGTAGTTATTGAGATTTGAGTATTAATCCTGTGTTCTAGTGGTAACTTTTGAGATCTGAATGTTAAGCCTTAGGTGTTACATACCTATGACAATGTGCTATAACTTTACAGAGGCTTGAAAACCCCCCAGCGGAGGAGCAGCAACAGACCAATACAGACCAAGGAACCAGAGATTCTCCGATGGAGGTGTCTGAATCAAACCAACCAATAGCTGAGACCACGACCAGAAATACTTCAGAATCCTCCCAGTCACAGGCATCAGTACAATCAGAAACACCATCACAGCCAGAGGCTCCAGCAACACCACAGACACCTTCAGCCACTGTACCAGAACCTCAAACCACATCCAGCCAATCAAATCCATCCACAGGAAATAGTAATTCAGCCAATGGCAGTTCCTCAGACACGCCAAGGAGACCAGGGTAAGACAATGTTTTCAAAATATGTAAATAGACAGTTTAACCCACTTACTACAATAAACTAAATAACTTAGAACTTTAAACTGAATTTGTAGCAGTGTAGGCAATGTTTTAAAAATTATTAAAAGCACAGCAATGCCAAATAGAATGTCCTGCTAATATCAACAAGGATTTTTTATCAATAACATGTCAAATTAACAGAGATAGAGCCTTTTCAGAGAACAAAAATTGGGTGTTTAATATCCAACACCAACAAAAGTATAAATCAGTTTGCCTGTCATGTTTTGATGTTAACCTTTGTAATACCTGTAGGCGCCCACATATTTCTGTGGTGGCTGATGTGTTGGAGGAAGTTAGAGAGGTAAACAGTCGCTTACAGCCACACATGGACAATTACCAGAGAATAGTACGTGAAGATAGACAGCTTCCTGCAGAGGTCAGTACCTTTAATTATCTTGGAAAGGAAATATCGCTATAAAATTGTTTCATTTACTTTATGTAAAGGACCTTTCAACCAGGTTTTGTGTCATGGTACCTGTTCTTCACTATGCTATTGTGGAGGGAATGGCAGTATCTGGATTTGTATGTACGGGATCTATACATCTCTATAATATTGTGGAGGGGATGGCAGTGTGTGGATTTGTATGTAGGGGATCTATACATCGCTATAATATTGTGGAGGGGATGTCAGTATGTGGATTTGTATGTACGGGATCTATACATCTCTATAATATTGTGGAGGGGATGGCAGTGTGTGGATTTGTATGTACGGGATTTACATATCACTATACCATTGTGGAGGGGATGTCAGTATGTGGATTTGTATGTAGGGGATCTATACATCGCTATCATATTGTGGAGGGGATGTCAGTATCTGGATTTGTATGTACGGGATCTATACATCTCTATGATATTGTGGAGGGGATGTCAGTATGTGGATTTGTATGTAGTGGATCTATATATCTCTATAATATTGTGGAGGGGATGTCAGTATGTGGATTTGTATGTAGGGGATCTATACATCTCTATAATATTGTGGAGGGGATGTCAGTATGTGGATTTGTATGTAGGGGATCTATACATCGCTATCATATTGTGGAGGGGATGTCAGTATCTGGATTTGTATGTACGGGATCTATACATCTCTATGATATTGTGGAGGGGATGTCAGTATGTGGATTTGTATGTAGGGAATCTGTACATCACTATCATATTGTGGAGGGATGGCAGTATGTGCATTTGTATGTAGGGGATCTATACATCACTATCATATTGTGGAGGGGATGTCAGTATGTGGATTTGTGTTTAAGAGATCTATACTAAAAACATTGTATAAATCAACTTGATATAGAAACACATTAATGATAATCTTGCATAATGGACATAACTCTGTATTATGATTATGTATAGGAGACTCGCAAGGCCCAGGAAGTATGTAACCTTGTTGGGGAGATCCTACATGCCATCAGCCATTGTTATCACAGTCTGAGTGACCTAATGGTGGACATGGGAGAGCCATCACCAAGACAACTTTACGCGGCAATAGTTCCAGCTGCTATCCCTGCAGCTGTCATACAACAGACCATACCTATACATGTAAGTAGCCTGTCATACAACAGACCATACCTATATAAGTAACCTGTCATACAACAGACCATACCTATACATGTAAGTAACCTGTCATACAACAGACCATACCTATACATGTAACCTGTCATACAACAGACCATACCTATACATGTAAGTAACCCGTCATACAACAGACCATACCTATACATGTAAGTAACCTGTCATACAACAGACCATACCTATACATGTAAGTAACCTGTCATACAACAGACCATACCTATACATGTAAATAACCTGTTATACAACAGACCATACCTATACATGTAAGTAACCTGTAATACAACAGACCATACCTACACATGTAACCTGTCATACAACAGACCATACCTATACATGTAAGTAACCTGTCATACAACAGACCATACCTATACATGTAAGTAACTGTAATACAACAGACCATACCTATACATGTAAGTAACTGTAATACAACAGACCATACCTATACATGTAAGTAACTGTAATACAACAGACCATACCTATACATGTAAGTAACCTGTTATACAACAGACCATACCTATACATGTAAGTAACCTGTAATACAACAGACCATACCTACACATGTAACCTGTCATACAACAGACCATACCTATACATGTAAGTAACCTGTCATACAACAGACCATACCTATACATGTAAGTAACTGTAATACAACAGACCATACCTATACATGTAAGTAACTGTAATACAACAGACCATACCTATACATGTAAGTAACTGTAATACAACAGACCATACCTATACATGTAAGTAACCTGTCATACAACAGACCATACCTATACATGTAAGTAACCTGTCATACAACAGACCATACCTATACAAGTAACCTGTCATACAACAGACCATACCTATACATGTAAGTAACCTGTCATACAACAGACCATACCTATACATGTAAGTAACCTGTCATACAACAGACCATACCTATACAAGTAACCTGTCATACAACAGACCATACCTATACATGTAAGTAACCTGTCATACAACAGACCATACCTATACATGTAACCTGTCATACAACAGACCATACCTATACATGTAAGTAACCTGTCATACAACAGACCATACCTATACAAGTAACCTGTCATACAACAGACCATACCTATACATGTAACCTGTCATACAACAGACCATACCTATACATGTAACCTGTCATACAACAGACCATACCTATACATGTAAGTAACTTGTCATACAAGAGACCACTTGGTCACTAACATAGTTGTTTGTTATCAATTTTTTAACTGGCCCGAAAAACATAGTTTCCAAAAGGCAACCGCCTTAAATTTGACAAATAAAGATTAATATAGATTTACAAGAATTCTCAAATTTCATATCATAAAGAGAAATTAAGAGGAAAGAGAAAGGAAGGCAACTGATGCCACCTTTAAAAGATCAAGTGGGTGCCTATATCCGTCTAGGCTCTCTTCCTGCTATAACCTGCTGAACAGACAGTGATTTCTATGCAATGATGGATTTTGTAGACAACACATCTTACTGTAAATACTGTGGACATCCTCTGATGTAATAGTGTACCTGCTGTGTTTTAGGCCCAGATCAATGTTGGAGGGCCTCAAGTTGCCCAGAGAAACATGGCCACTCAGTCCTCAGTATCAACTTCATCCACAGCCACATCTACGTCACAAGCCTCCAGTAATGCTGCCTCACAGGTATGATGGCTGTTTGGTATAATGGTATTGTATGGAGTCTGTATGGTATAGTGGTAATGCAAGGTATATATGTGATATAGTGGTAATATATGATGTATATGTGGTAATGTATGGTGTTTATGTGGTAGTGGTAATTTAAGATGCTTATGTGATATAGTGTATTTGTGGTATAGTGGTAATTTATGGTCTATATGTTGTATAATGATGATGTTTGATGTTTACGTGGTATACTGGTAATGTTTGTGTTTATGTTGTCTAGGGGTAATGTATGGTGTATATGATAAATTATTTGCTTCAAATAACAGAAATTCAGTGTCATTTTCGTCAAACTATTCTCAACAAAAATATTTACGTAGAGATGAAGTGTTTACAGTTGAAATACGTTGTTTTATTTGCTGCTATATTGGGGGTTATTTTAAATGGCCAATTAGATGTCATGAAACACAACATTGAGATAATGAAGTTTGAGAACAAAATATTTACTGTCACCTTACAATGTTTTGAACAATAAAAGATTTAATGAAATTGAAAATGTAAACATTCAGATGTTTTTACGAAACAGGTTTTTCCTCGTCTTCCACTTTCCATTTATTAATATGATTAAATCATTGAGAAAGTTGATTGACAAAAACGGAAGTGGCCCAGTAAAGCTTTTTGGATCACATGATAATTTCCTGTATTCAGTTAAAAAAGTCCAGAGTTCCTTGCATGAATCAATCCCAATATAAATAGGAAAAGACTCATCTTGATGAACTATAAAGGTATCTTACTGAAAATTGCTGTATACCTTTATAACATACTGAAAAAGTGCTGTGTTTTATCATTGCATCATTGCAAACTTGACCACAAGGTCAAGACCAAATAAGTGAATTTCTGCAATGATTAATTATCAAGGCAAAACTTTTGAACTGTTAAAAGGTAACTTTATGGAAGTTGCTGTACACCTTTATCAGCGACTGATAAAGAGCAGTGCTTAGTATATGGATCATTGCAACTTTGACCTCAAGGTTAAAGGTCAACAATTTTAGATAAATAAGAGCTGTAAAAAATGTTAAATTTCAATTCTTGCACTCCCAACCTACTACAAATTAGCAAATAGATTAGAAGTGATGTATTATTGCCCACTAAAACAATGTTTAAGCTATTTATAGAACGATACCATATATATAAAACAAGTAAGCTTCTCTAAAATGTTTTGAGGAGCATGTAGCTGTGGCTTTGTCCATCCATCCTTGTTCTTTTATGTCCAGAGCATAACTTTGCCCTCAGTTAAGCAAGGATTGTAATCTTGGGTGTGTACATCGGTCATACTAATATGATGTTAAGTGTACCAAAACTAAAGCCCCAACCCTCAATTACAGTTATTACTCTATGTTTAAACTAGGAAACTGATTCTTGGTTTATACAATCATCGTACTAAGAGGATGTGAAGTTTTCCAATTTCAGGGCTTGAAACACATTAATTACATACTCTTTGTCCTTTGCTCAAATTTCGTGTTTTGGCCAAAGGGATCATGAAACAATCTTAAACTTTGCTTAGCCTTTCATTCATGATGTCTCTTTTCATGATTTTTTCTGTGATTGGCTAATTCAAAACTTAAAAAATGGTTTTAGAGTTTTGATTGATATGTGATTCAGTGTCCTGAACATAACTTTGCTTTCATTTAAATTAGTATAATGAAACTTGGTGTATATATTGGTCGTACTAAAGAGGATGTGTTGTGTAGCAAATTCAGGCCCTGAAATTATGGATTTATTGTCCTTTATTAGAATTTCAGGTCCAAGAAATGCCTTAATCAGTAAGCACATGTATATGTTTTTGTTCATTTGTGATAACAAAGTCTTCATACTTTCAGACATCCTCTGCTGGTCAGTCTACAGGAACTGCAACACCCTCCACTGCCCCTGGAGCCACACCTGGAGCCACACCTGTTGTTACCAGGGCTAGTACTGACCCGTACGTGTTCCTGGAGGTTGGGCCTGACAATGCTGTCACTGTCAATAGTATTACAGCCCATGTCATATCCTCAGAACAGGAGGTCCCCAACACCTCAGGACCAAGCACAGGTAAATATAGACAGTGTCAAGTCCCCAACACCTCAGGACCAGGTACAGGTAAATATAGACAGTGTCAAGTCCCAAACACCTCAGGACCAAGTACAGGTAAATATAGACAGTGTCAAGTCCCCAACACCTCAGGACCAAGTACAGGTAGATATAGACAATGTCATGTCTCCAACACCTCAGGACCAGGTACAGGTAAATATAGACAGTGTCAAGTCTCCAACACCTCAGGACCAGGTACAGGTAAATACAGACAGTGTCAAGTCTCCAACACCTCAGGCCCAAGTACAGGTAAATACAGAGTGTCAAGTCTCCAACACCTCAGGACCAAGTACAGGTAAATACAGACAGTGTCAAGTCTCCAACACCTCAGGACCAGGTACAGGTAAATATAGAGTGTCAAGTCCCCAACACCTCAGGACCAAGCACAGGTAAATATAGACAGTGTCAAGTCCCCAACACCTCAGGACCAAGTACAGGTAAATATAGACAGTGTCAAGTCCCCAACACCTCAGGACCAGGTACAGGTAAATATAGACAGTGTCAAGTCCCCAACACCTCAGGACCAGGTACAGGTAAATACAGACAGTGTCAAGTCTCCAACCCCTCTGGACCAAGCACAGGTAAATATAGACAGTGTCAAGTCCCCAACACCTCAGGACCAGGTACAGGTAAATACAGACAGTGTCAAGTCTCCAACACCTCAGGACCAAGTACAGGTAAATACAGACAGTGTCAAGTCTCCAACACCTCAGGACCAGGTACAGGTAAATATAGACAGTGTCAAATCGCCAACACCTCAGGACCAAGTACAGGTAAATATAGACAGTGTCAAGTCCCCAACACCTCAGGACCAAGCACAGGTAAATATAGAGTGTCAAGTCCCCAACACCTCAGGACCAGGAACAGGTAGATATAGACAATGTCATGTCTCCAACACCTCAGGACCAGGTACAGGTAAATATAGACAGTGTCAAGTCTCCAACACCTCAGGACCAAGTACAGGTAAATACAGACAGTGTCAAGTCTCCAACACCTCAGGACCAGGTACAGGTAAATATAGAGTGTCAAGTCCCCAACACCTCAGGACCAAGCACAGGTAAATATAGACAGTGTCAAGTCCCCAACACCTCAGGACCAGGTACAGGTAGATATAGACAGTGTCAAGTCCCCAACACCTCAGGACCAGGTACAGGTAAATACAGACAGTGTCAAGTCTCCAACCCCTCTGGACCAAGTACAGGTAAATATAGACAGTGTCAAGTCCCCAACACCTCAGGACCAAGTACAGGTAAATATAGACAGTGTCAAGTCCCCAACACCTCAGGACCAGGTACAGGTAAATAAAGACAGTGTCAAGTCCCCAACACCTCAGGACCAGGTACAGGTAAATACAGACAGTGTCAAGTCTCCAACCCCTCTGGACCAAGCACAGGTAAATATAGACAGTGTCAAGTCCCCAACACCTCAGGACCAAGTACAGGTAAATACAGACAGTGTCAAGTCTCCAACACCTCAGGACCAGGTACAGGTAAAGATAGACAGTGTCAAATCCCCAACACCTCAGGACCAGGTACAGGTAAATATAGACAGTGTCAAGTCTCAGGTAAATATAGAGTGTCAAGTCCCCAACACCTCAGGACCAGGTACAGGTAGATATAGACCATGTCATGTCTCCAACACCTCAGGACCAGGTACAGGTAAATATAGACAGTGTCAAGTCTCCAACACCTCAGGACCAGGTACAGATAAATATAGACAGTGTCAATATCGGTACAGGTAAATACAGTCAGTATCAGTACAGGTAAATACAGTCAGTATCGGTACAAGTAAATACAGTCAGTATCGGTACAGGTAAATACAGTCATTATCGGTACAGGTAAATACAGTCAGTATCGGTACAGGTTAATACAGTCAGTATCGGTACAGGTAAATACAGTCAGTATCTGTACAGGTAAATACAGTCAGTATCGGTACAGGTAAATACAGTCCGTATCTGTACAGGTAAATACAGTCAGTATCGGTACAGGTAAATACAGTCAGTATCGGTACAGATAAATACAGTCAGTATCGGTACAGGTAAATACAGTCAGTATCGGTACAGGTAAATACAGTTAGTATCGGTACAGGTAAATACAGTCAGTATCGGTACAGATAAATGCAGTCGGTATTGGTACAGGTAAATACAGTCAGTATCAGTACAGGTAAATACAGTCAGTATCGGTACAGGTAAATGCAGTCAGTATCATTACAGGTAAATACAGTCAGTATCCGTACAGATAAATACAGTCGGTATTGGCACAGGTAAATACAGTCAGTGTCGGTACAGGTAAATACAGTCAGTATCCGTACAGGTAAATACAGTCAGTGTTGGTACAGGTAAATACAGTCAGTGTTGGTACAGGTAAATACAGTCAGTATCAGTACAGGTAAATACAGACATCAAATCCCAAATACCCTTGGGCAAAGCCCATGTAAATACAGACTGAATCAATTCCCCATTGCCCCTAGGCTAAGATAGAGACTGTCTCAAGTCCCCAATACCCTTGGGCAAAGCACAGGTAAATACAGACAGTATCAAGTCCCCAATACCCCTGGGTCAATACAGGTAAATACAGACTGTATCAAGTCCCCAATACCCCTGGGTCATTACAGTTAAATACAGACTGCATCAAGTCCCCAATACCCCTGGGTCAATACAGGTAAATACAGACTGCATCAAGTCCCCAATACCCCTGGGTCAATACAGGTAAATACAGACTGTATCAAGTCCCCAATACCCTTGGGTCAATACAGGTAAATACACACAGCATCAAGTCCCCAGTACCCCTGGGTCAATACAGGTAAATACAGACTGTATCAAGTCCCCAATACCCCTGGGTCAATACAGGTAAATACAGACTGCATCAAGTCCCCAATACCCCTGGGTCAATACAGGTAAATACAGACTGTATCAAGTCCCCAATACCCCTGGGTCAATACAGGTAAATACAGACTGTATCAAGTCCCTAATACCCTTGGGCAAAGCACAGATATAGGATAATCAAAATAAAAGATATTAATTGAGTTACCATTAAATTTTCTTTTTATGTACATTTTTAAATGAAAAACAACTATAGGAAGATTACAAAATATATTATAATATATATAGTATTTTATAAAATATTGCAGTGTTAAAAAAAGTTGAGGAAAGATTAGCATGTTCTTTGATGTAATAATAAACAAAATGTATGTAATGGACATATTCTTTTGAGAGACAGAGAGAAAGGGCTCTAAATTGGCTAATTTTTTGAAAACCACACATCTCTTTCGTTAAATGTTATCAGAAAAATATTTTAACAAAGTAATAGTGGTAGACTAGGAAAATCTGTAGTGAATTGGACGGCCATTGCTTGATGAAGGCTAATCAGGGAAAAGCTTCCCCTCTACCAGGGAAATTTCTCTCTCACTTTTAAAACTAGTACAGCAATGCTGTGACAAGCATATATGATATGAAGATAAACCATATGTGAATTGGTAATTATGCTTGTGATATTACCAGCTTTTTACACTGTTTACTGTTTCTTTGATGTTGGTTAACTAAGGATTCAACAAAAATTATCAGAATGGTATTCTAATTTTAGGTTCCACAAACACAGCCCCACAGGGTGTTCATGTTCAAGGTCACAATGTAACACAGGACATCATCAACAACATTGTGAGCTCAGTTATGCACGCCCATACCGGTAGGTAATAGTATAGAGGAGTCACCTGTCATGTCAGTCATGCATACCCATACTGGTTTGTATAAGTACATAGGACTTACCTGTCAGTGCAGTCAGGCATGTCCATACTGGTAGGTGATATCATTCAGGAGTCATCTGTCAGCTCAGTAATGCACACTCATACTTATAGGTAACATTGTGCAGAACTCACCTGTCAGCTCAGTCATGCATGCCCATACTGGTAAGTATTATTGAATGGGACTCATGTGTCAGCAGTCATGCACGCCCATGCTGGTAAGTATAATTGCACAGGACTTACTGTCAGCTCAGTCATGTACATCCATGCTGGTCAGTATTATTGTACAGGTCTCACCTGTCAGCTCAGTCATGTACGTCCATGCTGGTCATACAGGTCTCACCTGTCGTCAGTCATACGCTGGTCAGTATTTACAGGTCTCACCTGTCAGCTCAGGTCTCACCTGTCAGGTCTCACCTGTCAGCTCAGTCATGTACGTCCATACTGGTCAGTATTAGTGTACAGGTCTCACCTGTCAGCTCAGTCATGTACGTCCATACTGGTCAGTATTAGTGTACAGGTCTCACCTGTCAGCTCAGTCATGTACGTCCATACTGGTCAGTATTAGTGTACAGGTCTCACCTGTCAGCTCAGTCATGTACGTCCATACTGGTCAGTATTAGTGTACAGGTCTCACCTGTCAGCTCAGTCATGTACGTCCATACTGGTCAGTATTATTATATAGTATTCACCTGTCAGCTCAGACATCCATATTGGAAGGTGTCAGTATACAGGATTAGCCTGCCGGTCATGTACACACATTATGATAGGTATTATAGATTTAGAGACTATATATTTACAGGATTTTGATTGAAATGTTGATTGAAGGCTTTGTTTCCCCAACAATTATATGATGAAGTTTATGTTTAAATCACCCTTCATCTGTGGTTCATTGTCCATTTGTCATTCTGTCATTCGGACACTATACAATTCTTGTTATCTCCATTTCTTGAGAAGTTCTTGATGAATCATCTTCAAATTTCATATACAGAATCCTTTACTTGTGCATGTTTAATTTTGAGACATAACAAAAAGACAAAAAAATGTTTTCTCTATTTCTAAAGAAGTACGAGATGAAAGGTAGTAGATGAATCATTCTAAAATTTCCTTTATAGATTCCACATGGTCCTTAGTTTAGCATGTTCATTTTTAGGACTGATGGAGAAAAATGGTTGATGGATGACTATTGCATTTTGAGATTTAGATTTTTCTGTTTGTGGTTTTTCTCAAGTACAAGAAATGTGTTTCTCAAATTTTGTATGTGGTCTATATTTGTGTATATTGAATTTTTGGACTGCTCTAAAAATCAAAATGGCCAACAGTCAGCACTATTAGATTTTGAAGTTGAAGTTTGTTATCATTGTTTATTGTGAGGTGTTGTATGAACTTATATTCTGTTGACATCGCCAACCTGAAGAAAATGTTTCGAAATATTAAATTTTATTTCTTTTGTTCCCTTCGGTCCTGACCTAGTTGTGCAAATCTAATTACGGGATATAAATAAGAAAAAAGAGAAATGGCTGAAGGCAGCCATATTGGATTTTGGATATTGGATAAATTTGTTAGCACAATTACTTGAGAAATACTGAATGGATAATTCTCGTATTTCTTGTGTTTGTTCTCTATCCTACTTATTTGTGCATTGGCTGTCTTGGCTGCAGTTGATCATCACAGTGACTGTATTTTAAGATGTTCTGGAGAGATCATATGCTTATTTGATCCTCTTGGCCCTATTTGTGCCTACACAGATTTGATCATTAGAGGTTTGGGAATAAGACGAGAAATGATCCAACTGATGAAGCACCATTGAAGTCGATAACAGTTATGCTTCCAAATTACCTGAGAGAGTTCTTGTCTTTTGATTCTGGTTGACAAGGTTACCAACTGCCAGGCTGGTATGTAGATATATAATGACAAAATGCTTGTGGTGGGGATCTATTTTGAAAGAATGGGTTTGAAGATGTAAAGATTTCTCCTTCAAATAGGCCCAAGAATAGGACCAGGTCATGTGTTAGGCGTAGATCCAAACAGTCTACGTTTAAGAAGGAGTACATTTCCCTCATCATCTGCCAATACAGCTCAAGCCGGTAGCCAAACCACGTCACAGAGTTCAAACACCTCGGGGACCCAGACCAGCACCCCTGCTTCCGGGCCATCAAACACTTCAGGCACTCAAACGTCAAATGCACCTACTAACTCATCCGGGACACAGACTGGAGTGCGTGCACCACAAGCCGCAGCTTTTGTTGTGCCGGGAATGCCAGCGATGATGCAGCGAATTCCAACTGCCGGAGCAGCCTCTGCCGACCCTTTCCTTCCCTGTGCATCTCGTCACTTCCTCCGGCACCAGGCCAGGAACGTAAGTCTCTGTAACATATGTGTAAAAAGTTTAAAGAGAGTTGAATGTGAAGACAAAATTCCATAACATTTATATGTTTGAAGACTTCAGCCTCTTGGTAGAGTTACACAAGTGCGGAAACATTGAGCTATAAAAAAAACCTTGTGATTAATTTTTTTTTTTTTTTAGCTATAAGTAAGTGCACAATGTATTTTTGTATCTCTCGATGTCATGAGTCATGAATGATTCAATTGGCAGTGGATTGATTATGTCACATAAATATGATGTCAGAAATTGATTCTTTAGACAAACTCTTGAGAGAGTACATTTATCACTGCAGTTTGAGTGTCTAATATTGTGAACATTTTTGAGATATACAGGAATACACAGTGTACTTATAGTTAAATGTATAGTATAGAAACTGTAGCAAATTAAGTAGATTTTTTTTATACACCAACTTAGGAAAGTTAGGGGATATGGTATATAGTAGTCACTTTGTCAATGTGTCCAGGGATGAGTGTGGGAGTCAGTGACAGCCTTGTGGATAAGATACTTCATGAACTCCTAAACATGTTTGGTTCATATTCATTTCATACACAAGGTCTACACCTGATTAGAAGTTTTGTGGTCATTGGTCAAAAATAAAGATCAAAGGTCAATCTTGGCCACTTTGAAATAAAAAAGCTTGTGTAGAAGATGTTTCATGACCCTAGAAAAATTAGTTAAAATTCACACCATAGCATTACAACGCTAAGGATTACACTTGGAAAGATTGATGGTAGTTACAGGTCAAGGCTAGAGGTCAAAGGTCACCCTTGACAACTTCAAACTGCAAATAAAAATATATGTACATGTGATCCTCTGCTCACATTGTTAAGAAGGTGAGTGTGTCTGAAAGTGAATTATCAACCAAAGTGAAATATAGTCATGTTGATGAAATTTTCGGGTGAAAACATGAAATTTTGGTGACTTTTAGAAACTTAAAACACACCTTGAATGAGCCATGAATATAAGCATGTAGAACAGGCTTGATAATATATAGGAAGATGTTGCAAACAGTACTCAGGTGGATGGTGGAGTGTTGTAGCGTTAATGTATTCACCTCTCACCTAAGGGGCCAGAATTTGATTTCCTGATTGGATTTGAAAAAGGAATGGGGGTCACCTGCTCAACCACATTTCCCTGGGTGCTCCATTTTCTTCCTCCTCACACATTTCAGTCAGGGCTAACAAGAGTGATTAGTATTAGCTGATGGTTTGTTTTGCAATTGTTGTAAAAATAAATGAAAATTATGTTTATTGTTTTACACCTATAAATCATATATAAATATGTATGTAAACAAAAACCTTTTTAGAACAACAATACACCTGAGAATCAAGGGGTAAATGCTGGAGGTATAATTGGGGAGTTCCTCAGTAACCTGGCTGGAGAGGTAAACCCCCATCTTCAGGGAATGCCCCACCCAAACAGGACACCCACATCAACATCTGCTTCAGGAGCAGCCACAAGTCAGACATCTACATCTGTTTCGTCATCTTCCAACTCCTCTTCAACATCGTCCACTTCTAGTACGACCAGTACCTCCAATATGGGGACAGGCTCCATGCCCTTCAACCCTTTTGCAGGTTTGTTTGGTGCCATAGGGGGTGCTCCCCCAACTGGGATAAATATACGAATGCCTGCGGGAATGGCTGGAATGCCACGAATGCAGGGAATACCAGGAATGCCAGGAATGCCTGGAATGCCTGGAATGCCTCATGGTATGCCTTTTCTACCAGGCCTGGCATCAATGTTTGGACAGGCAGGCCATCGCCCAGCAGCAGGAACTAACCAAAGCAATAGTAGCTCCACTACTACGTCCACCACCTCAACAGGGACAAGTCAGACATCTCCAACAGCAGGAGCGGAGCCTGCATTTGTACAGCAGCTCAGAAACCTTCTACAGACAGGAATGGTGAGTTAGAATCAAATAAAGTCACAGTTAAACTCAACTCATGCTTTACATATTTCTAGTTCAATGCTTTTTGTTCAAGTTTAGTGTAATTTGAATATTGTGTTGTATATTGAGCAACACTACAGAATTCATGGTAAATGTTGATATGGCTCTGATTCCTAATGTATTTAGCAGGCTCTACTTAGAGAAGCTTTAAATATATATATACATTTCTGCAAAACTATAAGAGGTATCAACATTAATTTCACAGGTAGATAAATCTCAACAAGGAGAAGTGCAGTGCACTAGACCCATCACCCTCTTTTGCTTAATTTGAGAGTTATTGCCCTTTGTTACTTTTCATACATAGATTTTATCTGAAGCATTACACTAAAACTATAGGAGGTATCAACATGAAACTTCATAGGTAGATAGATTTCAACAAGGAGAAGTGCATTGTTCAAGAATCAAAACTCTATTATTGCCCCTTGTTTATTTTCATGCTTAATAAATTTGTCCCTTTCGGGAAGCGTAACCCGTCTCCAACGGCCCTTGTCATAATATCAAATAAACGTACTGACAGTGGGGTTGCCAATTAGTTTTTCATTTTATTATCATGCAAGAATAAAAGAATTTGTACGATACTTAAGCTATATGTGATTTTTAATATTGTTTTCTAAGGGTTCAATGCCCTCACCAGCTGCTGGAACACCCAACACAGGAGCAACACCTACCCCTCCAGCTCCGGCTCCAGCTGCAACTCCAACTGCAACTCCAGCTGCAACTCCAGCTCCGACTCCAGCCCCAAGCACCCAGGGGACGACTCAAGGAACAAGCACAGGAACAGACCCAACTAGCACCACATCACAACCAGTGATGACAGACGAGGCATTCACACAGCTAGTACAAGGCATTGGGTCTATGATCACCCAGACAGCTGTTGGACAGCCTCCTTCACAGACACTTGCTGAATTTCTTGGCTCCTTAGGGGATGGTTATAATATGGCACAAGGAGAAGGTAGGTGTACAGGGCATTGGTGGGGACAGTTAGATCAGATGATGGTCCACATGGGCAAACTATATCACTAATACTTACTATAATACATAAATCTGCAATTCACTCCTAAAGAGGGCCGGTTTCCAAAACGGCCCCTTCTCTGATTCAAATTTCCTGTTGGTGGTGCATTGCCCATGCCGTTGTGGTCACAAATCTATAAAGTATAAAGATTTAGGTCACTTGGTTTGTTTTTTATGGCTCCTCAAAGTTGTACCTTTCAGAAGCTGTCTAAGTGTTGATAAAATGTGCACGTTATGTAAAATATTGATGAAAATCTAATCAAATGATAGTTACCGTAAAGAATACATTCATGGCATGATTGTGACAAAAAATCATGTTTCCATCGCGCCATTTGGCTGTTTTATGGAAGAAACAATCTCAAAAATGCCATTTTCGATGATAATATTTTAGACACAAAAACTGTGTTTTTTAAAGAATACACCCTTTTATGGGCGTTGGATGCAAACCAATTTTTATCCTATTAAATAGTACGTAATATGCTATTGATGAGAGGAAAAATCATCAAAATGTAAGTGGTGGAACATTTTCAAATGTTGGGTTGAATTAGCCTATGGTTGAATTGCCGATTTTCGACTTTCTTTAGATAATTCACAAAAAAACGAGAGTATTTGCTTGGTATGTTGAGAATATGTACACAGATATGAAAGAAAGTGAGAGAAACACTTTTTCATAAAAAAATCCAAGATGGCTACTTCGCAAGTCCCCGTGGTTGAAGACATTGGCTGACAAATAGACAGAACAACAAACAAAAAGTGTTCCTTATGATTTTGGTTGGTTTTTGCATTTACGGGATTGTTCATAGCTACGGGCGATTGTATAATACCTATATTTATAAGTTTGGTTAGTCACATGGTAACGGGGATCTTTCATATCGAGCCCCAAACATACTTTCGACATATGCACTCTGTTGCCACATGGAAAACTATTTCAAGTTTTGTCGGAATTTCTTTACCTATGGTTGTAATGGTCAAGGGTTTTCCAGCGTCCTGTAATACCCAAGGTAGTACAAGATACTGGAGATGTGCGCACACATTTCCATCGTTCTCTCTCCAAGTAATCAAGATCGAGACGGGGAAACAGTACTTCATTTATTTATTTTTTTTTTTTTACATCATAAAACTGTCATGAAAATATCCGCTCTGATATTCAATATAAAAGTTTGTATATAATAAGCTATATAATAGGGTTTCAGACAAGGTTGTTACTCATTTCCCCTTTTCTTTCAATTTACAACCACATTCAGGCGGCGATATGAGAATGTTCCACCACATGGAATTAGCTGATTTTTGGTACACATATGAAACAAGTAAAGCTCTATCCGATTTTTGATGGAAATTTGCATCCAAAACTATATAACGGGAGAAAATTGCAAATTTATGGCATTTTTCTTCATAATTGTGTCTCTGCAAGTGCATTTTCATCTGAGAATATTTTTTTTTTATGTTTTATGAATAAACACGATGTTTTGGAAATATTTATCAAAAGAAATTTATACTATGTTGCGAATTACAATTTCGACATAACCTTCTTTTATTTACGAACTTATTATGTCTTTGATGCTGAAATTGACAACTTTATAAAAATACATTTTCACTGAAATTATGAAATCTGGGTGTCGGAAAGGTGTAAAATTATTTTTCCGGAAAAGAAAAAAACAGTAGTTGAGCTAGATAAGAAATTATACGGGGGCAGGCTCCTATGGAGAATTAACATTACTGGAAACAGGCCCTTTGCTCAAGAGTTGTTAAATTTTCTTCCTGAAATGAGACAAAAAGGCTATATCCCAAATTGATAGAAAATTAAAAAAAAAAATAAGGTATTGCTTTACAAGAATCACTAACTATTTGTATATCCAAGTTACACTGAACAGAACCTATCAACTAGGGAAATTTCAGCAAAATATGTGCTTTGAGAGGTCCAGATCATGTCAAGACCCCATGTGATTTACTGGGTTGATTTCAATAAAAAGTTCATAGCATGACCATCATGTGTAGCTGTGTGTGCATCTCTTATTTTTGCCATTGAATCTGAGGTCTCAAAGAATCAAAACGTGATTGTATATGAAATTTCTTATCTTGATGCAGAACTCAAAGGGTCACTAGGGGACAGTTGTCATGTTACACAAGAGATGAAAAGGTGAAGGATAACAGTGTATCACAATGGCCTTTTCATGGTTTCATCAGTAGGAAATATATTTATCACAACTGCCATATCTCTATCCTTCAATAAACACAAGGAGAAAAGGAGAAACTTAAAATAGGGGAGGTGGCTTACTACTGGTAAATTATAAAGGCACTAGAACTAGAAGATGAGAGCTTATTTACCAGGCATCAGCTTATTGCTGCAGAGATATGGTCTAATGTTTCTCCAGAAGATGATAAATTCATCAGGAAACAATATAGCAGATCAATGTTAAGCCTTTATGAATCTTTACAAGGTCATTAGTGCATAGTTACGATCACAGTAGCTGTATGTTGCCTGTTACGAGTGAATGCTCCTGTTTACAGTGCACTTGATATGTATATTTGTATTAGAAATAGACTTTTTTTTTTTATAGGATTATAACTTATACATCGTGTGACTGTTTCAGGATTCTTCAATGATGTCTACTCATGTCTTTCATCCCATCTCACATTTCCTGACCTCGTGCAAGTTTTCTACGGCAATAGGGCACCTCTACAAAACGTGCGTGTACCGTTACAGGATTTCTTACGACAGCGTGTGTTGGAGGGCAGAGAACCAACAATGGAAAACATAACAGAAGCCTCCAACAGACTTGTGGAGGAGATGTCGGAGGAGATTGAAGCATGTGCAGTATGTGTAGGCTCCTAGGGAGTGGAATATAATATCACTGTGGGGGCAGGGCAGAAAACATACATACAGGAAGAAGTGAGGATGTGAAGAGGAAGAAAACAGTACTGTGTACACAGTGTTCTGGGATGGGGGAGAGGAGAATAGATAACAGTTTTACTGTATGTGTGAACAGTGTGCTGGGATGGGGGAGAGGAGAGATAACAGTTTTACTGTATGTGTGTACAGTGTGCTGGGATGAGGGAGAGGAGAATAGATAACAGTTTTACTGTATGTGTGTACAGTGTGCTGGGATGAGGGAGAGGAGAATAGATAACAGTTTTACTGTATGTGTGTACAGTGTGCGGGGATGAGGGAGAGGAGAATAGGTAACAGTTTAACTGTATGTGTAACTTTGTGGCGAGGTAGGGGACAACCAGATAGACAACTGTATTATATGTCACAATATGTTAAACCTGTCTGTTGAGAGTTGGAGATTATGTCACAAGTAGTTCTGTGCGGAGCCGCAGAAGAATTTGTTGTAGTAAATGGTTATAAGATTTTAGAGTACAGTTTCATTCTATGGTTTGGGAGAAACACTAATCGTATGTAAAACTAAATGTGACCTTGTTACCATTTATGTTGATGACAATTTTATCATTTAGAACATTTGTCATTTTCAGAATGTTGCAGAGGCTAAGCCTGACATAGATATGGTGGAGACTCTGAACAATTTTTTTAGACAACAATTTAGTGCCACAGTCCGCATGATCATGTTAGCAGATGGTTTGTATTTCTACACCTAAGTTTAATAGTTGAGAGAACTTGTGCCAGGTACAGCTACATCATGGTGCAGCTTAATAATGATGCAGGTTAAATCAGTGCAGCTGCATCATTGTACAGCTTCATTATAGCAGAGCTCTATCATGGTACAACTTATAGGTACAGCTCTTGCTTGTCCAAACCAGGAGAGAAAAAAAAGGTATTATTTCTGAAATGGACATAGGTCATCATTTAGACGAAGAGATAGATTATTTTTTAAATTTTAATTAGTTTTTAATTTAAAGTTTGGATTTGATATGCATGGAGTAAGATATGTCAAAGTGAGGCTCCATTTTCAGAATGTTGATGTTGATCAGTATATTCCTTTTTGCAGAATCTAACACAAATTTTGGTAACCAGTTTTATGAGCGAATGCGGATGAGTTTGGCAGAACTGATTGTTCTCACAAGATCCTGTTTAGTGGAAGGCCAGACAGCATTACAGAGAATAATACAGAGCCGACTTGTAAGTCATCTACTATACAGAGTCAATTAGTAAATACTGGACAACCACAGCCTTTCTCTGTGTTGAAGAATGCCATTTCTTGATGCATACAACTTAACCATTCTCTGTTTTACAGTATACCATTACCTGGGGTGTAAAACTTAACCATTCTCTGTTTTACAGTATGTCATTACCAGGGGTGTAAAACTTAACCATTCTCTGTTTTACAGTATGTCATTACTTGGGATGTAAATCTTAACCATTCTCTGTTTTACACTATACCATTACCTGGGGTGTAAAACTTGACCATTCTCTGTTTTACAGTATGTCATTACCTGGGGTGTAAAACTTAACCATTCTCTGTTTTACAGTATGTCATTACTTGGGATGTAAATCTTAACCATTCTCTGTTTTACACTATACCATTACCTGGGGTGTAAAACTTAACCATTCTCTGTTTTACAGTATACCATTACCTGGGGTGTAAAACTTGACCATTCTCTGTTTTACAGTATACCGTTACCTGGGGTGTAAAACTTAACCATTCTCTGTTTTACAGAATGCCATGACTCGAGGTGTGAACCCTATGATCCAGCAGTGGATGTGTAATGTCATCACTCAACAACTGAACCAGTTCCTACCTACAATCACCATTACCGATGCCAACGTTCATTCCTATGTTGTTAAAAAAGGCACTAAAAAACAGACCTCAAACACATCAAAGAAAAATGAAGCCGCAACAGCAGTTGCCATGGAAACAAGTCCACCTATGGTGTCACCAGGTGCTTCTCAAGTAGATTCTCCAGAGGTTAGTAGCTTATCCAGCACAGACACTGTATCATTCTCCCAAGGTTATCAGGTTAGCACCCATGTACCAGTCACACTAGGTGCTGTATCATTCTCCCAAGGTTATCAGGTCAGCACCCATGTACCAGTCACACCAGGTACCGTATCATTCTCCCAAGGTTATCAGGTCAGCACCCATGTACCAGTCACACCAGGTACCGTATCATTCTCCCAAGGTTATCAGGTCAGCACCCATGTACCAATCAGCCCAGGTACTGTATCATTCTCTCAAGGTTATCAGGTCAGCACCCATGTACCAGTCACACTAGGTGCTGTATCATTCTCCCAAGGTTATCAGGTCAGCACCCATGTACCTGTCACACTAGGTACTGTATCATTCTCCCAAGGTTATCAGGTCATCACCCATGTACCAGTCACACTAGGTACTGTATCATTCTCCCAAGGTTATCAGGTCAGCACCCATGTACCAGTCACACTATGTGCTGTATCATTCTCCCAAGGTTATCAGGTCAGCACCCATGTACCAGTCACACTAGGTACTGTATCATTCTCCCAAGGTTATCAGGTCAGCACCCATGTACCAGTCACACTAGGTACTGTATCATTCTCCCAAGGTTATCAGGTCAGCACCCATGTACCAGTCACACTATGTACTGTATCACTCTCCCAAGGTTATTAGGTCAGCACCCATGTACCAGTCACACTATGTACTGTATCATTCTCCCAAGGTTATCAGGTCAGCACCCATGTACCAGTCACACTAGGTACTGTATCATTCTTTCAGTGTTCGTAGGTCACAATGCCTGTACTTTACTTATTCTAGGTTCTTCATACCCTACCATTGATAGACCATTGATTAAAAGTGGAACAATTCAGAATTTGTGAATTCATATAAATAATCGACCTTGGCCAACCTGTTCATCTGTGGAATTTACACAGTCATACATTTCTTGTTGAAAATGATAAAAAAATCATTGCACAGTTTCTATCTGTACACAGTATAAAATCAATTAATTGTTGAAATCTCGATAAGTCTTCCTAAATGAAAATATTTCATATTTCATAATAATACAGTATTTAATTATAACGGCATGTTAGATGTTTGTTACTTAGTTGAAAATGTAGGGTTTTGTGAAGATACCTGTTTGTGTGGATATACTTGTCGGGGAGGGGAGTTATATGTTGATATGTAGAGTTTACTGTGGGTGGGTGAAGTCACCTGTTTGCTTGTGGATTTACCTGTGGGTGGGTGAAGTCACCTGTTTGCTTGTGGGATTACCTGTTGGTCTGTGAAGTCACCTGTTTACTTGTAGATTTAACCGTGGGTGGGTGAAGTCATCTGTTTACTTTATGATTTACCTGTGGGTGGGTGAAGTCACCTGTTTGCTTGTGGGTTTACCTGTTGGTGGTTGGAGTTATATGTAGAATAGTTTAAACTGGATGTTATTTGTTTTGCTGGTTTGTAGCCAATGGAGACCCAAAACATCAACACTGGAGCATCAGTTGCACAGCCGCCACGTCCACAACCTGCTACAGCAGCAGCCACCAAAATTCCTGCTGCAAAGGTGAAAAAAGAGGAGCCCAAGGCAGACTCTCCAGGTGCAGCAGCAAGTGGCGAGTCCTGGGAGGTGGAGGTCAACCCTGTAAGTATATCAATTAATGTTTGATGAGGTAATTATGTTTATCTATCACTCTAAAATACACCAGGAATTCTCCATCAGGCTCTATATAGGGATATTGAAGTGGGGCTTGTCAGTCTATACACTTTTCAAGAGGCAACCATTAAAATTCACATCAAACATTTGTCAGACTGGCTGTGCCTTTTACTGTTGGTAGTATTGCTAATTGTTTGATGTCATGTTTGTTATGCATAGGAATGGGTACCAATCATAAACAGTGACATAGAGAAACAGAAACACCAGCGTCCTCAGCCAGCCTACAGTGATACTTACCTACAGGGCATGCCAGCCAAACGCAGGAAGGTCAGTCTATGTGTGGTCTTATCAATTATTAATTTAATAGATAATCTTTACTTTTCACAAGCCAATGGGTGAGTGACGTATCAAATTATTTAACAAGCTTAATTACTGCCATTTTACATAGACATTAGTGCAAAATTATATTTATCACATATTTTGGAAAAATAAGCAAAAAATCTTAAATAAATTTCTGATAGAAGATTGGTAAAATTTTGACTATGTAGTAACTATAATGTGACACCATGGAGACAAGACTGACTGATGTTCTCACACAAATTCACATGTGTTCAACGATATTGATGAAAGGGACATAAGACACAACAGGCCTGTTATGTGATAAAACTTTACAGTATGGCAGTACTGCACTTTCATTTTACTATCCCTCTTACATATGATCAAAATATTCACATTAAATGATCTGATTCTGCCTTGTTAACCTGGTGATGAAATGGTTATTTTTAGATAATGGGACATGAAAGTCAAGTGAATTTCTCAAATCCAGAAGAGTCGGTCCCTCTGTCTTTACGACGAGCAGTAGCAGCAGCAGGGGTTGAACCAATCAGCAGTCTTGAAAATATGACAAGTGAGGCATCGGACAATAATGAACTACAGCATGCTTTTGATGAGCAAGTGTTGAGCAGTATAAGAGATCGTTTGGACAGTGATAGTGATTATAGGCCTGAACAGTTCCCCAACACTGATCGCTACTATCATAAAAATAACAAAAAGTGAGTTTATATGGCCTACGTCGGTGGATTGTAAATACACGGCTTTATTATCAGTAAGGGTAAGCTTGACCTTGCCATTGGTGAATTTGTATGATTACTGTTCCAATGTGACCTTAATACCACAGAGAATGTGTCTCTGATAGATAACTTATAATACTGTGATATCGCAGAGAATGTTAGGTCAGGTCGGGTCAATGTCATAACCCATCAGTCTAAACACATCCAGTTGGGTCAGTGTTGTCACTTGTCTGTCTAAACACTCTCAGTTGAGTCACAGTCATCACCTATCAATCTAAACACTTTCTGTTGAGTTATAGTCATTACCTGTCAGTCTAAACACTTTCAGCTAGGTCAGTGTTGTAACCTGTCAGTCTAAACACTTTCAGCTGGGTCAGTGATGTAACCTGTCAGTCTAAACACTTTCAGCTGGGTCAGTGATGTAACCTGTCAGTCTAAACACTTTCAGCTGGGTCTGTGATGTAACCTGTCAGTCTAAACACTTTCAGCTGGGTCATTGGTGTAACCTGTCAGTCTAAACACTTTCAGCTGGATCAGTAATGTCACTTATTATTCTGAACACGTCATGTTTGGTCAGTGTTGTCGCCTGTGAGTCTTAACCCCTCAATCTGGTCAGTGTTCTAACCTGTCAGTCTTTACAAAGTCTTGCTTTGACCGTTAATCAAGGATGTTGCTGATCAACCTGAACAGTCATTAAGCCTTAATTAATTAAATGAGTGTTTTTTTATTAAAGTTTTGGGCTGTTATTCATATACTGCCCTGGCTGGCGCACTTAATCACAGACAATTATACCACATATAATTAAAGGACAGAACGATGGTCACATGATATTGGTTTTCAGAAGGATGGTCACATGATATTGGTTGACAGAACGATGGTCACATGATATTGGTTGACAGAACGATGGTCACATGATAATGGTTGACAGAACGATGGTCACATGATAATGGTTGACAGAACGATGGTCACATGATATTGGTTGACAAAACGATGGTCACACGATATTGGTTGACAGAACGATGGTCACACGATATTGGTTGTCAGAACAGTGACCAGACCTTTTTCACCTTTGGTAGCCAAAGATTATAGCCCAATTGTGGTTTTGGTGAATTATCGCCCAATTGTGGTTTTGATGAATTATAGCCCAATTGTGGTTTTGATGAGTTATAGCCCAATTGTGGTTTTGATGAATTATAGCCCAATTGTGGTTTTGATGAATTATAGCCCAATTGTGGTTTTGATGAATTATAGCCCAATTGTGGTTTTGATGAATTATAGCCCAATTGTGGTTTTGATGAGTTATAGCCCAATTGTGGTTTTGATGAATTATAGCCCAATTGTGGTTTTGATGAGTTATAGCCCAATTGTGGTTTTGATGAATTATAGCCCAATTGTGGTTTTGATGAATTATAGCCCAATTGTGGTTTTGATGAATTATAGCCCAATTGTGGTTTTGATGAATTATAGCCCAATTGTGGTTTTGATGAATTATAGCCCAATTGTGGTTTTGATGAATTATAGCCCAATTGTGGTTTTGATGAATTATAGCCCAATTGTGGTTTTGGTGAATTATAACCCAATTGTGGTGAAAGGATGAAATATAGGAAAAGATTGAAAGAGGAAAAAAGAAAACACTGATTTGGGAATTGTGGAAATCTTCACAATAATTGGAAAAAATGTGATGATAAAGGGGATTGAACACATTGGTGTATGTTGATTTTATGTGAATCCCCTTCAGTATATTATGCAAATGTCAAGGTGGCAATAACAACAGTTTCCATGTAGATTTGCCTTCGTTTTTGTTTTGTGATACATCAATATTAGTATTTTATGTGTACAATGTATGTTATATATAGTTTTAAGATATCAAGGTTTTATCTCACAATATCTGCGGAAAACTTATCCTGTTTGTTATTCGTCAGTCAAGTCCGATTCACCCATGTTTTGTCGTTCTTAACATACAGGTTTCCGGACATCAAAACAACACAGTAGTAGTAAAGAAGCCTAGCTCCTTAGTCTTTATTTAAAAAATCCAGGGATTATTCCTGCTGACTGAAATTGAAATTAAAAATTCTTTTAAATTATTTTTGTTACTTTTGTTTATAAATAGAATTATGTGATTACTTCCAAATATTGCTACCTGGAAATGTCTTTTAGATATTACATCATTATAGCAGGTAGAATCCTCTCCTTATCAGCAAGTCAAAAAGTGTTTTGTACAAAATTTTCAGGATGCCAAAGTCTAACTTGCATCTCAGAAGTGTTGGAATGTCAGAATAATGCTTGTGTCACAGAACTGCCAGGATTTTGAAATCCTTTGGACAGGGTATGGAGATTACTTTGCACCAAATATATCTTAATGTTTCTCTTTCATTCCAATTTCTAGGATGTAGAAATTTCCTCTGCAATACAAATGATCTTCGACAATTTTAAGGAAGTTAAAAATTATGTTGCTTCATTGAAAATCTACCCTGCAATGGGGAATTTCCAGGATCTCATTGAAAATTTTCCCAGCATGAAGAATTTAGAGGAACTCATTGAAAATCTACCCTGTATCAAAGAATTTCCATTAACTCAAAATCGCTGTCACATCAGACTTCTCAGGAAGTCAAAAAACCTTACCATACCAAAATCATCAGGAAGTTTTTAAATTGATTGCATCACAAAACTGCACCAGGAAAATTCAAAGCTCTCTTACATTATTGTGAAGAAAGTCAAAGTTTCACTCTCATTTAACACGAAAGTTGAATACTTGTTCAACAAATTAGTTAAGCCATTAAGCTCACTCTCTCTGAATCTCTTAATCACAGAATTTTCTTGAGGTTTAAAGAGTTAACGATTTTTAATGACGTGAAGCTTAAATTTGCATTACAAATTTGACTGAAAATTCAAAAATTGTCTGGTATCACAGAATCTCTCTTATGTCTTATGACAGAATTATCAGGAAAATCAAACCGTCTTATTGTGATGAAAGTGTTTAAAAGTCGGTTGGACTTGCTCTTCAGAATTGTCAATAAGCCGTCTTAATCTCTAAAACATGGAGAATTATTTTTCTCAAACATGAAACACTTTTCAGGTAGTTCATATTTCCTAGGTCACTGAATTTGCAGGAAGATGATATTGTTAACATCACTGAATTTGCTGCAGTGAAAGTTTTTTAAGGGAGAATTTTACATTACACTGATGCTTGCTTTACAGAATTTTAGGGACATCAGAATCTCTCTCTTCTCATAAAATCTATCCTTCAGAAAATTTTCCAAAAGGTGAAAACCAATTAGGTACCACTTTAAAGAATATCAGTTGTGTTGCCGAAGTCTGAAAGTGGTAATGCACTATCGCCAAGTGAAAATCTGTCCTGGTTTCAAATATTGCTTACCATGGTAAATCATATATTCTTTCTTAAATCACAGAATTGAGAGGATGTTTAAACAACTTTTGAAATCACAAAAGTGTTGTGGAAAAGAAGGATGCTTGCTTCACATCGTTTTTATTCAGTGAAATCCCCCAAGTCCACAGAAAGTTTATCATGTAGTGAAAAATTCGCGATCACACTCCATACAAAAAGGGTTTTACAGTTGGAATGACGCGTGCTTTACAGGAAGTCGGAATAACAATCGTATTTACGTCATGATATAGTCAAGAAAGTGCCAATTTTTCTGTGCATATTCAGGGTGTATGAAAATCGGTCATATGTAAGAATTTTTATGGGATTTGTAGGGAAGTGAAAGTCACTATCAAATCGCTATCTATTCACGAAATTCAAAATCTCGCATGGATTATGAAGCTGGTAGGAAAGTGATGATCTTGCAGTATAAAAGTCAAAATCACAAACATTTCACAACATTATCTGGAGAGTCAAAATCACAAACATTTCACAACGTTGTCTGAAGAGTCAAAATCACAAACATTTCACAATGTTTTATGGAGAGTCAAATTCACAAGCAGGTGACACGTATATAAGACGGCGTGTAGTACAAAGCTCTCTTGTTCTGTGTTGTTTTTCGTTGATTGTTCAACAGCTTTTCTAGTTCATTGATATGACGAGTCCAATCCAGGTAATTGCCTTGATAATGTTAAGGGTGACTCTCACCTAACCTAGGACGTAATCTTACCGTCTTAAGCAGCATAAAGAACTAGTCACTGTTTTAGCATAGTAAAGCCCCATTGCTGTCACCCAATATTGTAACTCTTCTCAAAGACTTCTGTATAAAGATATATCTTTTGTAAACTACAACAGCGAAGCATGTCCGACCTTTGTTACTTACTTCCGTGTAATATACATACATTTATTTATCATTTACGGCTGCCATCTTTTATTGTCATGAAGCACTCACGATCAACAGGCGTGTATGTTCGAACTGACTTAATAAATCCCGCACCGGAAACCGGAGGGGACATTATTTTTGTAACCGTCCATTCCCTCCGCCATTTTGTCCACTCCCCATCCTCTACACAACTAATCACGGGACTTATTACTTGAGGTCTTCACCTTGTTGAGGTGGTATATCTCGTATCGAAAGTAGTTCTTACTTCGGATATGGGTTCACATTGTTGAAACGGCGTGTCTCGTATCCAAAGTAGGTCACTTTGACATGCATTTTGACCTAAGACCTTTATCAACGAAAAGGTGTGTCCGGGGCCATATCTTTTACAAAACTAATCACGTGGACTTAATGCTTTGGATATAGGTTCACTTTCGTAAAATGGTGTGTCGCGTATCAAAAGTAGGTCACTCTGACCTACCTTTTGACTTTTGTCCTACATCAAAGAAAAAGTTTCTCTGAACCCTATCGTCTACACTGCTAATTGCGAGAACTTCGTACTGTGGGTATGAGAGAACCTAGATGAGACGTTGACTTAATACTTAGGATGTGGGTTCACCTTGGGGTTCCGGTAAGCGTCTGTAATTCGCCAAATGGTCTTGTTCCTGTAAACTGACAAGATAACTTGAACTGACTTTCATTGATCAATAAATATATATATTCCTAATTCTCATGGGAATGCGTGGTATTATTTGATTGACTAATATTTACACGGCGTGTGTCGTCGATGAAGTAGAAGACGCTTTTCATTCCGGAACAGTTTCTCCTTGTTCCCCGCTTCATTGGATCAGTGTAATCATAATTTGCCCATGTTTTATCGTTTTTGTCATTTTGTTAACACGTCAATAACTTTTTGGTGCATTTTACTTAAGAATAGATTGTTAATCTCGAACACCGAGAGTAAAAAAATCACTTGACAGATATATCGTATTTATAAATTCTGTCTGTTAGTGCCAGTCCCACGATATAGTTCAAAGTGAACTGCTTACCAGGAATACACAGTGTGTTATCAATGTCTGAAATTATACACAATAATGTGTTAAGTTGTAATTCACTGATCAGGACAAGAAACAAAATAACACCGATAGTGCAGTTTAATCAACGTAATGTGTAGTTCGCCCGATTGGCCTGATAATAGAAAGAACATCTGATATTTATATTTCAAATGTCTGTTGAAATGAGTAACCTCTATTTTCGGAATCATGGGCGGCGCTGAAAACGACGCCTGTTGGTGTTAGTCATACCGAATTTTCTTTTTCAACTCGTGCTGCTATGAAATCATCTGTTATCGTAATTAGGTACATCACCGTACTGTGTATATAACTAATGCAGTTGGCACATTCTGAAGTTTATAATCCTACACCACCTCAATCTCAAACAAGCATTTCAATATCTTTTAGACGGAACACTCATTTTGCCAAAGTTATGATCTGATGAACAAGTTGTCGATATAATTTGTATTTACACTGGCAATGCTAGAGTATATATAGATCATACTCTACTGTATTCACACTGACGGTATCAGGGTATGTATTCACACTGACGGTATCGGGGTATGTATTCACACTGACGGTATCAGGGTATGTATTCACACTGACGGTATCGGGGTATGTATTCACACTGACGGTATCGGGGTATGTATTCACACTGACGGTATCGGGGTATGTATTCACACTGACGGTATCAGGTTATTTATTTACACTGACGGTATCAGGGTATGTATTCACACTGACGGTATCAGGGTATGTATTCACACTGACGGTATCGGGGTATGTATTCACACTGACGGTATAGGGTATGTATTCACACTGACAGTATCAGGTGATGTATTCACACTGACGGTATCAGGGTATGTATTCACACTGACGGTATCATGTTACGATTCACACTGACGGTATCAGGGTATGTATTCACACTGACGGTATCAGGGTATGTATTCACACTGACAGTATCAGGTGATGTATTCACACTGACGGTATCAGGGTATGTATTCACACTGACGGTATCATGTTACGATTCACACTGACGGTATCAGGGTATGTATTCACACTGACGGTATCAGGGTATGTATTCACACTGGCGGTATCAGGGTATTTATTCACACTGACGGTATCGGGGTATGTATTCACACTGACGGTATCAGGGTATGTATTCACACTGACGGTATCAGGGTATGTATTCACACTGACGGTATCAGGGTATGTATTCACACTGACGGTATCATGTTACGATTCACACTGACGGTATCAGGGTATATATTCACACTGACGGTATCAGGGTTAGTATTCACACTGACGGTATCAGGGTTAGTATTCACACTGACGGTATCAGGGTATGTATTAACACTGACGGTATCAGGGTTAGTATTAACACTGACGGTATCAGGGTATGTATTAACACTGACGGTATCAGGGTATGTATTAACACTGACGGTATCATGTTACGATTCACACTGACGGTATCAGGGTGTATTCACACTGACGGTATCAGGGTATGTATTCACACTGACAGTATCAGGGTATGTATTCACACTGACAGTATCAGGTTATGTATTCACACTGACGGTATCAGGTTATGTATTCACACTGACGGTATCAGGGTATGTATTCACACTGACGGTATCAGGGTATGTATTCACACTGACGGTATCAGGGTGTGTATTGACGGTATCAGGGTATGTATTCACACTGACGGTATCAGGGTATGTATTCACACTGACGGTATCAGGGTTAGTATTCACACTGACGGTATCAGGGTTAGTATTCACACTGACGGTATCAGGTTATTTATTCACACTGACGGTATCAGGGTATGTATTCACACTGACGGTATCAGGGTATGTATTCACACTGACGGTATCAGGGTGTGTATTCACACAGACGGTATCAGGGTATGTATTCACACTGACGGTATCAGGGTATGTATTCACACTGACGGTATCAGGGTTAGTATTCACACTGACGGTATCAGGGTTAGTATTCACACTGACGGTATCAGGTTATGTATTCACACTGACGGTATCAGGGTATGTATTAACACTGACGGTATCAGGGTCACACTGGTATCAGGGTTAGTATTAACACTGACGGTATCAGGGTCACACTAACGGTATCAGGTTATGTATTCACACTGACGGTATCAGGGTATGTATTCACACTGACGGTATCGGGGTATGTATTCACACTGACGGTATCAGACGGTATCAGGGTATGTATTCACACTGACGGTATCAGGGTATGTATTCACACTGACGGTATCAGGGTTAGTATTCACACTGACGGTATCAGGTTATTTATTCACACTGACGGTATCAGGGTATGTATTCACACTGACGGTATCAGGGTATGTATTCACACTGACGGTATCAGGGTGTGTATTCACACAGACGGTATCAGGGTATGTATTCACACTGACGGTATCAGGGTATGTATTCACACTGACGGTATCAGGGTTAGTATTCACACTGACGGTATCAGGTTATGTATTCACACTGACGGTATCAGGGTATGTATTAACACTGACGGTATCAGGGTCACACTGACGGTATCAGGTTATGTATTCACACTGACGGTATCAGGGTTAGTATTAACACTGACGGTATCAGGGTCACACTAACGGTATCAGGTTATGTATTCACACTGACGGTATCAGGGTATGTATTCACACTGACGGTATCGGGGTATGTATTCACACTGACGGTATCAGGTTATTTATTTACACTGACGGTATCAGGGTATGTATTCACACTGACGGTATCAGGGTATGTATTCACACTGACGGTATCAGGGTATGTATTCACACTGACGGTATCGGGGTATGTATTCACACTGACGGTATCAGGGTATGTATTCACACTGACAGTATCAGGTGATGTATTCACACTGACGGTATCAGGGTATGTATTCACACTGACGGTATCATGTTACGATTCACACTGACGGTATCAGGGTATGTATTCACACTGACGGTATCAGGGTATGTATCACACTGGCGGTATCAGGGTATTTATTCACACTGACGGTATCGGGGTATGTATTCACACTGACGGTATCAGGGTATGTATTCACACTGACGGTATCAGGGTATGTATTCACACTGACGGTATCAGGGTATGTATTCACACTGACGTATCATGTTACGATTCACACTGACGGTATCAGGGTATATATTCACACTGACGGTATCAGGGTTAGTATTCACACTGACGGTATCAGGGTATGTATTCACACTGACGGTATCAGGGTATGTATTCACACTGACGGTATCATGTTACGATTCACACTGACGGTATCAGGGTATGTATTCACACTGACGGTATCAGGTTATGTATTCACACTGACGGTATCAGGGTATGTATTCACACTGACGGTATCAGGGTATGTATTCACACTGACGGTATCAGGGTATGTATTCACACTGACGGTATCAGGGTTAGTATTCACACTGACGGTATCAGGGTTAGTATTCACACTGACGGTATCAGGGTATGTATTCACACTGGCGGTATCAGGGTATGTATTCACACTGACGGTATCAGGGTAACACTGACGGTATCATGTATTCACACTGTACGGTATCAGGGTTAGTATTCACACTGACGGTATCACACACGGGGTTATGTATTCACACTGACGGTATCAGGGTATGTATTCACACTGACGGTATCAGGGTATGTATTCACACTGACGGTATCAGGGTATGTATTCACACTGACGGTATCAGGGTAAGAATTCACACTGACGGTATAAGGTTATGTATTCACACTGACGGTATCAGGGTTATGTATTCACACTGACGGACACTGGGGTTCACACTGGTATCAGGGTATGTATTCACACTATTCACACTGACGGTATCAGGGTATTATGTATTCACACTGACGGTATCAGGGTTATGTATTCACAGGGTTAGTATTCACACTGACGGTATCACACTGACGGGTTATGTATTCACACTGACGGTATCAGGTTATGTATTCACACTGACGGTAATGACGGTATCAGGGTCACACTGACGGTATCAGGTTATGTATTCACACTGACGGTATCAGGGTTAGTATTCACACTGACAGTATCAGGGTTAGTATTCACACTGACGGTATCAGGTTATGTATTCACACTGACGGTATCAGGGTATGTATTCACACTGACGGTATCAGGTTATGTATTCACACTGACGGTATCAGGGTTAGTATTCACACTGACGGTATCAGGGTATGTATTCACACTGACGGTATCAGGTTATGTATTCACACTGGCGGTATCAGGGTTAGTATTCACACTGACGGTATCAGGTTATGTATTCACACTCACTTTAATAAGGTATATTGCTTTCTACAGGCATCTTCGATATTCCAGGGGTTCATATCACTTTCGCCCCTCTGCAAATACTACAGCGGTTTTACAGATTCAGTTAGGATCACTTTGATTGAAACAAGTAATGATACTCCATTACTTGCCAGATAAAACTCTCAGATTTAGTTCTTGCCTAGACTATAAACTTTTAATGATGTTCGTACCGTTCATCTTCTGATAAACGTGTATGTGGAGAACTGTGAACTGGTCGGGCCGCCCCAAGTAAACCCGTAGTCCGTCGAGTTCAATGTAATGGGATGATGTGATGCTTTGTCAGTTATACACTAGTATTGACTTCGGACACCTCGCCCCGTAAAGGTCGCTGACGTTTATAGGATCATATATGAATCTCGCTCTAGGTTTTGTCCGCAATATATTCATACTACACTGTCAAGTGTCAGTCCAGTCACGCTCCGTGCGTTCTCTGCTCCCCCGCGGGCCTCTAAAAGAATCAGTATAAACGAGAAGGAAAGGTCATTTCAGTGGAAGTGTAACGTCTGACCTTTGACTCTGTAAAGGGCTTTGGTCACAGTGTAAATATTGGCCCGAGGTAAACAACAGGCCGGCTGGCAGTAGCTGAGGGTAAGTGTGTATGTTACAGCGGTACTGGAACAAATGATTACCGAGAGAAATGTGTGAAGCTGGAGGGAGATTCTGGGGGAGAGTATAAGATACAGGTGTGCACCTGTCGATACCTGTTGCTAGAGATACGTACACGTGTGATTCTGACCCCAATGTAAACGGGATCAATTGGAAACGTGGGATCAATACACGTGGAAATTGTAAACAAACTCTGTACGGCAAGCTACGGGGTGCTACCTCTACCAGACGATAATTTGCCCCCGTATAGAATTAGTACGACGGTGGAGGTATGTCTTGATGAACCCTGTATCTAAGGTTATTGCGAATTTTGAACTCGTTACTCATAATGTCAGAAGTGTTTGAATGACCACGCTGAAACCCGAGTAGGCTCCCGAGAAGCTTCACGTGAAGTGCCGAGAATAGTAAGCTCCAGAGACGCTTAACAGGACAGTACCGAGGACAGTTAGCTCCACAGAAGCTTAACAGGACAGTACCGAGGACAGTTAACTCCAGAGAAGCTTAACATGACAGTACTGAGGACAGTTAGCTCCAGAGAAGCTTAACATGACAGTACCGAGGACAGTTAGCTCCAGAGAAGCTTCACATGACAGTACCGAGGACAGTTAGCTCCAGAGAAGCTTCACATGACAGTATTGAGAACGGTAAGCTCTAGGAAAGTTCCGCATAGTTAGCTTCCAAGATATGGAGCGAGAATATTTCTAAACTTGCACCGGCATGGAAGACACAAAGACAAATATCGATTTTATTGACGAATGTGTGGCTGAACTACGGCTTGATAATGACGTAACACCAGAAATGTTACAGGTAACAAAAGATTCGACAGTTAGAAAAACAGATGGGATAAAAGTTCTCTCAAATTTTAACGTCTGCTCAGAGATGACTGATGACGAGCATGTTAAAGGTGTTGTCCGGGTAACGGAAGACGAGGAGTGCACAACGACAGTAAAAAGTGCTATCATGTTAACACTTAAACCTGTCACAGAAACGTCAGGGGAGAAAATCGATCACACCAAAATTCTAACTTGTACCTCCACGAGTTATGAAATGGATTCCATAAACACAGATTCCAATCGACCTGCTACAAATGGTACCCAGGGTACCCCCTGTCTATCTGGGGACGCGAGCCTGGTGCATGGAGATGCAGACACCGTTTGTCCCGTGTGTGGCGACAGTTACAAGGACCCACGGATTTTACCATGTCTCCATTTAGCCTGTCTACAATGTATATACACTCTACATAGTACAGAGAGTCAAAATGGTCCAGGATGTTCACAGGAACACCAGCTACCTATACACTGTCCTCAGTGTTCGAAAAGCGACGGAGTAACAAACACTGAAAAGGTGCCACCAAACGCGTGGATGTCGACTAACACTGATCGTGTCAAATGCATGAAGGAAAATGCTAGAGAAATGCGGAGACTCCCAGCAGTGATATGTGAGTTTTGTTGTGAGGAGGAGCGCGCAGTTGCCGTGGTTACGTGTGTCGACTGCACGAGCGACCTATGTCAGTTGTGCTCCGATTCTCACAAGCGTCAGAGGAAAACGAGACAGCATATATTGGTGGGTATACCATTTGCTGGAACGTCACATCAAGCAGACGACGTTTCGTATGACGTCATGAAGTTACACGAACTTGTTCAAGATGCCAGCCACAGAAAAGATGACATTCAAAAATACTTGGACAACATTCCGGCCACGAGAAAGGAGCTTCGCGATAATGCAGAGACTGTGACCAAAGAAATCGACATGTTTATGGATTCTTTTGTCAAAGCAGTAGAACAACATCGGAAGTCCTTGTTACAACAGGTCAGCACAATTCTACACGAAAAAGAGACAAAATTGCAGGCACAACAAGACCATCTTTGTCGGTTGCTAGGCAAGTTTGAAAATGATTGCAACATCGCTGACGGCTTATCTGTAAATTGTACTGACAATGAAATTTCAGCAAAGGAATCGACAGTGTCACAGAGGTTAAAACAACTCATTGACATCTCCATGAAAGAGTGTGTTCCTGTGGAAACAACATTTACTTTTTGTCGAGAACTAAAAGCAGATGTCTTTGAGAACTTTCAAATGTTTGGGCGTGTGCAAGGATCACAAGCGTGTCCCTATAAATGTCAAGTGACCACACAAGGTGAGTACATTTTTTTATTTCCTCGGTCCTTATCCACATTAAATTACAGTATATCCTCAATGGCCTGCTGTATAATATGACGGATCCGTAGTCATAAGACTGTTCGGATGTCGCTCCCGCCTTTCATCTGCTTAACCTTTGCTCGATTCCCCGGTTAATCGTGAAAACTGATTGGCTTCCAAATGTATAGGTTTGTAGATTTGCCGTGTAAACCAGTGATAGTGTTATAACTGCCGGCACTGGTCTGTAGATTTGCCGTGTAAGCCAGTGACAGTGTTATAAATGCCGGCACTAGTCAGTGCCTGGTTTATAGGTTTGCCGTGTAAACCAATGATAGTGTTATAACTACCGGCACTGGTCTGTACATTTGCCGTGTAAACCAGTGATAGCGTTATAACTACCGGCACTGGTTTGTAGATTTGCCGTGTAAACCAGTGATAATGTTATAACTACCGGCACTGGTCTGTCCATTTGCCGTGTAAACCAGTGACAGTGTTATAACTACCGGCACTGGTTTGTAGATTTGCCGTGTAAACCAGTGACAGTGTTATAACTGCCGGCACTAGTCTGTACATTTGCCGTGTAAACCAGTGATAGTGTTATAACTACCGGCACTGGTCTGTAGATTTGCCGTGTAAACCAGTGATAGTGTTATAACTACCGGCACTGGTCTGTACATTTGCCGTGTAAACCAGTGACAGTGTTATAACTACCGGCACTGGTTTGTAGATTTGCCGTGTAAACCAGTGATAGTGTTATAACTACCGGCACTGGTCTGTACATTTGCCGTGTAAACCAGTGACAGTGTTATAACTACCGGCACTGGTTTGTAGATTTGCCGTGTAAACCAGTGACAGTGTTATAACTGCCGGCACTAGTCTGTACATTTGCCGTGTAAACCAGTGATAGTGTTATAACTACCGGCACTGGTTTGTAGATTTGCCGTGTAAACCAGTGATAGTGTTATAACTACCGGCACTGGTCTGTACATTTGCCGTGTAAACCAGTGATAGCGTTATAACTACCGGCACTGGTTTGTAGATTTGCCGTGTAAACGAGTTAATTTTAACGGCTCTGCCGTTGTAGTTAGTTTTCCGAACCGTGTACCTTGATGAACTTTCCGATTCCTATTCGCATACCAGCGCCAGACTGGACTTGTAACCATACTTATTATAATATCAAACGTCTGTGGGATTTTCTGTTGTGAACTCTACTTCTGGAATGACTCAGATGTTCAGCATAGTCTTGATTCCTGACTTGACAATACATTAATTACAAACTTTACATGCAGCACTGTAAACTTGACATTAGGAATCATTCTTTTGCTTTGCGTGTGGTCAAAATATGGAACAATCTTCCATTGTATTGTATCGGCACCAACAGCTTACTCTTTCAAAAATAGATTAGATGAACACTGGGCAAATCAAGGACTGGTAGACAATCTATGTAATTATAAATCAGAAATTCTGTAGTTCCTGGATCTGACGTCTCAAATGACAATAATTATAAACATTATCATTGTATCACTGAGACCGGTATAGAGGATCGTAACGATCCTGCACTGGTAATAAACTGAACTAAACTAAAATATTAATTCGAACAATGAAGATTATGGACATTGTCCGGAGAGTAGACTGCTGTTATAAATCGTTAGTACAAACCTTCCGCACGTGGCCGTTACAAAGCTGTACATCCTATCAATCATGCGTCGTGATGAAGACTTTGGGTACCACAGTTCTGATCTGATACAAAAATAACCTGTTACAAATCTGTCAATAATCTGACGCTACATTTTCTCCAACAAAACAGTTCGCAGATCATGAAACAAAACGAATCCAGTCAGATGGTGGTTGCTATTTATAGGACAGCTTACCACTGTTCTCAGAAAAGTCGTTTTATGCTCCTATACTGCTTGTTAAATCACCCTTTAAATGAAGTATCTAGTCACTGTCAGATATTCTTGAATTATTAATGATATGATATAACATTTGTGTTATAACAGATTTAGCCAGTGCTAAAGTCGACATTCCATGTACCGTGATATTGACTACAAGAGATACCGAGGACGAACCCTTCCCCAACCCCCCGGGACTCTTGGCGTGGGTGAGATGTGGTATTAATGGACGTAGGTAAGACTCTTATACCCTCACTCTTCCGATCTAACTCAGGACGTGAGGAATGTAGTAATCATTTTATCATCGTATGAAATCTTCACATCACTGAAGCTCTGTATTATCAACCATCACACCAATAACACTCTGTAAACGTTACACCATCAACACTCTGTAACCGTCACATCATCAACACTCTGTAACCGTCATACCATCAACACTCTGTAACCGTCACACCATCAACACTCTGTAACCGTCACATCATCAACACTCTTAACCGTCATACCATCAACACTCCGTAACCGTCACACCATCATCACTCTGTAACCGTCACAACATCAACACTTTGTAACCGTCACACCATCATCACTCTGTAACCGTCACACCATCAACACTCTGTAACCGTCACACCACCACCACTCCGTAACGACACACCATCAACACTTTGTAACCGTCACACCATCATCACTATGTAACCGTCACACCATCAACACTCTGTAACCGTCACACCATCATCACTCTGTAACGTCACACCATCAACACTCTGTAACCGTCACACCACCACCACTCCGTAACAACACACCACCAACACCCTGTAACCGTCACACCACTAACACCCTGTAACCGTCACACCACCACCACTCCGTAACGACACACCATCATCACTCTGTAACCGTCACACCATCATCACTCTGTAACCGTCACACCATCAACACTCCGTAACGTCACACCACTAACACTCCGTGCCGACACACCACTAACACTCCGTAACGTCACACCGCTAACACTCCGTAACGTCACACCAGTAACACTCCGTAACGTCACACCACTAATACTCCGTAACGTCACACCGCTAACACCCTGTAACCGTTCCACCATTACACTCCCTATCATTCACACTCGTTAAACTCCATCATTTCTGTATCGCTATATATTTCACTTTGGTATGTTTTAGCCATGATAAGGATTTGGCCAGACTAGATATCGTATGTAAGGGATCACTATACTACACCCGTACTCTAGGGCCGTAAACATACGTTGATAGCATTCTTTTTAACGATTGCTACATTTCTTTCAACAAATGTATACAAATTGTGTAACGCTGTGGCTTGGAATTTAGAACGAAACGGAGTAGATGTCTCACGGGCTAATTTTTACGCACGCATTGATGGCTTGAAACTCGCGATATCTGTTTGTCAGAGGAGAAAAGCTGGATTGAGTGTGTGTGTGTGTGTGGGGGGGGAGACAAAATTGAAATAGGCATGTTTATGTAGGTAAGGTCTGAGAGTAAAACATACATAATAAATAAGTGCAACCCAGCCAGACCTTCCGTTATATCTTTGTGAATTTGCTGGTATGGATTGGTAGGGGGACCAGTAAGCAATTGACGGGGTTTGAATCATTTTTAACTTAGCTTGTATGACAAAAAACCTTTAATACGGCCTTAGTGTACAAGAGCAGGATATTGTGTCCTACTAGTTCACGGTGTTCTTGTTCACTATGTGCGACTAGTTTACAATGCACGACTAAGTGTGCGGCTAGTTCAACCAGTACCACTTGTTCACTATGTACACTGGCGAAGGCAAGGGGGGTGGGGGGCAAGGGGGCAACTCCCCCCCCCCAATTGTCCTAGGGGTGACTTTTGTGAAACGTGTAAATCCGTTGAGTTTTTTAATGGGGGGGGGAGGGGGAGCGTGTCCCATTTTTCAGTTTTCTGCATCTGTATTTTTCATATCTATATGTCAGTGATTTTATGGATTCTACTTGCATTCTGTTGAATTTAACACCACACAAACTACACTCAGCACAGGTAACAGAATCAGATTTTTGCCCCCCCCCCCCAACTTTTGATCCTGGCTACGCCACTGACTATGTACCACTAGTACACTATGTACCACTAGTTCACTGTGTGACTAGTTCAATATGTACCACAAGTCCACTATGTACCACTAGTTCACTATGTACCACTAGTTCACTGTGTGACTAGTTCAATATGTACCACAAGTCCACTATGTACCACTAGTTCACTATAGTCCACTAGTCCACTATGTACCACTAGTGCACTATGTACCACTAGTCCACTATGTACCACTAGTTCACTATGTACCACTAGTCCACTATGTACCACTAGTCCACTATGTACCACTTGTTCACTATGTACCACTAGTTCACTATGTACCACTAGTTCACTGTGTGACTAGTTCAATATGTACCACTAGTCCACTATGTACCACTAGTTCACTATAGTCCACTAGTCCACTATGTACCACTAGTGCACTATGTACCACTAGTTCACTGTGTGACTAGTTCACTATGTACCACTAGTTCACTATGTACCACTAGTCCACTATGTACCACTAGTCCACTATGTACCACTAGTCCACTTGTTCACTATGTACCACTAGTTCAATATGTACCACTAGTACACTATGTACAACTAGTTCACTATGTACCAGTAGTACACTATGTACCACTAGTTCACTATGTACCACTAGTACACTATGTACCACTAGTACACTATGTACAACTAGTTCACTATGTACCAGTAGTACACTATGTACCACTAGTTCACTATGTACCACTAGTACACTATGTACCACTAGTTCACTATGTACCACTAGTACACTTGTTCACTATGTATCGCTTGTTCACTATGTACCACTAGTTCACTATGTACCACTAGTTCACTATGTACCACTAGTTCACTATGTACCACTAGTACATTATGTACCATTAGTTCACTATGTACCACTAGTTCACTATGTACCAGTAGTACACTATGTACCGCTAGTTCACTATGTACCACTAGTACATTATGTACCACTAGTACACTATGTACCACTAGTTCACTATGTACCAGTAGTACACTATGTACCGCTAGTTCACTATGTACCACTAGTACATTATGTACCACTAGTTCACTATGTACCACTAGTTCACTATGTACCACTAGTCCACTATGTACCACTAGTCCACTATGTACCACTAGTACATTATGTACCACTAGTTCACTATGTACCACTAGTACATTATGTACCACTAGTTCACTATGTACCACTAGTACACTATGTACCACTAGTTCACTATGTACCACTAGTTCACTATGTACCACTAGTACATTATGTACCATTAGTTCACTATGTACCACTAGTTCACTATGTACCAGTAGTACACTATGTACCGCTAGTTCACTATGTACCACTAGTACATTATGTACCACTAGTACACTATGTACCACTAGTTCACTATGTACCAGTAGTACACTATGTACCGCTAGTTCACTATGTACCACTAGTACATTATGTACCACTAGTTCACTATGTACCACTAGTCCACTATGTACCACTAGTCCACTATGTACCACTAGTACATTATGTACCACTAGTTCACTATGTACCACTAGTACATTATGTACCACTAGTTCACTATGTACCACTAGTACACTATGTACCACTAGTTCACTATGTACCAGTAGTACATTATGTACGGCTAGTTCACTATGTACCACTAATACACGATGTACCACTAGTTCACTATGTACCATTAGTTCACTATGTACCACTAGTCCACTATGTACCACTAGTACACGGCTAGTTCATTATGCACGACTGTTTCACTGTGTGCGACTTGTTCATCGTGTGCAGGACTAGTTCACCAAATGTTTTGTGTGTCGATATTGTGTATGAAACGAATCATGCACTGAATGTATGACGAGATGACAAATGTTTATATGACGTTGTTGACAGCCGTCTACCAGTGACGATGAGAGAACGGAGCGATGCCATCTACGATCTGACCTTTACTCCCCAGCAGTCGGGACCTCATCAACTGTGTGTCCAAGTCGACAGCCAGGATATATCGGTGAGTCTTACTGATATAAGTCAGTATCAAATATATCCAAAAATACTCTTCAGAATTTAGTTTTCTTTCGCCGTCTGAAGGTAATGCATTTTTCTATCGCCCTTCATTTGACCATCCTTAAAAGACCACGGTTATCTGTGTTTTTGAGAAGTACTACATCCATCGGTCTGCGATATCATAGGTGGTTGATCTTGATCCTTTGTTCGTATGTGATAAAAAAATGCCGGACGTAATTTTTCATCAAAGCATTGAATACATCGTGTTAAATTTTACATTAAGATATTATATAGTCCCTAATTGTGTGTGAAATTTGAGACCGATTTGAAAAAAAGGAGAAAATGCACGCATGCGACTATTTTCAATTTTGACAAGGAAAAATAGATCTCGAAATAAATTTTACGCTGTCATTCTCCTACTTATTATGGTCTCATCGGTTCCAAATTGTCTCTGTTTTTGATTGGTAATTCTCATATATGTACAATCCTCTTTTTCCGTAATAGTACATTGAGGCTGTGGTATACTTTTAGTTATTTATTGAACAGGGTTGTCCATTCAAATTTGAAGTAAAATCAAAATGGCGGGAACATTCGGGTACCTGGCACTGTTGCTCGTTCTGCTCTTCAGCAGGAAGGATGGACGTCCCGTGCGGATGTGGAGCAGTTGTCAGAGGTAAACATAATTATAGAGAGACAAACATTCCAAAATCGTGTATTTCGATATCTCCCGGTCATATTTTTGGCCGGGTTGCACATCCGGGTTATAGTATGGTGAATGGCGGGCGGGCGGATGGGCGGGGAAAAGGGGTACCAGTTTTGTAGAATCAAATCCTCCTAGTCGTCCGTGGTCCATCATCTGTTGTCCATTTCTGAAACTTTTCTTGTTATCATAGTTTCTCAGAAACTGCTACAAGAATCTGTCCGAAATTCCACATATAAATCACCTTTGGGACCTAGTTGTCCATTGTCTATTTTTTTAACATCTCCGAGTCAAAAATGGCTGCAACTTCTTTCTTCAAATGCCCTTCTTCTGCACCAATTCATAAAATACAACTAAACTTTCTCTCTTATAACAAACATACTCAACAAATGAAACACCCATAACTGTCTTATAAATACCATCTAATACTGCACTCATCCCGCAACCTGGCCAATTGCGGCTTTGCCCCATTTTTAAAAGTATACTATAAAGGTAGCACAGGGCGACCAAATTAGAAACCAGTACGAGAAGAACGGGGCGTTGTAAATACGAACACAAATTGGAAAAAAAGCTTACGATAAATAGTAGTTATTGAGAGCCATTACAGTAGAAAGCAGGGATACGGCCTCGGCAGGCCTCTGGATATAGAGAAATATATTTATAACACAGGAACTATCGCAGAGAACTTACAGCGTTGCGGTACTGCATGATAGTTCTCGCATGGACAGGTTGCTTTACAGTACTGTTTTTTGGTTTTACCTCAAACTACTTGCAATGAAATTTTATATTATTTTGTATTTAAAAGATTGAAATAGGATGTATGTCTGTAAAAAAATCAGCCTTTGGGGAAATGTTTTTTTTGTCCCAAAATAGAACCAGGATAGTTAGGTTAAAAACTCACTGAATTAACTTTGAAGTGGAGTATCTACCTCTTGTGTACTACTGTATATGAGTAACTAACAGTATTCCCAGATCAACCCATATACAACTTCGATCATCCAAAACCTTCACACCAACAAAATAACACCATATGTATTGCTAAAAGCATTCAAATTCCGAACATATTGGCTTTAGATATGTTACAAAATTAGTATCAATTCTAACTCCGTGCATCCTTTCGGTTTCACAAAAATTGCTCCGAGTTGGCCCGCGGTTGATTTTTAACTGTTCTAAAGTCTAAATCGAGTTTGTGCCAAATAATGCCTAGATTATTTTGATTGCATCTTAAAGATAGGCTGAAACGCTAGATAAATCATTATCTATGTAAAGCACTCTTTGTTGAGGTAACTGGAAATAATGTATGGAATCAAACCAATTAAATCCCCATTTTTCGATCATTTTTGTCTAAATGGACACCTTTATTAAGTGCAATTATAATTTTTTTGTGAATGATTTCAAAAAATGTTTTTTTGTTTTCCTTTTATATTTAATGACACCGATTTTCACATTAAGTAAATTGAAACCAAACACTTGCCTAATGTGGCGTATTTTTGTGATGTTTTATTTTCTGCGTTTCTTTCTACTCAGGCTCCCGAGGTTGCTGGCATGCACAGCCTGGATATCCTGGAGGGCCACATTGGACATGTTGTGGCAAGATATCGCGGCAGTCCCAATGTATATATGCAATAAGGAAACACAACTCTAATGTTATGGAAGTGACTTTGTAATCAGATATTTCTTACTAAATGTAAAATATTTACAGAACACTATAATTATCTGTATACTATGTACTTCTATGTACGATAATTTGTATACTTGTGTGTATGATAATTTGTATACTTGCATGTACGATAATTTGTAGACTTGTGTGTATGATAATTTGTATATTTGTGTGTATGATAATTTGTATACTTGCATGTACGATAATTTGTAGACTTGTGTGTACGATAATTTGTATATTTGTGTGTATGATAATTTGTATATTTGTGTGTACGATAATTTGTATATTTGTGTGTACGATAATTTGTATATTTGTGTGTATGATAATTTGTATATTTGTGTGTACGATAATTTGTATATTTGTGTGTACGATAATTTGTATATTTGTGTGTACGATAATTTGTATATTTGTGTGTATGATAATTTGTATACTTGCATGTACGATAATTTGTAGACTTGTGTGTACGATAATTTGTATATTTGTGTGTATGATAATTTGTATACTTGTGTGTATGATAATTTGTATACTTGTGTGTATGATAATTTGTATACTTGTGTGTATGATAATTTGTATATTTGTGTGTACGATAATTTGTATATTTGTGTGTACGATAATTTGTATATTTGTGTGTATGATAATTTGTATATTTGTGTGTATGATAATTTGTATATTTGTGTGTATGATAATTTGTATACTTGTGTGTATGATAATTTGTATACTTGTGTGTATGATAATTTGTATACTTGTGTGTATGATAATTTGTATATTTGTGTGTACGATAATTTGTATATTTGTGTGTATGATAATTTGTATATTTGTGTGTATGATAATTTGTATACTTGTGTGTATGATAATTTGTATACTTGTGTGTATGATAATTTGTATACTTGTGTGTATGATAATTTGTATACTTGTGTGTATGATAATTTGTATATTTGTGTGTATGATAATTTGTATATTTGTGTGTACGATAATTTGTATATTTGTGTGTATGATAATTTGTATATTTGTGTGTATGATAATTTGTATATTTGTGTGTACGATAATTTGTATATTTGTGTGTACGATAATTTGTATATTTGTGTGTACGATAATTTGTATATTTGTGTGTACGATAATTTGTATATTTGTGTGTATGATAATTTGTATATTTGTGTGTATGATAATTTGTATACTTGTGTGTATGATAATTTGTATATTTGTGTGTATGATAATTTGTATACTTGTGTGTACGATAATTTGTATACTTGTATGTTTGATAATTTTGATTCCGTCATCGCGGTTGATTGTTAGAATTTCTCCATATTTGAACACACGAAATTTCAGTAACCCTCCATAAGTCACCATTCTATTCGGGTACTGTCTTAATGTCATATATCTACGGACAAAAAATACTATAAACCTTATATCATTCGCACCCTTGCAATAATTTAAGTTATATAAAGATGGACAAAAGTACTATAAACCCACGCATGAGATCACGACCTTGACTGCCGTTCACTAAATATATCCATCCATTTCTTTTCAACAACTACAGTTTTAAACACATTTTGGCCGCCATCAAAATATTTCTTTCTACTGTCGGAAGAATGTAGGTCGATGTATTTCACTTCAATACACAAAGAAGGTACGCGATATTGTTATACAAAAGAGAGGCGAGTCCATCTTTATCTCCGTTTTGGCTTTAATGTTAGACATACATTATTGTTAAATCGAAACTATAAATAATTACAGACATCTGATATGTTCTGAATGGAGAGAGAAGTTGAATTTGAATATGTGGTTTTGATGTACTAGAAAGGACGTAAGCTAGAACACTCTCAAAACATTTAATGATTTCTAAATGTTATGTCTGCGTCATGGGATTTTAAAAGTTTTGCAAGATGATTTTTCTTCGGTAATGTCGCCAATCACGTAGTATGGAATGTAAGGATATGAATACCTGTTATCAGTATTATAACATCCACATTACATGGTTGGTTATAGTCAGTGAATATTTGTATTACAACCGTTTGATATAACCTACTGTGACGTCAGGTTTAGACAATAAGATAGTTACACTCACAGTTAATATTGTACGACCATAGAGCCGAATTGTCCGTTTTCCATACCTTTGAACCTTTTTATCTGATAAAAATCAACCGAATTTCGCTTCCAGTTGATATTAGATTCATAAAACACCTCTTTTTTTTCGCTTTAGCTCACCAAAGGCAGGTTAAAATTCTTTTTTTTTATCAAACGGCAGCTGTTGTAATATTTCATGTTGAATGGAACACGATTTTAATTGTGTTATGACCACGCGTTCATTAACATCTTACGCAGCTGTAAATGGTTGAAGATTCCATTATGTTCATTGTGACGTCAAAACTTCTAGTCGTCATATGCATTGTGACGTCAACAAAAAAGAGATATTGAGTGACATTTATTCCAGTGATTACGTATCGATAGAATACGTCTGTGTGTTGTTATGATGATTTATATAGTAGATGTATAGATAATACTGAGGTGTGATAGTTTATATAAATGTGGTATGTTCGGGTGTAACAGTATAATTTATATGAGTGATTGATTACATGAGGATGTATACACATGGTATTAGAAATATTATGTTACAAATAAATACAACAACTCAGGTTTGTGACAAGTTTTATATCTAAGGTAATGGTAACATTGTACAAGTATTTATACAAAAATTAATGACGTCAGATTAAGTCAACATCTAATTCTGGCATAACTGACGTCATAGGTATCTGTTTATACAATCAATGACGTCATAGATACATGTATATACAATCATTTAGTCATAGGTATATATGTATACCATCACTTACGTCCGTAAAAACTAACTTAATATAACCACTTATACATTATACAATACTTACTGACATCCTATATAACTAATACACTGTACCGTGATGTCTCTTAACTATACTATCAAATAATCTCATTCAATGAAAACATCTCATTTTGTGAAATTTTTGCGACAAAGACAAAAGGAGTAGAGGGCAGACATAGCCTTTATCCTCTCCTTAAGTAACGTAATACTACACAGACCCTCCCTCACACAGACCCTCCCTCTCACAGACCCTCCCTTACACACACCCTCCCTCACACACACCCTCCCTCTCACACAAACCCTTCTTCTCACTCAGACCCTCCCTCACACACACCCTCCCTCTCCCACATGCACCCTCCCTCTCACACACCCTCCCTCTCACACACCCTCCCTCTCACATACACCGTCCCTCACACACACACCCGCCCTCACACACGAACCCTCCCTCTCACACACACCCTCACTCACCCTCCCTCACACCACACGCACCCTCCCTCACACACATTCTCCCTCTCACACACCCTCCCTCACACACACACACCCTCCCTCACGCACACACCCTCCCTCCTTCACACACACCCTGCCTCACCCCCACACTACACACGCACCTTTCGTGACACACGCACCCTCACCCTCTCCACACACATACACTCACTCACCCACACTCTCACCTTCCCTCCCTCACACATGCACCCTTCTACACGCGCATCCTCCCTCAAACACGTGCCCTCCCTCAAACACACACACACACCCCTTCCTCACACACCCCTTTCCACACACTCTCTCCTTCACATACTCTCAAACATATATAACATGGCATTTGATACAAGGGAAACAACTGTAAGTACATGTTTAACAGTTCAAACCGCGTAAGTACAGTGTATACTGACAGCATCAATGGGAATGGCTATAAATACTGTTACTCGCCTAACAATGATGTCGTCATAACTTTAAACATATAAGCAGCTGAACGTCAATTGAAATTTGTAAAAATGTAAAAAAAAAAAAAAAAAAAAAAGCAAAAGATGTAGAAAATGATGTAAATACAAAATCTCACAACAGAATAATTACTGGAACTTTGCAGGCAATGCAATACAAAGTCCTTCCTACAGGATATTACCACTAATTTCTACCTATAGGATATTACCGCTAAGTCATATCGACAGAATATTACCACAAAGTCCTATCGACAGGACATAACCAAAGAATCCTATCGACAGGACATAACCACAGAATCCTATCGACAGGATATTACCACAAAGTTCTATCGACAGGATATTACCACAAAGTCCTATCGACAGGATATTACCACGAAGTCCTATCGACAGGATATTACCACGAAGTCCTATCGACAGGATATTACCACAAAGTCCTATCGACAGAATATTACAACAAAGTCCTATCGACAGGATATTACCACAAAGTCCTATCGACAGAATATTACCACAAAGTCCTATCGACAGAATATTACCACAAAGTCCTATCGACAGAATATTACCACGAAGTCCTATCGACAGGACATTACCACAAAGTCCTATCGGAAGGATATTACCACAAAGTCCTATCAACAGGATATTACCACAAAGTCCTATCGACAGAATATTACCACTTAATCCTATCGGAAGGATATTACCACTTTATCCTATCGGAAGGATATTACCACTTTATCCTACCTGCAGTAATAAGCATTATACCATTCTACCGAGTGTTTTCTACCACGGTAGTCCTACTGACGCCTGACTCATCGCCTCGTCTTTCCTTGTGTAATCCGGGTCCTTGTCTACTTGCCCGTGGTTGTGTATATTATGGATGTGGTCGTGAATACAATAAGTCAGATCCTGGAAAGAAAATAGTATTAATTGAGGACAGGGCAGATATTAGTAACACTATATGCCACGCCCCCTCCATAGAATGACATGACATAAGGACACTTGTATCGAGTACAACTACAAGAAACATGGCATCGCAAACTATACAACTCCTCTCGTGTTTCTATAACAAGAAAGATTGCAAACAGTGACAAAGAGTTCAAAAAAGAGTAACAGTTGCTTTGACCTTGACCCTACAATCTTGAAATCAAACTTGACCGTGATATCATGTTCCTTTATATGAATTCGAAGTTTGACCCAAGGAATGGGGGTACTAATTTGCTGACCGGATTTTCTTTATAGTAACAGTAAACATGACTTTGACCTTACAACCCTGAAACTCCGCAACACCGCTGACAAGGCTTTCTAACAATATAGTAACGGTGACCTTGACTTTGACCTTACAGTCCCGAAACTCTAAATTATCTAAGACGTAATGGTCCTTTTTAAGTGGGTGATGATCGATTGAAATCTCTTTAAGAAATGAAGACGCAAGAGCATTGAAAAAAATTTATAAAAATCCTAACAGTAACCTTGATATTGACCCTGATCATAGATTAGAAACCTGAAAGTGAAAACTTGTCAAAGGTATAATGGTTCCTTATAAGGGTATGAAGTTTGATTTAATTTCTCGAGAAATAAAGCGGCTAGTGCGCATACAACGATTTCTAATAATAGTAACAGTGACCTGGATCCTAGAACCCTAACATTTTAGATTATCCGAGATATAATTATCTTTACAGTTGTGTGAATTTCGTTAATGAAGCAGCCAGAGTGCTGACAATATGTGTTTTGTATGTATGGGATAATTCCTATATCTGTCTCCGTATTCGGGGACAATAATATGATGGCATTAGAGACGACGCTTATATTAAGTTATCCCTTCAGACACGTAATGACGGCACAATACCTCCTTCCCTTCCTTCCTTGACTTGCATCTCTGTCGTCGCCGTATGAACAGAATCATGGACGTTGCGATGAGGAAGAAGAAAATGATGCCGATGACGACTGCGAGGATGATGACTGTAGACAAAGGACATTCGTCGGAATCATCGCCACAGTTGTTCCAGCCGTCACATTCCAGGTACATAGACACACAACGTTCGTTAGCACACTTCATTTCTCCTTCTACACAAGTACCTAAATACCAAACAGCCTTATTTATATATTGATAAAAAGTATATTTCGAAATCAAAATAGTTTTTAATCAGTAGTCACATCCGCTCCCAAAAACGTCCTTTCACTACCAAATCACATTCCAAACTAGAGAAACATCTCAATACGTTTGTTGCGGATGATATCTGTGTAAGAACTGATATTCGTGATCCGAAAACAAAATCGATGAAACAAGACATGATCAACAGGAAGATTTACACGGATTCCTTTAGAGCAGAGTAAGACCTGGCCCCCGGAAGCTCAAAACTTGGTAGAAATTTCATACATGAATCAGGCAGAAGTGAGAACATTCTTAACCATTTCTATAGATTTAGTGATTGTCAGATTGGTATTTTTAGTGTCACTCCTGCTTTAAAAATCCCTGTTTTTGCGTACAACTTGTTAATTCTTTTTTTTTTTTTTTTTGCGCAACAAGGGGCAAGTGCTTAATTATGCTGTAAATATGAAAGGTGTATGCCTCGTGGCTTAATGGTATCTTGTACACATGTTCTTTTTTTCTTTTCGAAAGATGGCAACCGTCAACCACGTGACAACCACCTATATCCATTCAGGTGTAGAACTTGATAGTGTCTTCTATAGAGCGAATATGAACATGGTGTGTTAATTGGTTCATGAGAAATTTTGCACATAAGCTGCGCAAAAGTTGTCAAGGGTGACCTTTCACTTTTGACCTTGACCTATAACCACCGAAATTTTATCGTGTATAGAAATTGATAGTACAGTGCTCTATTTGAAAACGAATTTTATCTGTTAAATAGTTTGTGGGATATCGTGTTCACATTTTTTACACGCGTGCAGGCATACGTGAGGGTGTTTGAGAGTAAGTGTGAGTTCGTGTTTGTCGCAAGCCCAAGTCTGCATGAATAACAGTTGTGTCCATTTGTCCGACTGCAGCCGAAGTGTATTACATAGGTAACATAGGTAATATTCCATCTTTTGACGAAAAACAAAGGTATGTTCTTACAAATTGTACGTTGCATTGTGGGTAAAAGGTAAGTAGTTCACTTGAACGTGATGTATAATAAAGTTTAAACACCTGTGTTATACAATACATATGTACGTTACCTGTGTGGAAGATGGTGAATAGGAAATCAAAACCGTAATCGTTGTACCACGAGTCGCTCCTGAACATTACTGTCATACTGTGACCGGAAGTGACGTAATCCCCCTCCGGCTTCTCTTCTCCACACATTTTCTGTGGCAGTCCTTGATGTATAATGGAACACGTAATTGGTGTTGGTAAAATAAATGTTAACCATATATAATATGATATTACAGTGAAAATACGTGTAGTGTTTGCTAACAGGACCGTTGAATGAACCGTTCTAAACATGGGTGCACGTTTAGCTATATTTATAGTTCTCTTCACGGATTCAAAATGTCCAACTACGGGGTTGTATGAACCTCTGATAAAAAGACCGGAACATTTAGTAGCCATGAACTATGATAATCTGATATGGCCCTTCACAGCCATTTTCCCGTACAATTTCAGAATTAGTTATCATCTATATCCTTAAGTACGGACCACAGAGAAGTGTGAGAAACACCTGTCATTTCTGGAGGAATACCTGATATAGTTGGCGCTGACGTTGAGTTCCCGTCATGGATCTGCAGGTAATCATCATCACATAAAGGCTCAAACTCGATATCAAGACGGCGGAAGACGATGACAAAACGGTGTGATTCGGCTGTGTGTATAGTGACTGTACATCTCATGTTTGGTTTGTATTTTGCGGTCCGGGTCGGACGGAGACGTCCAGCATGCTTACCAAATACGTCAACGTGGACAGTCCCCCCGCATTTCTCCTCCATGTAAACGGAAACTGTAACAGAAAACCCTCATTCATGGTACGTCACCATGTACAATGTTGACTCTCTGAAGGCACAATGCACATACAATTTTAGTACCGTAGTAGGATCTTAAGAAATGTCTGCACTATGCTATAAGCGGCCATTACTTTTTAACTCCTATATTTCGCGTATTCTGATGTTTTACCTCGTTTTCTGTGATATCCTATGGTATAACATTAACTCTATAACATTTGCAGTCTGTTATCTCAATACCCTACTGTTTGGGGACCCTATTATCTGTGATGTACCCATTATAGTGATTTTTTTCTGTGACATGTTGCACGTGCAGTTTTTGTGACGATTTACAGACAAAAATGACGACACTTCCGTCTATGGTCTCTCTAACCTAATTTGATCTGGTAAATTACTAGAGGTCAATGAATCCATACACCTGTGTCTGCCGCCATATTGTGCCGCCTTGGAAAGTCCTCTGCAAAACAGAGCAGTGCTAGTTTGTGCTTAACACAAATACCAGTCTGAATATTTACTCATATGAACACGTGGTCTGTCACTTTTAGTTTTTAGTATAATACTTGATTATCTCAGAGCGACAATATGCGTGACCTTGTTTTGAAATATTGTGGCTTTGTTTATAGCATACGATTGCCACCAGGGGTTATTGATAAACCGTTGGCATATTTACAACAATCAGAAAGCTAGGATTGGTAGTAATAGGTTGAAACCGTAATTGCGTTACGTTCAGCCTTAAGATTTATTACAGATGAATATATTAATTTAGTGAAAACATATTCGGTCGTTTACATGACGCCATCTTGTTGAAGACATACACGACAGCGATAATCAGCAATACAGAGCCAAACCTCTACAGTAACCCACTTAGTAACACTTTCTAGGCAGTGACGGGGGAAATTCACAGGATCCCACTTTAGTAACACTTTCTAGGCAGTGACGGGGTAAATTCACGTGATCCCACTTTAGTGACACTTTCTAGGCAGTGACGGGGGAAATTCACAGGATCCCACTTTAGTAACAGTTTCTAGGCAGTGACGGGGGAAATTCACAGTATCCCACCTTAGTAACACTTTCTAGGCAGTGACGGGGGAAATTCACAGGATCCCACTTTAGTGACACTTTCTAGACAGTGACAGAATGAATTCACAGGATCCTACTTTAGTAACACTTTCTAGGCAGTGACGGGGTAAATTCACGTGATTCCACTTTAGTAACACTTTCTAGGCAGTGACGGGGTAAATTAACAGGATCCCACTTTAGTAACACTTTCTAGGCAGTGACTCAGTAACTTCACAGTATCCCACTTTAGTAACACTTTCTAGGCAGTGACGGGGTAAATTCACAGGATCCCACTTTAGTAACACTTTCTAGGCAGTGACGGGGTAAATTCACAGGATCCCACTTTAGTAACAGTTTCTAGGCAGTGACTGAGTGAATTCACAGGATGCTATTTTAGTAACAGTTTCTAGGCAGTGACTGAGTAAATTCACAGGATCCTACTTTAGTAACAGTTTCTAGGCAGTGACTGAGTGAATTCACAGGATGCTATTTTAGTAACAGTTTCTAGGCAGTGACTGAGTGAATTCACAGGATGCTATTTTAGTAACAGTTTCTAGGCAGTGACTGAGTGAATTTTATGACATGTCTGCACGTAAAGCAAAAACATGACGACATTTTAATAAATAGTTCTTAACATCGTGCCTGTTAAATGAATGTCCTTGATTTAAATGTTTCGTTCCGGAATGAGTAAAGCTAAACAGCTGAAATGATATCACAATTTAGAATGGTGATCAAAAGTTTGGGTATTTTTTAGTTTATTTGCTGTGTTCTAGAAAAATAAATAGGTCAATACAACAGAACACGACTTTCTCTTTTTCTATATCTTTTCGCATTTTACAGTTTGCCGTTTGGAGAAAAGTAGCTTTCAAAATCAAAACTATTACAAATTTTAGATAAAGTTTTTGAGAAAGAAATATTTATTATGTGACCATCCTTTTCTATAATATAATTCTGTACTGAGAGTCACCGGATGTCCCATTGTATATTTCCACGTGGGATAGGCATATTTTGTACACGTGGGGTGGAAAAAGGGCGTGATGTACTTGTCAGAAGTAATATATAGCTCCAATATTTATTGGATATTAATCAACACGCGTTGGTTATCAGTAATAGAACCAGTGAAGCAGTAATAACACACACATTGACCCTGTTTATTTGTTTGCACGATGCTCGGCCGGTTTATTATCCCTACAAGACATGGGACGTTTTCACTTCGTCGCTTAGAACAGCCGCACAAGTAGAAAATGTTAAAAATCACAGAAATTTCAGATAATTAATGTGTTTACATAAAAGTGAGATTGTTTACTTCGTACAGTTACCAAAACAGAAACCGATTTTTGTCGTCTAGTAAGTTAAATTTGAACTTATGTTAAAGATAGTCCATTCGGTCCTTTTTCACATCAAATACCAGAAAATTATTTCATATCGAATTGATTTGATAATGTTTGAAAATAGAAATAAGAAAAAAAACGGAACCGTAACATTGTTCTATATTTAAACACCGTACCTAGACAAAATGGCATGCACGCGTATTTCGAGAGCTGACGCAAGTACGCTGTAAGATCCTATAACAATGTTTTTCGTTAAAAATGCAAATTCATTCAATTTGATAGGGAATTCTTCTCACACTAAATGAGATATTAATTGTCGAGATTCCTACGGACAATTTCGTGTAGGCTGACATCCTCCTCAACGGAAACATCACTTGCTAACACGAACTACGGATGGTCCATTGTATAAATAAATATATATGGTTTGCCGTTTCTGTTATAAAATGTACTTACATTTCCCAAACCCGCTAGCCACTCCAACACAGAGGAGAAGTAGAGCTACACTCGCCATGGTCAGTAGAATGTGAGGCGTGTATGACAGATAACCACTTCCGTCATAATGCTTCACATGCTGACCATCGGTGGCGCCACATGTTTCCATTACATCGTGGCTTAGCTTCGGTTCAGTGCGCAGGAGATTAAGTACACTACACTCAGTCTCATATCTACTTAATTATGTGCAAACATAAATGTCCTATACCGACAAACGTCAATGGATACAAATAAAACGTAATTCCTGGACTGTGACATTCAGTCATTCTTTTTACAGCACCTCAAGCTTGCGTCTCTTTCTCTTAGCCCTCCCAACTTGGCGCCTCCTCATCTCCGCACCCTATGGCATTTTGTGACCCCTCAACATAAAATCCAACCGCTGTTAGCGCCCCTCCACTTAGCACTCCGTCGCTATTCGTATCTCCCCAACTTAGCACCCATTGCAGTTAGCGCCCCTCAACATAGCACCACATCGCAGTTAGCGCCCCCTCCACTTAGCACCCAATTGCTATTCGTTTCTCCCCAACTTAGCACCCCCATCGCAGTTAGCGTCCACTCTAGCACACCATCGCAGTTAGCGCCCCTCTACTTAGCACCCCATCTCAGCGTCCATCTACTCAGCACCCAATCTCAGCGCCCATCCACTTAGCACGCCATCTCAGCGCCCATCCACTTAGCACCCCATCGCAGTTAGCGCCCTTTCTATTAAGCACCCCATCGGTACTGTGCCCCGTCCACATAGCACCATGTCGGTATCTGTGCTCCTTCCATATAGCACCCCGTCGATATTGCCCCCACCCCCAACCTAGCATCACATCGCTTATTTGTACCCCCTCCAATTAGCACCCCACCGCTATTGCCAAATTTAGCACTTCTCAAGAAACCACAATAACTTAAACAGACAGAATCCAAGAATCGCACCTGTTGACCATCATATTTTCCCATCAGACCCGCGCTGATATATTATTTGACACAAATGATATACAATGTATCCTGGTTTGTATGTTTGTTTGTGCACCTGTCCGCTTTTTATTCCTTACGTTGGAGTTCATTTTCTCAACAGAATGATATTATAATGCTTAACTTGAAGCGCTGATGTTTCTGAAGCTTAACCTCGAACCTCACATCGTGCATCGGATCAGGATGACGGTTTTCTATTGTAATACACAGCTGTTGTGGTGACCTTCTAAACCTGTACACGTCACAGCCCGGGAGTGTGACACCAACCACAACCAGTACAAGGAAATGTTCCGTGAATTGTTTGTGTGTGTAGGCATACTTTCATTTTCATGATAGTTCGTACTCTGATGTATGTAAACATTTTAGTCTGCCTTCGTTGGAAAGCAGACGACAATATCAAGGTTCGAAAAACAGTCAACATTCAGAGTTTGAATATCACGTGGTTCGAGAAACAGATGTACGACATTCTACATGCATAATCTGAATGTCTCGTGGTTCGGGAAACAGATGTACGACATTCTGCATGCATAATCTGAATGTCTCGTGGTTCGAGAAACAGTCAACTTTTATAGTTTGAATATCACATGGTTCGAGAAACAGATGTACGACATTCTGCATGCATAATCTGAATGTCTC